CCTCCAGTCGTATCATTCCCATTAGAAAATTCCTCATCAATTGATGATGGAGTATAATCCATTCTTCCAACATCAATAGGTATCGTCTTGCTATCAGAAATGATCATGTCCACAATTTTACTGACACTATCCTCAAAATATCCATTTTCAAAACCATCAACTATGTCCAAATAGTAATCTCCAGATGTTTCCAATAGAGTTCTAACAAAATCATTTCCTGTACCACTGGGTATTACTCCTAAATGGACTGGGAGTTGCCTTGATGATTCCTCTGAGTTGAGAACATTTGGATTCAAATGTAGACAACCTAAAATCAATCCGTTTAGTACACTTCCCAGACTGCCATCACCTCCAATTCCAAAAAGTAAATCACATTGATATTTGGTCACCAATTCAAATGCACATCTCACGCCATCATCTCTGCATTGGGTTTTCATGTACTGCATCGGAATTTGATTTTTAGTTGTGAAATGATCATGCAATTTGGGAAATATTATTCGTTGGAAAACATCTTCTGCCTTTCCTTTAAATCAATTATTATACAATTTAAGGTTTAATTGAAATTGTTTTTATAAAGTAATAATGGATCGTGATGATCAACTAATAAAATAGGTACCTTTTCCACAAATTGGATTATAAATAATCCCAACACAAGAATACTTGTTCATTACTATAGTATCAAATAAGAAACAATGTTTGCAGAATTGTTTGTCTTTTTTTTTTAAATTAATTACCATTGCATAACATATAAATGTAATTACTGAGGTCAAATAAATTTCTAGATATTTCTTTTAATTTACAAATCTAGAAATTTACCACAATACGTAAAATTGTTCCAAAAATCCTTAATAGTGGTTGATATTGTTATTGGATTATTGGTAGGAGGACACATGTCACTACATCCCTAGAAACAATATATTTTATAAAATTCCATAGCCATAAATAAGTAAAAATTCAACCAGATTGCCCTTTTTAAAAAGCCATATCCTAAAAAAGCGGTTTGGGATAGATATTGGATATTAATATTCTCGCTTTCTGAGTTATGGAATTCCTCACACTATAACATCTACCTATTCTTAGGTAGTTTGTAGCCTTGTTATTGCTGTTTTTAGGTATTAAGATTTATTCAGAGCAGTTTTTTGTTTGATACATTTGAATAGAGGAGAAATTATATTACCACTCACTATAAAGTATTTAGTTTTAGGATTGTAAGACGAGTTTTAAGGTATTGCATATTAAGAGAATCCCAATTTTGATATTGATCAAAAAAAAATTACTACTAAAATTATAAAACTCCACATCAACGAACCTTTGTTTGATGATTGTTCTTTTGTGTGCCAACAATATTTCGAACCTACGCAACAAGATTGACATTACATCTAAGACAACTTCGAAATACATTTTGTTATGTCATTGGATGAGTTTGAACGATCACTGAAACCAATGTTTGATGAAAAGGAGAAAACTTATTATACAGAAAATTTTTATGATCCAAAGGAAATAAGTATTAGGAAGGGAATATTTGGATCAAAATTGTTGACCGGGGAAAAGAAAAACATGTTTCCATTAAACGAACAAAACGTCTTGATAAAGTGATAACGTACTAAGAAAAGGTTATGCCATTGACTGTTAGCTGCCGGTTCTATGATCATCGTAGTAAGAGGAAATCCTCTGATTAAATATCTTTCGTTTCATTTGACTTTCGTTTATCTATTCGACAAGGAGAATTTACAAAAATTCTAAAAATGAAGTAAGCACCAACTAAGAGCGGATGGTTTTTCAAAGATATCACACAACAGTGTTTCAGATCTTTGCCACAATGTCTTGGGGTTCTTTGATTCGTCACTAAGAAAAGGTTACGCTATTGTCGGCATAACCTTTTCTTGGTGTACGCTATTGACAATATCTTGGGGTTCTTTGATTTATTAGGTGATTGATGATCCTGGATAAAGCAACATTCGAGGATGATAATTTGTTTGTAGTATTCTCAATTATTGCTGATTTTGAAGGTAGTGATTATGGTAATGGTTGAGGTAAATACAGTCTTTAACATCACCAGTATCAATCAATGGTGGATCTTAGTACCGTTTGGTTTAGTATGGTGTTTGAAGGATGTAAATCTTTATTGAGCAAGTCTTGAACTTGGAGAGTGTTGTTTCTTTTGTGGATTTCTTTTTTTGTTATTGCCAGACATTTCTAATAATTTTTTGAGCATCGAAAATTTTTAACAACTCGGAATCAAGGTGGTTCTGATATACTTAATAAGCGAAAATATTCACTTTATTTTGTAAGTTACAATCGAAAACAAATCCATTCCTCATAGCGTTTAATAGAGTTTCTAGGTTTAAAGTAATATAAAATAAAAAAGACCATTAATTTTTAAAAATCTTCAACCTAATTAAGAAGATTAGATTTTCGGAAAAGTCAAAAAGAAATAAAAAGGCGCCTTTTTAAAAAAGTGGTTTGAAAAATGTTTGAGCAATTTTTGAAATTTGTTTGAGCATAATTCAAGAAATGTTTAAACCTTTCCTGCACATTTATTGAAGCTTTCTTTTTCCTGATGTCAACTTTTTCTTTACTGCATTTGCTGAAGTTAAAACATTCCCTAATCTTGCTGATTCTATTGTTGATGGAACGGAAGATGTTGAGGAAGTAGAAGAAAATCTTAATGAAACACCATATTCTGAATTAAGAATTAAACAGGAACAAGAAAAAAAGTGTGAAACAAGAAAAAATCCAGAAAAACATCACTCCACCCAGAAAGAGAAAAAACTTGAACCTTACAATCATCAAGCCAAGAAAAGTTGAGGAGTTCAAAAGACCAGAGCTTTCGAAAGATTTCGTGATTGAAAAACTCAAATGAAACTCTTTTACAAGTTCTGATGATGCTAGATTCAAAGTATCCAATGATGCTTAAAGTTATTTGAAACAATTTTACCAGCCCTTCAATGTACTGAGAGTTGGAAATTGGAATGAATTTTCATTCTCTAGAAATATATTAACATACTTATTTATTCGCAGTAAGCGTTAAGCTTATGTAGGCTAGTAAGTCAATAATTTTTTAATAATTTATTATTTTATTGGATTTCATTTAATCATATCCAATTAGGTGACAGATAATTTGGTCAAATGACATTTCCATTTGGATAGCCAATTATGTAAAGCAATAGCTTTTGTAGTATTGCTTGGTAGATATTAAGTGGATATCATTATCAGGAACAAGATAGGATCATTATTAACCTGGTTTCTTAATCAAATATATGAAAATTTTAACAATTTTTTATATGATTTGTGTGTTTATTTTAAATTTAAAGCACTACAGATATTTCAGATTTGTTTTTATGGTTTTTTAAAGTTTTTTGAATTGAGTAGATGGTTTTTTAGGCTAGTTGCAACCATTAGAAGTATTAGAGTTTATATATTATACAAAAGTTGATATCCTCAATCATTATTTATTATTATTATTCTTGCGAATTAATCTACACGCGTGTGAGAAGAATAAATTTAGTATTTCAGAAACGACACTTTATTTTGTTGATAAACCTTTAATTTAAAGCTGTAATCTTTTTGTCTTCTAAAATTTTTACTAAACTTTAATAAACGTCTAACAAAACTCCTAGGTATGCAAAAAGAGTACAAGTGGGGAGGAGAGGTAGAAATTTAGGGGTGTTGGTTAGAAAATTACGAAATATTGGGCTTTACTGATTCTTCAAATTGTGATTTCTAAGATCCACGGTACTATTTTTATTATAATTCTTCTTATTCCAATCCCTTCTCTTGTTAAGGCTATGGAATTATCGTTGCTGGGTAAGTTTTTTTCACTTTTCTCATTATATTCTTGTTAGGATGAGGTGATTTAAAACTATTGTATTGTTGTTCATTAAACTTCCTTTCTATTTACAAAAGTGTACAACTAATTACCATCTCTACTAATAAACATATCCTTAAGTAATTTCTTGATGGAAATAGCTATAGGCATTCATGAAGAGAAGGTAAGGTGTTTTATTGTTGTAGTGGAAATATTTGGAAGTGTTTTTGTTTTGGTAGTGGATTTGGTTTTTTGAGGTTTGTTGTTGTTGAATAAAGCAGCAACCAAGTTACATACTACCTAATAGGTAGAAGTTGTAGAATGGGCTTTATTTATTGGTTTATTATTGGTTTTCTTTTAAAAAACATTACATTTCCCACGAGTGGGGAGAGAATATTATTTTACACATGAGTGGAGAAGAGGTTTCTTTTTTTCGCAACGTTTGTCTTTTTGAATGAGGAATCAAATTTTTCTAAATCCTTTAGAACTAATCAAGATAAACTGATCTTTTGAATGATTTAATAATCGTCTAAATAAATGAATACCAAGATTCCTCTTACCCTCCCATCTTTAAACTAGGCTAGGACTTTCATTAATCTTGTTTGGAGAATATAATTTTGCAAATCCAATAATAACAAATTCTTAAAAACGTTATCCAAAATCAACAGGGCATTCCTTGAATCCCTTTTCCACAAATTAGATTATAAATAATCCCAACACAAGAATACTTGTTCATTACTATAGTATCAAATAAGAAACATTGTTTGTCTGTTTTTTTTAAATTAAGAACCTTTAATTACTATTCAAATATCCAACCGAGGTCATATAAATTTATCCTCTTTCACATCCTTAAATCCTTTCTGAATTTATTTTGTATTGTTTTTAAACGTTGTTACTTTGAAACATTTTCTCGAGGATGGATTGTTACACCGTCAAAACTTGGTACATTTTGAGTGAGAGAAATTTTAATACTGTGTGGTTGTTGAGGTTCTAATTAACTCTCTAAGATAGCACACAAAAACAACGATCAAAAAATGTCTTCATCCTCCTCTTCTCCGGCACAACTTGTTTATGGACTCATATCTGTTTTCAAGGATGCCATTGATTCATCTGAATATTATACATCAAATCCTAATGCTTCCTCTACCGATTCATCATCATCGTGTATTTTAATTGGAGAATATTTTCGTGGATTGACAATAAGTAATGGAAATTTTGTTGGAAGTTTTTCAGGGACAAGTCATCAACACGCTCAAATTATTAGACAAACTTGTCTAAGTATTGGAGAAAAGATTTCTCATGTTAATCACAAACGAACACTAACACAAGCAACATTTAATTTTCATTACAAAGTTGTGGATAACAAATATCTTTTTCTTGTTTGTTCCGATGCAGAATGTCCAATGAGAATTTGTTATAATTTTATTGATGATGTAGAAACACAATTTAAGAGACAAGGTTTTAGTAACAACAGTTTTGGAAATCAAACCTATAAGGCTGTTTCAAGTATTATTAAAGATAGAATGGCTCATTACAATAATTTTGAAAATGATAAAATTTACAAACTTAAAAATCAAATAGATGCCACCAAAGATGTAATGATTTCAAATATTGACAAAGTTATTGAGAGAGGAGAAAAATTAGAAACTCTCGTAGAAAGAACAGAACAATTACAAGATCAAGCATATGGTTTCAGAGGAAAATCTAGAAAATTGAAAAGTTCCATGAAAAAGAGAATTATTATCCTTTCAATTATTTGTATTTGTATTTTAGTTATTATTGCCCTTGTGGCAGTATTTGCTGGTTGTAATTTCCCATCATTTGATCGTTGTAGATCCACAACTCCAAATAATAATAATACTAAACAATAAATGTTTCAAAAATAAATTTTAAAAAACAATGTATTAAATAATGAATTAATATGAATAAATATATTAATTTTACATTTAAATATTTAAAGAATTGTGTCTAACAACTTTAAGATTGTTCAAATAAGAATGTGAAAATAAATTTTTAAAAAATGTCATCAAGTAGCAGCATTACCAATATTTTAAATCCAACATCAACAGCTTCACTCTTGAATCAGCCTCCTGCACTTTCGGTGAGACCAATCTATCCATCAAACAATAATACAACAAAGAATAATAATACCACTATTAATAATAACAATGCTACTAGTAGTAAAAATTTAATTAATATAGAAACAGGAAAAAGACAAGATAATCGTACATGTGATAAATTCCGTAATGTATTCATGCAAGTTGGAGTGATAAAACAAGCACGTGGAAGTGCCTATATGGAATATCAAAATGGAACTAAAGTAATTTGTTCAGTCTATGGACCAAGACAAATCAGTGCCAGGAATGAATTTAGTGATATCGGAGCAATACAATGTGAATATAGAGTTGCTAATTTTGCTTATCAATCTTCAAATAATCAATCAACATTTTTAAATAATTCAAGTAATAATAATAGGAGACATCATGTTGAAAATTCTATTCATTTACGTGAAGCTTTGGAGGTTTCAATTAGATTGGATAAATATCCAAAGAGTGTTATTGATGTATATTGTTTTATTTTACAAGATGATGGAAGTGCTTTGAGTGCTGCTATTAGTTGTGCTAGTTTAGCTCTTGCAAATGCTGGCATTGAAATGTATGATATGGTTAGTGCTTGTACAACAAGCGAATTGGAAGGTCATATTATTGTTGATCCAACTAATTTGGAATATAAATATGCAAGTGGTGGTATGGTTTGTGCTTACATGTCCAATTTAAATCAAGTAACTCAATTATCTCAAGTTGGTGATATGAGTTATCAGAAAATTGGTGAAGCTATGGATTTATGTATTGATGGTTGTTCTAAATTAAATCAATTAATGCAACAATGCTTATTGAACAATAGTTCAACAAATGAAAAATAAAAGTTTTATTCCCAATATATTCAAATGAGTAGTAGTAGTCTATAGAATAATTTGTGTGTAATAATTACACTTTAATCTGCTGCTTAACTGAAATCCATTCTTCAAAGTGTCTTTTTTTAATAAAGTCTTATTTCCTCTGCACATCTCATCAAACCTACCAGTATTTGAAAAAACGATAACTTGTCCCCTTAAAAATTGAAGGCTTCTTTGAAAAAGAGAGAGATCACTTCAAATGTCATTGAACTCTTTGTGAAATTAAAAAAAAAATAATGAGAAAGATCTCAGGAACCTCACCACATTTACTTCCATCCTACACTGGTGGCAGTGGTGGTTCCTCCTTCAATAACAACACACTGAGACAAAGTTTCAGCAATTCAAGTAATAATAATAATGAAAATAATTCTACTTCTCCCTATATTTCCATCATTGATAGCATCAATGAAATTGAGAATGAAACTAATCATGGTCGATCATTCCTTGAAGAATTTATCAATGATAAACAACATTTAAAACTTGTAACACTCAATTATAGAAGAAGGAGAAACAAACATCAACAACAACAACAACAACAAACATCACCCTCCTCTTCTAGTCCAATGGGGGCTGGTACTACCAATGAAAAGAAGAAGAGTCTCTCCTTTAAAGATAAAGTTTTGAATACCCTATCTAAAAAGATGAATACTAATGGTGCTGGATCTTCATCAAATTCAACCTCGTCAGCATCAGCATCATCATCACTCAATACAAGTAATGGTAGTATTGGTAGTGGTAATTCTTCATCCAATAACAATAGCAGTGGATCATCATCATTAAATGTCAATGATGGAAATTCAGATTTGGATAATGTGGAAGAAAGTACAAAGAAATTGAACATTTCTATTAATGATACTTTTCAATTGATGGTTGTTTTTGATTTTCATATATTTTCTGCTCAGAGTGAGGAAAATATTGAAATTGATTTTACACTTTATAGTTTAAATGAAGCAAGATTTATATCGGAAACTGTAGCAATTTCATCTGACAGTGGTAGAAACAGAATTTGTTTATTTAGAGATGTTACTGGATCCTATTTATTAAAGGATGATATATTTCTAATAGGTAGAGCCTTTAAAAAGTATAATATTACAAAGACATCAATTTCTAATAATAATTCTACTAGTTTACTATCAAATATTGATAATAATAGTCAAAATTTCATGTATAATTACAATCCTGCAAAAGATGATTCAGATATTACACACTTGAGGAGACCTCTTGCTGTTTGTGCAATTCCATTCGATCATGATACTATTAGAGAATTATCAAATGGTCAATCCATAACAAAATCTTGTGAATTTTATGAAAAGACTCATGAAAAGAAATTTACAATGTTACATGCTGTTATTGCTGCTCAACATGTTGGTAAACGTTTAAGTGTTAAACCAACCTATCTGTTAGAAGATGAAGATTCGAATACTTCTTCAACTAGTGACAATTCAAATAGTAATAACAATACAACAACAACATCTCATAATAACAATACAATTGGAAGAAAGGGATCTATCATGGGTGGAAATAACCCATCCTCTTCGAGTGAACTTCTCGGTTTAAATTCATCCTCCACCAGTAATGCCTCTTCACTTGGTAATCTTCTAATGGGCAGCAGTGCTCCATCAACAACAATATCAACAACAAATGCATCAACAACACTATCACCATTCACATCAGGTTCCACCACCAGTACAACAATAACAACAGGTTCTACCTCATCAGCCCTTAGCTCACCAAATGCAGGTTCTTCCACAACTTTAACATCTCTCATTAATGAATTATCAACAACTAGTGTACAGAGTGCTCCAACTTCACTCTACTCTTACAAAACAATTGGAACTGAATGTAAACAATTGAAAGATCAGTTAAATGTTAATTTTGTATTTTATAAGGGTGATTATGATATAATTTTAAATGATCAGCCACAATTTCAAAGACTTACAACAGCTAAACCTATTAATTGGTTTTCAATCAATACAAAGAATGAAATTAGAACCAATTATTCATTCTTAGAAAATAGATGTGATATTTATCCATCAATGGATAGAGCTACATTTTCATCTTCAATGATAAAATCCAAGAATCCACTCGTAGTTATTCGATTATTTGAAGTGAAGAATAATCAAACAAAGGAGGGAAGATTTATTCCACTTTATAGAAATAATGAAAATGATCCAATCAAGATTAGATCTGGTAAATTGATGGATAATATTGATGGACCCTATCACTATACAAGTTACTTGTTCTGTAAAAAAACAAATCCAAAATTCTTTGAACCTTTTCACATTGATGCTTCCAATGTTGAGAGTTTTGATAATTTATATCTATATCTCTATATTTATAACATTAACAATTCGAGCAGGGGAAATAAGTATGAAATTGAAGATGAACCAGCACTTGTTGGTTTTTACAAGTTTACAGATAATGAATCAATTATGAATTTTGAAAAATTGAAACTTATTGAACTATACAAGCCACAAAAGAATTCATCCAATACTTTATATGGTAATTTATCATCGAGAGCTAATATTTTAAGTATTTTACCTGAATTGAAGAAATCAAAACCTGAAAAGAATAATATCAAAATGAGTTTTACATTCTTCATTTCAACAATACCGCATAACAACTATTTACAAATATTCTTCCTGTGGAAGCAATTCATTATCAAGAATATTTCAATACTTGAATTGATTGAAGTTGTAAAAAAGAAGATTACCTATAAGGAATGTGTTTTACATGCAAATGGGTTATTCATTTCATTGTTTTCAATTTTGGAATTTTACTTTGATGATCCACATATTCGATTGAAGACTTTGGAATCTCTATTCTATTTCATTGGTCAATATTTTAAAAATTCTGAACTATTATTTGAACAAATCATTTACAAGATTCCAATTAATGAAAAAGTTTATCAATCTGTTTTAATCTATCTCAATGATAGATTACAAGAATCGTTAAATACTCTCTCAATGATTTCAAAGAATAACTCTACTTCAATTTCTAATAATGAAATCCACTACAAGACTATTTATCATGCCATTCAATCATTCTCACTTGTTATGATCATGTTGAAAAAGAAGAATAGTTCCCAACAGGAAAAGAAGAAGCAAACAAAGCAAACCAAAGAAATTATTGAATTTAAAGAACAATTTAATTCACTCGTTTCTAAATTACTACTCATTCTAAACCTCAATGCAACCAACTTACCAAATGTTGCTGTTGTGAAGGGTAATTTGATGAAATCACTCACTGTCTCTGTATTTGATATTTTATTTGAAATTCTGACCTATGAAGAGTTTGAAGCATTCTTAAAGAACCTATTCGAAATTGAAATTTCACAAACTGAAAAATTCAATGTATATTCAAACATTCTCAAATCCAAATGTTTCCAAACATTTAATGTTAATCTTATCAATTCTATTCTCATTAAAATTACCATACCTCTCATTAAGGAGAATATTCAGAAAGATAAGAATTACATTCCACTATTGGTTCAAATTGGTAGATTATTTGAAAATACTATCATTGTCAATAATGAGTTGAGTACTCCAGTTATTATTAATTTATTTTATCAACTTTGTCAATTTGGTCCAATTTTACTCAACTCTGATATTCAATTAATGGCCGATTGTAAAAAGTATTTGAAAGAAATGGAAACTAAACCAAAGAGTGAACAATTATATACCAATTCAATGGAATTAAGAAAGAAAATTTATACATTCTTCTACTTGATCATTTATTGGTCTTGTAATAATGACAATCTCTTTACAGAAATGCTCTCCATCTCTGAAAATAATCAAGAAACTATTAACATTATATTAAGTATGATTAATTCAACACTTAATGGAGAATTTGATAAATTACAATGTATCAATCCATTGGTTTCCGAAATTGAAATGTTTAGACCATTCCATAAGAAGAGAGTGTTGGATATTTTTGAATTTTTAAAATATATCAGAAAGTATAATTTTAATTCCAATATTTATTTGGAATGTTTATGTTTAGCATCATTTTCAACAATACTTGATACTGAAATGAAGATTACCATATTTGAGTATATGGCAAACTATTTACAAGAAATTTCAAATATTGACTATACCAAATTTGTTAATATTTACTTTTTACCAATGTCAGTTACAAATTATAATGGTAATCATAATAGATTTTATGAAAAGTGGACCGATTTTATCAATGTTAGATTATTCTCTAATGCAAATCTTTTACCAAAACTCAAAAACTCCATTCCAAATGTTGAAGAATACTTTAAACTCATATTTGAAAAGTCAAATCTAGATTTAATTTATAATTACTTTATCAAACCACTCTCTGATAATACAGAAATCTCAAATCTAGTCAAATTGTATAATAATATTAAGAAGAGTAGTACTTCTAATAATGGAAATCAAGTTAAAAAGACCAAGAAGAATGTTCTAATCAATAGATATGAAGTATTGAAAAAGATTGGTTTTGGTGGTTTTGGAAGTGTTTTCAAAGTTTGTGATTTACAGAGTGAAGATAAAAAGATACTTGCCTTGAAGATTTTACCAAGAGAAGAGGGAAATAATGTTGAATTTATTCAAATGTCCAAATTGAATCATGAAAATATTTTACCTGTCTATGAAATATTTGAAACTAATATTGGTAATTTTGAAAAATGGTGTTTTACAATGCCATTTTTAGAAATGGGTGATTTCCAATCTTATTTATTGAATTTGAAATCTAATTTACCAATTAATAGAATTTTGAATTATATGCGACAAATGTTATCAAGTATTGAATATATTCATCAGAGACAAGTCTATCACAGAGATATCAAACCAGAAAACTTCCTTTTAAAATCACAAGATCATGTTGTTCTATCAGATTTTGGATTAGCAAAGGGAGATATTGAAAATGTAATTACAAAAACAAGTATTGTTGGTACAGAATTGTTCCAAAGTCCAGAATTATTTGCTGGTGAAGTGAAAGATGTATCTAAAACTGATATCTATGGATTGGGATGTGTATTTTATATCATGATAACAAGAGATTTCCAAACTACTGTAAGAATTTCTATCCTCAATGGTGGTAAGGAAATTAGAGAGAGATTGACTTTGGCCTTTATGGAATCGTTGAATGCTGGTAACTTGCCACTCAGTGCAAATAGTGGAAGTAGTCAAAACTTATTAGCTACCCCAAGTAATAATAATACTGTGATAGTGAATGGTCAAACCATTGATGTGAATGCCATTATTGATTTTGTAATGATCATGTTGGATAAGAATTATGAAAGAAGACCATCTGCAGAAATGGCAAGAAACTTGTGGTTGGAGAATAGAATTGGTTATAAGGTGTAATGAATGACTTTGAAATACTCAATTAAGAAGTTGTAAAATAAAACACATTTCGATTTTAAAAAACAATCTATTCATTTACTTGGTTCTATTAGCAATCTTAGACAACAATGTCTTGTAAATATCCTTATTGATAACTTCTGGAACCTTGGCAATCAATTGATTCATAGATTCAATAGCAGACTTTTCATAATCCTTGTACAATTGTTCCAAATTCAATTGAGCATACAATTCCTTAACCAATTTAACCTTTTCTGGTTCTTCCTTACCATAGTTAGACTTGAGGACAGTCAATTGTTCTTCATTGGCCAACTTTAAAGCATTAACAACCATCCATGAACATTTACAATCTTCAATATCTCTACCAATCTTACCAATGTGTTCTGGATCACCATAACAATCCAAATAATCATCTTGAATTTGGAAGTATTCACCCATAGCAATTGAAATATCCAAAGTTTGCTTTCTAATATTTTCATCCAATTTACCACTCAAAATCAAACCACAGTACAATGGCAAGTAGAAACTGTAGAAAGCAGTCTTGTACTTGACAATCAATGAATAAGTTTCAATAGTGAAAGTATGGAATGGAATTTCATCAGAAGAATTCTTATCAACGTTTGGTGGGAGAGATCTCAAATCGTGCAATTGACCCAATTCAGTCATATAACTGACTTGATGGAACAAATCAACGAGTGGTACATATAAATCATTTTTGAAATACTTCTTCAAAATAATGTAAATTTGAGATTCAACAATCAAGTAATCATTACAAGCAGTCATCTTGACATCATTCAATTTATACCAACAAGGTTGACCACGTCTAGTAACACTAGCATCCATAATATCATCAGCAATCAAGAAGAATGCTTGGAGGAATTCAATACACCAACCCAAAATACTAGCCAACTTGAAATCTTCTTGAGAAATTTGATAATTATTCAAAATCAACAAAGTATCAACAACAGCCAATCCACGATTCAATTTACCATGAGGAACGTTATATTCAAGTACCTAAATATATTTAAATTATGTTGTAGTTATTTTAATGTAAAGTGTGTGATGATAAATAACACTGTGAGAATAATATAAATACCTACTCTTTCAACATATTGGATATTTTCTTCTGGAACTTCATAGTTAGCCTTGATATCTTCCAAAACAAATTGCTTTAATTCAGTGAAAACTTGTTTGAATTCAGCAATGATTTCTTCCTTGGTCTTCTTGGAGTAATCAACAACTGGACCCTTTGATGATGATGGAGTTGATGGAGTTGTTGTTGTTGTTGTTGATGATGATGGAGTAGTGGTGGCAGACTTACAAGCTCCAGTACCTCTTGTACACTTTTTAGTGCAACAAGTCTTTGAGACAGCAAAACCCAAAGCAGCACCCAAGCCGAGGATTAACAATTGATTAGAATGTTGAGTAATAGCGGATACAATAGATGACATTTTTTTTCACACCGTTTCAATTTTACGTTCCCACCAACAATAAACCACATTCGGAGAACGTGAAACAAAATTCCGAATTATTTATTGTGGTGATTATTTACAATCAAGTTTAATTCAAAAGGAATCAAGGAATCATCAAGTAAATCATTAGATATTATCCAATGATTTTTTCTGATTCGATAGTCCTTTAAGGATTAGTACTCTACGTTAGAACTCTTAATAGTGTCCATAAATGAATTGAATTGATAAGGATCTCCAAAAGTATAGTTTTGTTTCATTTCACTAACATGCTGTCTGGTTGGTAAGTCAACATGATCTGGGTAATCCTGCCCAGATACAATGTTCTTTGATTTAAAATTGCTCTTGTATCCTGTTGGATGTGATGATAAGAGAGGATCATCCTCAACTTTTGATTGATACCCTGCTGATTTCTTTAAAGTCTCAACCAAAACATCTGCATGTTCCTTCTCCTTGTATAAACTAGCCTTCTTATTAAATGCTGATTGAGACATTGACAAATCTGATGGATGGCAATTAGGATCAATGAGTCTGTCTCTCCATCTTGTCACTGGTTGAACAGGAATTTCATTATCAGTTGGGCGAAATGGTAAATTGTTTGTTTGAAAACCTCCACCTGTTCCCTTATGAAGTGTAACTGATTTACTATTAATTGTTGAATGGAACAATTGGGTGGTTCTCATCAAGTTTGGATCCGTATTATGATTGGAAGGGGATTGTCTAGGAAAGATGTTATGGTTGTTTGGACCATCTAGAGATCGTTGGAACTTGTTGGAAAATTCCTCTGAATTTGTTGTACTATACATGATGTTTGTTCTTATTGTTGTTATACCTTAGGAAAAGCTGTTGCAAAACCACAATTATCAAATTGAGGGACTGTAGTTAGTGGTTTTATTTTTTTTTAAACTTGGTTTTTTCAAATCTACTACTGTAACGTGTTTTAGCGGTTCAATCAATTAATGGTTTTCGAGAACATCAACAAGTAGTTTTGATTATCAACCTCTGTATTCTATTTTCAACAATAAACATAAAGCCACTTGGAGTGTTTAATTTTCAAATATATTTATTTTAATTTTCAAGATAATAATTACATTATTTTTAAATAATTTATGTTTAATGAAGCGTTTATTTTTCAATTGAACGATGTTAAAACTCCCAATGACGGGACCTCCCGGAACCTTAGTCCCTCAATTTAAATACAAAAAGTGATGGTGATGGCATGTCAATGAATTTACTCTTGGACAACCAACTTGGAGAAGTCTGGTTGGATGTATCTTTCCAAGTTATCAGAAATCTTGTTTTGATTCTTTTCTAAAGCTTGTTCCTTCTTAACTTCGAATTCTGGCTTATCAGCACCTCTGTCCAAAGCCCAAGCGGCACCCTTTTCGTGATCATAGGTAGCAACGAGTTCCTTAAGCTTACCTTCCAAGGAAGCATCAACAGCAATATTCTTTGATTTCATGTATTCCAATTGGACGAGGGCTCTTTGACCATCTTGATGTCTAATGTAGTTGTCCAACATGGTGTTGAAGGTAGCAGCATCAGGCTTTTGATATGGGTTTCTTCTCTTCAAATCATCGAAAGTATCGTGGAGGTAGAAGTTGTCATTTGTATTGGCCAAGACATCAAGATAAGTGTTGAAGTGTTCAGTAGTTGGATAAACACCAGAGAGCAACATGTTTCTCCAACATCTATCAGCAATCATTGGCAAGTCCTTAACTTCCCTCAAGCTTTCCAACCACTTTTGAGAGTCCTTACCGTTCTTTCTAACTTGCTTCCAGTAGTATTCCCATGGATCATCCAATTCGTTAACAATAATTCTGAAGCAGTTTTCTTGAGACAAGGAATTCAAGATCAACTTGCTGGCAACGTTCAATCTGCAGACAAAGTATCTACCCAAGAAGTTCAATTTTTTGATCAAGAGAGAGTCAGTCTTGGCTTCAATGACCTTCAAAACTTCTGGCTTCAAAACCTTTCTGACAGTTTCATCCAAAGTAGCAGCTTGAGTAGCTGTGGCATAGGTAGCAAAACCGTAGGTCTTTTGTTGCTTCAAAGCGCTATTGTTGTTTAATAGTAGGAAGCGAGCGCAAATTTATATTTTAAAAAGATAGCAGCACAAATGTGTTAGTCATACAATTAAAAAAATAAATGTGATATTTACTTGGCGAGGAAAGTAGAGGTTTGTCTTCTCAACATTTTTTTTAGAGGTTGTTTAAATTTTTTTAAACGCAAAAATCAACCAGTATTTTACAAAATGCAAGACCGCGCCTAGATTCCCTTGTGTGCTGACGACTTGAATTTTGTTCCGCTCTCCAATCTCTCACATGTATTGTTAATGATAAATAAATAACAATTGAAGAGAACCTATCAATATTTAACCTTCATAAATTATTTTGATATGAAACACAAGTAATATTGTTAAATTAATTTTCAATACGGTCTGACAAGATGACAATTCTCCACTAAACAATAGCAAACAATTAATAATACTTAAATTTATGCACTCAAATGAAAAAGGCGGGAAAATGAATAATAGAATTTAAATATTAAAGGAAAAAAGAAAAATGAGTGAAAAGCAAACAGCCACAACACCAACAACTCCCAGAACAGCCAGGAGAAAAAAGTCAAACTCTACTACAGACAAAACACCGTCTTCTTCTTCTAAAAAACCAAAAGCTGAGAACATTGATACAGGGGTAAAATCGAATAAGAAAAAGAGCAAATCAAAGAAGGAGGAGAACATCCCTTCCGATGGTGACTCACCAGTCTACAACACAACTCCAACCAAAAAGAAGAAAACATCCAACCCTACTCCAAAAAAAACTGAATCAAAAACTGTAAAAACACCAGAAAGTTCAGTAAAATCAAACACAACACCAAAGAAACGAAAGAATTCACTGAAAGATTCATCCTCTAAAAAGAAAAAAAAGAAGGATAGGGATTGTGATAGTGATTTGGAAAAGAATGATTATGATAGTGACGTAGAATTTGAGGAGGATGACGAATTTCTCAGACCTAAGATAGCTCACTTGGGAGACTTGTTTAAAGAGCATAAGGGAAAAATTTGTTTATTTACAGGTGCTGGAATAAGTTCATCTGCTGGCTTAAAGACCTACAGAGGAAAGGATGGTATTTGGTTAAAACAAGATGATACCACCAAAAATTCAAATGATAGTGATAATTTGAAATATTTTCCAACTCTTACCCATATGTCCATTAAAAAACTGTACGACATGGGATATATCAAATATATTATCACACAGAATAGTGACAATCTCCATTGGAAGAGTGGTATCAGTGAAAGTGATACTATTGAAATTCATGGCAATAGCTATAAAGAGCATTGCGAAAAATGTGACAAGACATTTATTAGACAAGATATTATTGTTCACCCTACAAGTGAAAGTATTTACAGGAATATTTTGAATAGGAATGAAAATTTCAAAGATGATCACCTTACTGTAAACAAGTGTGAACAGTGTGGAGGACCACTTAAGGATTTGATAGTAAACTTTGGAGAAAAGTTATCTGAAAAATTGTGGAAAAAGGCAGTTAAATTTGTTGAAAATTCAACACTTGTACTTGCTGTGGGTACCAAGTTATCTGTAGAGCCTGTTAATTCTCTTGTTACTATGAATGATGATCATAAGTTAATTATTTGCAATCTACAATTGACTCCTTTCAATGATAATGCTAATTTAGTTATTAGATGTAAATCTGATGAGCTTTTTTCTCGTTTGATGGGAAAGGTTATTGATAATTTTATTATTGATATACCCGAATATGTATATAGTTTGGATATAACTTTATTGTACAATAATAACACATTGGAAATGAAATCTGAGCAGATCAATGTTTTGGACCAAGTAACGATTAATGATAATATAATTCTAAACTCTAGCAATCAATTTTCAATCAAGAATGATAGAATTGGAGAATTGAATAATTTATCAGTTCAAATTCATCCAACTAAGTTTGCACCAAGTTGTGGCATTTCTACTTCCAACAATATCATTGAAATTAAGAATTGTGATAAAAAGATTCAAGACATGATACAGTTGGATTTGAGTTTGAAATTCCATGCCAAAGATAAAACTTGGGAATCTTCAATAAATTAATTAATAGACGATCCAATAATGTATTAAAACTGTAAATTTTTAGCTAGCTTTTGTCTTATTTGAATAAACGTGAGCAGTGCATTATGAATTCGAAACAAATAAAAGCGTGTTTTGAAAATAAATATTAAATTTAAAAAAATGGGAAATAATCAATTGGCCGTGAGTGGATCTCTTCAAGAACTCCACTTGCAGGATTTGGCCGAGGGATTGGTTCAAGATCACACATTAGGAGGAGGTAGATTATTAAAAAGTGTGCAATGTTGGACTGAAGAGGGTATGCCAGTCGTTGTTAAAGTATATTTGAAAAAGGAAGATGATCCACCACTGGCGTTGGCACCCCATCATGCAAAATTAAAACTACTCAATGAAAAACTTAGTCTCCGATCACAACCAAATGTTTTAAGTTATAATAGAATGGTAGAAACTGACAAGGCTGGTTATTTGGTGAGACAATTTTGTTATAGTAATTTGGCTGATAGAATTAGTACTAGACCGTTTTTTAGTTCTATTGGAAAACGTTGGATCGCTTTTCAAATACTTGAAGGGTTGAAACAAATACACAAATTGGGAATTTATCATGGAGATTTAAAAGCTGATAATATTATATTAACAGCGTGGGATTGGGTCTTTTTAACTGATTTGGCTCCTTTTAAACCTTCTAGAATACCTGATGATGATCCATCATTCTTTTCCTATTATTTTGATACATCGGGAAGAAGAATTTGTTTGTTGGCTCCTGAACGTTTTTGTCCTTCTTCAAACACAAACACTAATATTTATTTAAATAATAACAATGGACTTGCACCAAATTCAAGTAATAGATTGGCAAGAGATTCATCTTTTATTATGGTTGACATTAATGGAGTTGATCAAAGTGTTACTGTAATCGAAGAAAATACTCAATCTTCAACAAATGTCAATCCTAATAATGGTGAAGAATTAACAGAAAAGATGGACATATTCAGTGTTGGATGTGTTATTGCACAACTCTTTCTTGATGGAGAAGCTCTCTTTGATTATTCACAATTACTTGCATATAGAAAGGGAGATACTGAACACTTTTCAAAATTAATGGAAAGAATCGATGATAAGGATGTAAGAGAAATGATATCACATATGTTAGATTTAGATCCTAATAAGAGATTTTCAGCAGAGGAGTACATTAAAAAGTACACTCCAAGAATATTCCCAAATTATTTTAAATTTATTCATGAAAGTGTAATGATACAAATGTTAGAAAAGAATTGTGACAAGAGAATACAAACTATTGAGAATATGTATGATATGATTATTTCTAAAATTTCTGAAAATGAAACTCAAGAAAATACCTTATCTAACAACACATCCTCTACAATTACTTTATCAAGTAATCATTCTTCAAGTAATAACACTCAAAATTCTGAAAGTAGTAGTAGTAGTGGTGGATCTATGGTTCATAAGAATTCCTTGCTAGACCTTATTCAAAATACGCAAGCATTTGGAGAAAGGAATCTTTCAGAGACCAATGTTGGATTGACAAGTACAAAGCAACAAGAAAAATCCACCAATAATAATATCATTGAAAAGCTTGTTGAAAGAAGAAAGTTAACTCAAAAATCTGAAAGTAGTCAAATCAACTCTCATGAAGGAATTGAAATTATTGCCACTCTACTTTGTTCCAGTGTAAGAAATGCTCAAAGTGTTAGTGTTCGTGTTCAAGGTTTAGATTTAATGAAAAAGTTAGCTGATTTTTCATCCAACTATACCAAATTGGAAAGACTCATTCCATACACATGTTCACTTTTGAATGATCAGGCCCCACTTGTTAAATCAAAAGCTATAGACACTCTTACTTATATTCTCGCAAAAATAACAGCATTTTCAGCTAGTGAGTCCAATTTATTTAATGATTACATTCTACCAGCACTGAGAATAATTTCAACTGACAAGTCAGATTTGGTTCGTGTCACTTTTGCTGAAAATTTGCCATTACTCGCTTATCAAGCAAGAAGATTTTTGGAAATGAGTCAGATCATCAAACAAAATATGACTACCCAAGTTATGGTAAAGGGAACTTATGATACTGATTTGAATTCATTACAGGATGAAATTGCCTCGATTGTTCTTGAACTTTCTATGGATCAATGTACACCTGTGAAGGTAGCACTTTTAAAGAATATTACACCATTTTGTATGTTTTATGGTAGGAGAAAGACAAACGATTTTGTACTACCTATGGTCATTACATTCTTAAACTCTCGTCAATGGAGACTGAGACATGCCTTTTTTGAACAAATTGTTGGCATTTCTGTATATGTTGGTCCAACTTCATTGAAGGAATTTATTTTACCTTGTATTATGCAAGCATTGTACGATGTACAAGAGTTTGTTATTGACCAAGCTCTTAATGGATTGGTAACTTTGTGTGAGTTGCAAATGTTTGAAAAATCAACAATTGTAGATATTGCCAAGAAGGTTTCATTTTTACTTTACCATCCAAATACTTGGATAAGATATAATAGTGTTGCATTCTTTTCTGCTGCTAGTAAGACTTTGGGATTGGCAGATACTAGTTGCTTCTTGATTGAAATTTTAAAACCTCATTTAGAGCACGATATTCTCCTAGTTTATGAATATTCACTTTTGGAAAGTTTGAAACAATCGCTTCAAAGAGACATTTTTGACAAGTCTATCAAGATTTTAATGGAAGATTTGAATTCTCAACAAAAATTTGAATCCTTCTCACTTTTGATATCATCCAAAATACCAAACATTTCAGAAGAGGACTTGAAAAAATTAGAGATTATCAAACCATATCTTTCACAAGTTGCCATGGCCATACAATCCAAGAGTTGGGAAAATACAGGAGAAAATATGGATTCTAATAACTCCAATTCGAGCAATATTATCAAATTGAACTTACCACTTACAAGTCATTTCACACCAATAGAAAGTCCTTACATTACTTTACAATCGAGCTCAATTGTTAATAATCAAACAGCATCCAAATCAGCACAATCCAAACAATATAATAACGAATGGAATACATTCTTTTCCATTCCTTCTGCAAGTAATTCATCTGCATCAACTAATTCCACAGGTAAACAACCAAGTAGTAAGAAGAAAGATGAAGAAACTCTTCCACTCAAAACAAATCAATCATCTGGTAATCCATCCACAAGTAATCCTGTTGGCGCCACCTCTAACCTCTCCTCTGTAACTTCACCTCTCAAATCAGCCAATATTGCCAAGTGGAGACCAAATGGTAATTTATTTGGTCAATCTACAGAGCACAAGGGATCTATTAATGAAATATCTGTTCACGATAGTTTGTGCTGGTTTGTAACAGGTGGTAATGATGGCACTGTTAGATTATGGGACTTGACAAGTACTGAGAGAGACTTTGCCATGAACTCGAAAATGACCTATACAATCATTCAGGGAGGAGGTAGAGTTAATTCAGTGGGTATATTGAATGTTTCTTCACCATTGATTGCAGCATGTACAGATAAGGGTTGGATTCACGTATTCAGTGCTGATTTGGGTACAACCATGTATACTATAACTATTGGCGATTCTGGTGCCAAATTTGTACAAACAGCCAAGACTCAAGAGGCTTCTATTAATGTTATCAGACCGTTCCAAAATCATCAACAACCACTCTTGGTGTGTGGTAATCAAAATGGTATTATTGTTGGTATTGATCCAAGATGTGAAAGAGAGGCATTCTCATGGAAATCAAAACAATCACTTGAACAAGGACCAATTTCTGAAATTTGTTGTGGTGATATGAATGAGCCTTGGATCTTATCCTCCACAAAGAGAGGTTATGTAACTTTGTGGGATTTGAGATATCAAATAAGTGTAACAAATAATAGAATTACTGAAAGTGCCATCAATAGAATTTGTAAAGCATCTCCACTCCAAAAAACCTCCAGTATGGCACCTTCTGTATATATTGCATCACAAAATAGAGAAGTAGATTTGTGGAATTTGGAAACTCAATCTACCTTACTCAAATTCAGATGTTCTGATAGTTCTAGAAAGCAAAAGAGTAATAACACTACTCCAAATACCAATCCAATGACTACAAATGCCACTACAGTAACATCAAATTTGACTGGTGTAAGTGATAGATTTGCTATTGGAGAAATTCGTAAAATTATGAAGGACAGAACAAAACACTTCCAAGAAGAACCAACTTTTGATGTAAATGCATTATATGTCAATGAATTTGATGGCTCATTCTATTCTGGAAGTAGTGACGGTATTATCAGATTCTGGGATACTAACACTATTGAGCAAAGTTATGTTGTCAGTGGAGCTCAACAACAGCAACAAGCATTTATTTATTCTGCCAAAAAGGAAGACAAGTACACAGTTTACTCAGAAGAAGCTGTTCCATTCAATAAGGGTGATATTCTGACATCTACAAGTGCCAGTAGAAGGGGAGGAACATTCTCTCAACCTGTACAAACTCATCATTTGGATACAATTACTGATATCAAGATTGTCTCTGGTGTATCTAAAGGCCACTTCCAACCATTACTATTGACAAGCTCTAGAGATGGTATACTTAAGGTTTGGAAGTAATAATATGTTTAATAAACCTCGAGTACATTACAATGGTAATACAAGTTCAATGTGCACCAAAATCAAAATGTCAAGCATCAGGTGGCTGTACGTTTCACAGTTCAAAGCAAAAAAAACAAGCATGTCAACTTTGGAGGAGTTTTTCAGTGATGACTTTGATACACCGGTGCATTTCATTTGTTCCCTAACTGAAACAATATTTGTAGAACCAGCCTTGTTGAATGGAAGAATTTATGAAAAAAGTAAAATTCTAGATTGGATAAAAACCAACAAGACAGGTAAATATTTAAATTCTACAACTACAAATCATACAACAATATATTATATTTTTGAAAATGCATTTTATTATTATTCAAATCTTGATCCAAAATATAATCATTGAAATATATTATTAATAATATATTAAATAGATCCATTTACGAGAGAGGTCATTACTCCTCCTCATAGAAATATTCCACTCGAGGCAATGGTTCATCCAATAATGAAAAGTTCTATCGGATTGGATGTTTTTATGAAATACAAGGTGGAAAGCTTTTTCAAAAAGCTTGATGCACTGAAGAAGGTGGTAAATAACGAATCTATGGAAAGTGAAGAACAAGTTAATCATTTGTTTAAATTAATGATTCGTTTTATTTCGTCAACATTATTATTTATCAATAGTTTAACGAATGCAAATATCCCTGATCATTACATTATTGCTAAAAATCAATTGCCAAAATATCTTTCCTATTTTGATAAACAAGAATTATTGGAAACAAGTTTACAAGAATGTAAAAATTCACAAAATATTTTCAATCTCCTCTCAGATTATATCAATGAAAATCATATTGATAATGGAGAGTATTTCATTTCTTCGAGAGTATTTTCCAATACCACCACTACTTGTATTGATAGCACAAATAATACTGCTACTCCCAATACTACTACTAATAATAATAATACTAACATTCTGGATTCAATGATTGGAGGAGGTTTATCATCAATAGATCAACATAGTCAAATTATTCAAAGTCCTATTCCACTCATTTCTGTAATTAATAAGGATAATCAATGGATTAAAATTCCATCCATTGAATCAACAACATGTAATATAGATGATTCAGCATCAGAATTATTTGAATCATTATTTGGAAATGATATTTATAGTCAAATTCCAAATACTAATCAAACTTTAAACTTGTCATCATTAAAATCTCTCACACACTATCTAATCAATAAGAATTCTAATACATTTAATGAAGCTTTCAAATTTTCCATACTGAAACAAGGTTCTGCCTATAAGAAGGATGTAAAGAGCTTTTTCCAAAACAGTAAATTGAAGAAGAGACACATTCTACTTGTTCACTCTTCCAATCAAAAATTTAAACTAATTCTATTCAATGCAGATGGGTCAAGTAATGACATATTTCACAATGAAATGAAACCACTCGAAGAGATTGAACTTTCCAATTTATGCTACTTGACCATTAATGACAATCCGAAAAAGAATATTTCAATTTCATCACTTAATACCTTAACAATTAATGATAGAACTGAAAAGAAAAAGTGGCTTTTTGAATTTAGTAATGAATTTGAAAGAGATGAATGGTTTTACATGTTAAAATATTGTTTACTATTATGTTGAGATGTAAATCTCTCACCATTATTAATAAATTATCAACGTTAAATTGAACAGGGAGTAACAAGAAACAAAAGCCTTTAAAAAATTAAAAAAAAATGCCAACAACAGACGACAAAGAGAGGCAGATGGTTGCCAGCAATAGTTTTGATGGTGAAGAAAAGCAACAAGATGAAGCATCATCACAACACTATTTGGAGTGGAAAAGAAAGAGAGAGGAAAGAAGATCTCGGAATACAACAGGATCAAAAGTTGTTGAGGAAGATAACTTTGATGCGGATTTAATTCCAACACATAAAAAACATAAATTATTACAAGAATTGACCAAAAACGAGCAAGTAGAGGAAATTAGTAAAAATTCAGCAAGTTTATTGAAAAAGAATAGAGAATTGAAGGAAACACAACCACAATTAACAGACATGGAAAAATTGGAACAAAAAGAAAATGAATTACTTAAAGAATTAATGAATCAATCATTCCTAAGTGCTGTTAACAATTTAACTGGTGACATTAATCGTAAATTAAATTATAGTTGGACAGTTCCAGAATATTATAGGAATTTAACAGTAGAAGAACTGGATTTAATCAGAAAAAATTTTGGCATCCAAGTTGATGGTGTTTGTGCTCCTCCACCAATCTTGACATTTGAACATTTAAAATTACCAAAATGTCTTTTAAAGCTTTTACTTGAAAAGAATATAGAAACACCTACACCAATTCAAATGCAAGGATTACCATGTCTATTGGAAGGTAGAGATGTCATTGGTATCGCCTTTACTGGTTCGGGTAAAACTTTGGTCTTTTCCTTGCCAATCATCATGTATTCCTATTTGAATGAGCATTTATATGCAACGAGACCTAAAAGCATAAGGAGAAATAATGGACCACTAGGATTAATTCTCTGTCCTAACAGAGAATTAGCAAAGCAAACCTTTGAATTTATAGAATATTTCTTTAATGGAATTAATGAACAAGAAAAGAAACGATCCCAAACCTTTAAGCTCAATGTTTCTCTCTGTATGGGAGGTATCAAGGAAGAGAGAATATTCAATCAATCCAATTCCAATTCTAGATATTATTCTTCTAATAGTAGTGGTGGAGGTTATATACATATAGTTGTGGCTACTCCTGGACGTTTGATTCAAATGTTGAATGAAAATAAGATTCAACTCAATGATTGTAAATATGTTTGTATGGATGAGGCAGATAGATTGATTGATTTGGGTTTTGAGGAGGATATCAAGACAATATTCCAACACTTGAACCTTGTACAGAATAATGAAAATAATGAGAGTACTCAGAGTGGTGAAAAGAATAATAATCACATTCAAAAAGTGTTCTTCTCTGCTACCATGCCTGAAAAGATTCAAAATCTTGCCATGAATACATTGAACCAACCAATAATTGTAAATGTAGGTAGAGCTGGTGCTGTAAATTTGGATGTCATTCAAGAAGTGGAATATGTTCAAGAAGAAGACAAGATTGTCTATCTACTCCAAGCTCTACAAAAAACACCGCCACCTGTATTGATCTTCTCCCAGAACAAGAGTGAAGTTGATACAATTTGTGAATATTTACTATTGAAAGGTGTAGAAGCAGTCTCTATTCACTCTAGTAAGGATCAAAGTGAGAGAGAGTATGCTATTGACTCGTTCAAACAAGGAAAAAAGCATGTACTCGTTGCTACTGACATTGTTTCCAAAGGTATCGATTTTCCAAATGTAAAACATGTTATTAACTTTGACATGCCTCGTGAAATTGAAAACTATGTCCACAGAATTGGTAGAACTGGTAGAAATGGTAAAACAGGTCTGGCTACCACATTTATCAATAAGAATCAATCTGAACAAATTTTATTGGACTTGAAATACTTGTTGAAAGAGGCAAATCAACGTATTCCACCAATTTTACAATCTATTTATGACCCTTATGCACATTTGGAGAATGTTGAATGTAAATATTGTCAAGGTAGAGGACATCGTATTACTGAATGTCAAAAGTATCACCGTGATAAGCAATTACAAATTCAAAAAGCTCTACAATCTAGTACATTTGGTGTTGAATAAAATTAACATATTAATTCTAAATATTTCCATAATTTAATTCAAAAATTTAGCATGATGTTCAAGGTGATCCTTAACAAAGGATTGAATAAAGTAATAACTGTGATCATAACCTTCTTGCATTCTTAAGGTGAGTGAAGCTCCAACCTTCTTGGCAGCAGATTCCAACTTGTCAACTTGCAATTGTTTAGAGTGTAAGAATTTGTCTTCACTACCTTGGTCAACCAAGATTTCCTTCACCAAACTAACATTTGTCAAATTACTCAAAAGTACACTTGGATCATGTTGAACCCACAATGTAGAACGAGCTTCTTCTGAGTCTCCCAAATAACCCTTGAGAGCCTTTTGTCCCCATGCACATTCAGCATCTGTTGGATTACTAATTGGAGCAAAGGCAGAACAACTATGATACAATTCCAAATTACGTAAATAAACAACTAAAGCTCCCAATCCTCTAAATAATATTTTGAAATAATATATTTAAATAATAATTCACACACTATTGACATACCCCATACTATGACCGAAAATACTTTGACGTAATTGATCTTCCTTATCCAATAAGAGCCAAGCATTTTCACCCTTTGCAAAATTTTCAATCAAAACAGAAGGCAACTCCTTGACAATGTAATCATACATTCTAAAATGTTTAGCCCATGGTTCTTGTGTAGCATTTAAATAAAATCCTATATATATATATTTAGAATTGTGAATCAATTGATTTCATGATCATTACACATTTCATCATCATAATCATTATTAAAATATATAAAACAAATATAAAATTAAAATTCGGAAATGTTTTTGTTGTCTCTTACCTGCACCTTGACCAAAATCCCAACTATCCGATGAAGCAACATCAGAACCTCTTGGACTTGTATCTGGACATACAAGTGCTAATCCCAATTGTGAAGCAATGGACATGGCTCCAGCTTTGAAAATAAAATTAGTATCATTACAAGTCAATCCAGACAAGAAGACAACAATAGGAACCTTTTCACCCAAACATGCCTTTGGTGGTTTATAAATATGAAAATTCATTTGGCATTGAACAGTAGAAGCAGTGTGAGTACACTCCAAAATTAAGCCACCAAAACATTTACTTGTTGATTTGATTGTAACGGACATTTTTTTTTTAGAAATTTAATTTTTTAAATTATTGAAAATCTATTTGAAATCTCAATCATAATCTCTTTTCTTGTCAATTAAATTGTTTGTTCAAGGTGTGGCTGGAGCTTGTTGTTCACCTCATTGTAACATCACTGGTCTGAAAGAGGACTTTTGAAATATTGAAAATTCTAATACTCATTTTCTCTCTCCATGTTCCTTCTAATGTTCTGTTTCAACGTTCACATTAAACAAGGATCATCCCTTGTTTAATATTATTAGAGAGTGGAGACCATAGTTTTCAAATAGAGAATGGATACTAAAAAAATGAGTCAACTCTGTTTAGGATCATCAACAGAGGATTTGGATAATATTGAGAAAGTTAAAGAGGAGGTGGTTATTGAAAGATATCAAATAACGTCAAGCTCATCTTCACAGAGTCCACCTTCATCACCTCTCTCGCATCATCAACCACAACACGATATTGTACATATAAATAATCATCATCATCATCATTATAAAAACAAACAAACTCTAAATTCCGATCCTCTCTCTTCGTCTATTCAACAACAACATAAACAGTCTACTATTACTGCCAATGATAATAACATGACCCCAACATTAATAACAGAAAAACACAATCACATAACATTTGCTGATAGTGATGGAAATGTATCCAATTCTCAAATGATGGGATATATGCAAAAAATGTTCAGTAATAGTGCCGTGCACAAAGTGAGTATCTAGTATGAATTTTATTCATGAAACCTTAAATAGTCTGTGCTACAGAATGAGAAAATAGGTAATAATCGTACTTTTGAATGGAAAAAATCTAGAAAGAATATCATAAAGAAACGATTGGGTGGAGTACAATTGGAATTGGAATTATTTCAAACTCTCTTGTCTGTACTTTCTGCTGCAGAATATATTGCAGCATCTTATATTCAGATTGACATTGAAAGTCGTTTGGTATCATTGAGTATTTTGGATTTGGTTTTTATTGCCTTTTTCATTTTGTTTTTTGTGATTAATTTTTTTCTTTCAAAGGAAAAGTATGTGTGTTAATTTAATTAAGAATTGTAATATTTAATTGATGATAATTTGGAATTATTGGAATAATTATTCAGACTCACTTATTTCATTAATCCATTATCAATTTTGGACTATGTTACGGTAATTCCTTCCTTTGTGCTCATTGTTGTTTCTTTTAAACGTAATGAATGGTTGGAAGGAAATACATATGCATTGGTTGGTTTACTGAGAGTATTGAGATTGTTGAGAGTAATTCCTTTGGTGAAGAAGATTTCTCGAAAGGGTGATATTAACTCTGTTGCTGCTAAGGTTATTGAATTGGGATTGACTGTAATTTGTTTACTGATACTCTTTTCAGGAATTTTTCAGTGGTGTGAAGCATTCTTTTCAGATAAGGATATTTACTTCCACGATTGTTTATATTTTATTGTAATTACACTCTTTACAATTGGTTATGGTGATATTGTAGGTTTTTATTCAATTTTAGTTGTGGATAACACTTGTTGTAGTCACCATCCAATCCAGTTTCTAGATACGCTGTTATTCTCTTCTTTTTGGTTGGTGTTTCACTAATACCACTTCAGTTGAGTGGAATTTATGATATTATCACCAGTGAAGATAACATTTTCAAGGTGAAAAATTTAATTCTTAAAAAGCATGTTGTAGTGTCGGGCAGTGCTCGTCATGATGAAGTTGTGGATTTTATCAAACATTTCTTTCACAAATTCAATAAGAAAAAAACAAAGAAACTGATTTGTAAGTTGAAAGTTATTCTCACTAATTATTGGAATGAAAATAGGCGTTTTCAAGAATAAGGAACTTTCTGAACAATTGAGAGAATCATTGAGGAAAAACAATTATCGATCCTACATTTACATTTATACTGGTGACATTATGGATTTTGATATTATGCAACTATTAGAGATACCAACAGCTCATTCAGTTATCTTGTTGAATAGTCCAAAGATTGGGCATCCTAGAAAACAAGACAATAGCATAATAATGACCACAATCGGTAAGTAGTCAATTTACATTTTCTATATAAATCATATCTTAGCTTTAAGAAATTTCAATAAGAATTTGAAAGTATTTGCCCAAATCAACTTGGTAGAATCGAAACCATATTTGATCAAGGCTGGTGCCAAAGTTATCGTCTGCAATGAATCCATCAGTTCAAAAGTTTTGTCAGCTTCCGCTGTCTCGTCAGGAATTGGAACATTTCTGTTTAATATTATGAGTGCTGTAGAGATCACCAACGGTTCCAAGAATTTTTATGATAATTTATACATTGAAAATAAGTGGATTCTAGAATACTCTGAAGGTCTAAATTGCCAAATTTATAGAGTTGATTTTAGTCCTGCTTTTTATAATAGCTTGTTTATTGATGCTGCTTTCTTGTTGATTACCAAGTCAGAGGTTAATATTTTTGCTGTGGAGGATGTAAATGGAAATATATTAGTCAATCCAACAAATTATTTAATCAAGGAAGGAGATAGATGTTTTTGTATTGCCAAAAGTCATAAACATGCAAAGGAAGTATCAAATTACCAATCCTCTGAAGATGAAGAGATCAAAACCACAAAGAAACTAAAAACTGCAAAACCCTTCATTTACAATTCCCAAAAAATCATTGAAGAATTGGGTGACGAATTCTATGATCCAAACTATGCTGATTATCTGGCTAAGGAGCAGATGGATTTTGAAGGCATTCACAAAAATGAAAATAAGGAAGTAATGAAAATCTCTGAAAAACATAGAAAGAAGGTTGTAGAAAAGAAGACTCTTCCTAACAAGTTATTGATGGCAGCAAATGCAACACGTACTCGTAGAAAGAGTATCAGCTCAGAATCAAGAAAAGCTGACATTTACCTCTTGAGAGACAAACATGATGAACCATCAGAGGAAGAATTGAGCACACTACACATGGAGATTCTGCTAAAGCTTATTTCACCAGAGTTTTACTTTTTACAAAAGAGATGCCTACTAAAAGCTATCAAACAGAAAAAACCAGAAGAACGAAAACGTCTCGAAGGTGAATTTTATTCAGAAGTTCAAAAGACCTATAATCTAGTGTCCAATATCCCTCGTTCAAAGGAAGACTTTTTAATTACGAACTATAGAATCCCTACTCTCATTAGAGATCACATTCTAATCATTGGAGAATTTCAACAACCTGCCATCATTTGTTCTATCATTAGATCTCTATCAAGACAAAATTATTTCACTCAAATAGTATTTATGAGTCCATTTGTTGACAAGTACTTTGTTTTTTTATATGAAAGGCTCAAATTCTTTTCCAATGTGTACTTTATTAGTGGTAATCCATCAAAAAGTTTTGATTTGAGAAAAGCAGGAGCTCACCTTTCTAAATCCATCCTCTACATTACTCAGGAGGAAAAATTAGTCAATATTGAGAATAATATTACTGAGGAAGCAGTAGATCAAGAACAGAATGATTATAATATCGATTCAGAGGCCATTAAGCTAGCACTATCTATTGATTTTATCGATTCTAACAAGTTTTTCATGATTGAATTGTGTAATCGTTCCAATTTGAAATTTATTCAACACGATGGCGTTTCCACTTATGAAAAAATTATGACACTGCAAGAAAGAGGAATTATTGAACATAACTTGGATGAATTTGATAGATTTTGTTTATTTTCTGATTTGTATATTTCTGGAAAGATTTTCCCATCTTCTTCCTTCCTTTCAAGAATTTTGGCTCAATCGTTCTATAATAAGAGAATTACTGAACTCTTGGATCAATTAATTGCTGATGAATTTGTAGCTGGAGACAATCAATCAGTTCTGTTTGAAGTACCAGTCCATGCCATTTATGTTGGATCGACAGTATTTGACATGATATCTAACTTTTATGAGCATGGCTTGATCTTGATGGCTCTAAGTCGGATGAACAAATCAAAAGAGGAGCAACACAGATATACCTACACCAATCCGTCCCTTTCAACAGTGTTGCACTCGATGGATGTTTTAATAATATGTGGAAAGAGATGTAGATATCAAACTCTTTTGAAAAATTACAACAAGGAAAAGTCTAATAATGCTACAACACCATCTAATACTTCTCAAATAGTTCTCAGTGAAGAGGAAATAGTGGTCAACTTGGATAGGGATGTTTTCACAGATCCTCAAATTGTTGTTTCTCCAAATTCTCCACCAATTTCCTTAGTGGTACCACATACATCACCGACTACAAGTAATAATAATAATAATGGAAATAATCGACCATCCTCATCAGCTTTACTTCTTCGACCACCTCAAAACACATCTTCAATCAAGGAAGAGGATGAAGAAGATAGAGCTCCTAGAATGAGTTTTGATCAATTATTATTAAGATCAAAGAAGGTTTAACAAGTTGTTGATGGCAATATTCTGTGTCAGGAATTCATGTTGTAAATTTCAATAAATGTTCGATGTAAAAAGAGAAAACAAGCATTTTTCTACAGTGGAAAAAAATGGAATTTACTCTTAGAATAAAATTATAAAAATTGAAAAAAAAATGATGATGGCTTCGGAAATGTACTCGGCACGTGTTGTGGTCAAAGATTTAAATGATGAACGATCGGATGATGATGTACGCACGTGGGAAGTATTGGAACATACAAAACGGCCGGGAGAGGAAGTATATTTTTGTAAAGTTGTGGATGATGAGGATAGATCCAAACTTAAAAGATTTGGTGTATTGGTGGAAAATAATTTACCTCATGAAAATTTGATATTTATATTTAATATTAATGGAAAGGAAGTAAAGGAATCAATGACACAATTTGTTCCTCCAAATGGAAAGAGAGTATTTTGTTCAATTATTGATAATGATAAATCATTTCCTCTGGTATTTTGGTGGGATGACATGTTGACAAAAACTGTTCCTCCAATGTGTGGAATAATTAAAGTTAAAATATATAAGATTTCAATAACGAATTATATAGTTCCAAGTCAAAAGATAAATGAGAGGAAATTAATAGATTGTAAAAATTTAACAGACGAAGATATGAGATATACATTACCCAAATCGGAACATGTCACACTACTAAATCACGAAATTCCATCCTATGTAGAGTATTTTGAATGTCATATTTCTAGCCTACTAGGGAGACTACAATTACACTGTTGCAATTCACAAAAATATAAAGAAGTAGAAAAGGATTCAAATACAATATTAGAAGTGAATGAAACGGATCTCACTCAAATTGACAATGAAGCTGACAAGAAGAGTGATCCTAGCTACATGTCAAACTTTTCTAAAGCTGAACTGTCAATGATGAATGCAGAAAAACTAGTATCAACACTTGACAAGGCTGTTGGAGATATTTTGAGTTGTGGAGAATTGGAAAAGCTTAGATTTAATAACGTCTCTGGATCAGAATTCCTTTCTTGGTTTGAACATGATGGATTACAATTGAATCCTTTCAATTTACAACAAGGTACAATGATTACGTTAAACCTTGCCGTTCAAAATCTTAGAACGCCACCAGGACTAATGTTTTTTTCTGAAAAACAAGAAGCAGAAATACGTCGTCTCAATCCAGAAAGTTTGCATAATTTATTGACGAGTGCTATTGGAAATCTGTTTGATGTAGGAGAGTTGGAAAAGTTGAAGAATAATGGTATTAATGGCATGGTATTTCTGTACCTGTTTAAAAATCCATCACCCGGAACACTTCAATTGAAACCTAATTCAATAGAAACTCTCAAGGTTGTTGTCTCAATGTTGAAGAAATAATAAACTATTTCTTCTCAAACCAGTCAGGTACAGTTTTAAAGCAAGTGATACTATACTCCTCAATTTGGAAGACTTCAACATTTTCAGTTGCCACATCATTCGTCTTGGCCATCTTGGTATAACTGCAATAGGTTGAAATCGTACCAAGCTTCATCTCATCTCTGCTTAATTTCTCCTCCTCATCATCACTTTCTTGATCACTATCCTCTCCAACAATTCCACACCTAATCTCTTCTGCATGAGAAGCATCTGTAATAGCAGCCTCCAAAAAGATTTGAGCATTCTCTCTTTTCAATAATTGCCTCAAATCAAACAATGCAACCATTTCATTTCTATTAACATATTTTTGTTTTAAGGTTATTTTCATTATCCTTTCCTTGTCAAAGTAGCTGCTAAGGTTGTCTCGAGAGGCTGACAAGAAAACCTTATCTTCAATATCAAATACTAGTGGACCTTCGTTAAAAATTTGGAAACTTTCGTATTCCTTTTTCATCACACCAAAAATATCTATGGTTAATATCCAGCATTCGTCAACCGATGATTTGAGATCCTTAACAGTAAACTGGTTAATTGACCATTCCCAAATAAGCTCATCATGAGCAAAATGCATTCTTGCCTCTGAGGCTGGCCTGTAAACTTCGGGTGTGTTATCTGTTCCAAAAGTGACATTACCCAAGAAGGCATCAATTCCAGTTGGTTTCTTTGTGTTTGTATCTCTTTCATCCCATGTTATGGTATTGAGGTCTGATGTTAAGGTTGATGAAGTGTAATCATAGTAGTCACTCACTTGAGAACCATTATAAACTTGTCTTTGTCCACTGTGGGATGCTGGCCTCTTTTTCAAATTTCCGATAGATTTGGCGTAGGAAGGTGTTGAAGAAGTATTTCTTGGAGTTGCACTCATGGCTGCTCTTCTAGTGAGAGTTTGAGAAGGCGTTGTTGGTCGTTTCTGAAGAGTGGCTGAGAATGGCCTTCTTTCAATTGTGGATGTGGCAAGTTTTGGAACCATAGTTCTTGCTGATTGTGGTCTATCTCTCTTGTTTGATTCATCAATCTCTCTTGCTCCCTCTCTTGTGGTTTTTAGGGTTGGAATCATTTCCATCCACTCGTCTGGCAAAGGATCTGCGGTATAAAAATCAGCTGGAGGAATATATACACCTGAATTGCACTCTGTCAATTTGAGATTTGTAATGTCCTTATTACTCATTTGCACAAATCCAATAGTTGCTCTCAAGGAACAAAGTTTAAGTCCAGTAGCAGAAAAAAGGACCATGTAATCCAACTTGTCCAATAACCCACTCTCGAATTGTTTCAAATTTAGAACTGCCTTTCCAATTACTTCATTTCCATTTACACAAAGATCAACCTTGATGTCTCTTTGGTTCTTCAGAAAGACTCTGAATTGTGTCTGATTCTTAATGAAAAAGTAGAATACCCTCAATTTTCCAACTGCAATCTTCTTCTTTGGATCCACATCTTCCATTTTCAAAGGAACACATAATTCAGTATCAAATAGTTTTACCTTAAGTTGAACTTTCTTAGCTGCTAATAAATTATCTGGAACATTTCTGACCTCTGAAATTACAAAAATGAATAATAAATAGGGAAACAACATACCATTCAAGTAAACAATAAATCTGTACATTAATAAACTTTTTGGCATTTCCTTTGTATCGCAATTAAGCCTCTTTTGATTCGACAACCTATGCTGTAATGATTCCAAAATTGAAGCATCGTCATTAATTTTCTTAGTTACTGGAATACCAATTGCCTTTGCAAACTGGAGCTCAACTTTGGCAAGCTTTTGCTCTTGTAAGTACATGTCAAAACATGGTTTGCAAACCTTAAACTCCTGGTACCAGCTTGAAGTTTCTGATGTTCCTTTAAATTCAGGTCTATCAAACCAAGCTAATTTTACAGCTCTTCTCTTCAAGTGTTGTTCAGTAGCATAAATCATCTTTAGAGTCATGGAATAACTCAAATCAGTGGGAGGGAACAGATTGAGACACATTTTGCACTCTTTACTTTTGAGATAGTATGATTTTGCTTTGATATTTCTTTCCTCTGGAATTTCCTCTTCCGAACTTGGTTTTTTGATCTTTTTTTCCTCAATTGTAAATGCTTTGGCTTGGATAAACCAATACCTCCCATCATCGTCTCTGATAAAATCTGCAGCAAATGTTTCGAATTTACATTTAAGTTTTGGTAAACTTTCCAAATATTTTACAATATTGTTCATTTGAACTCCTATACTTCCTAAAGCTGCTGCTTTCAATTGGAAAATATCAATATTATTTGCATTATCTGTATTTGTTAATAGCCTATTTGTTGCCTCTTTTTCAAATGGATCTGTTGTGGTCTTTTTGTTTGAAAGAACATATCCAGAGACAGGTCTAGTTGAATTCCAAATAATCCTGGCAACTGATGCTTTGCTTCCACTCGATTTTACATATCTTTGGAAAACACAGAGTCCAGTATTTTGAGCATCCAAAATTGTTAATAATTGCTTAACACTCAGTAGAGAGGCAACATTGGTAGTAACTTCACCAGGAACCAACTAAATAGATTAGTTATCTAATTCCAGTAATACTTACTCTTTTCATGACAACAGCCACGTCAGAATCTGAGGTAGTTCCATAAGTTAGTTTTTGTTTTATCGTCTTGAAGGCTACATTATCAACCCTTACAACATAACCATCTACATCTGTATAGTACAACACTGGACTTTCAGAAATTCCAAAAACGACTGTGTACGGTAATGATATTCGCAATTTAGACTTTGTGACAATATTATGTTGGTCAGGAAGATAATTTCCCTTCACTGGAGAGACAAGATACTTGAAAAATGGAATTAGAGGTTTAAGGGGAAAGGAGGAAGCAAAGATGGATTGGTATTTGTGCTCAGAAAAACTGATTTTCTCTACAAGTTCCTTTTGTTTTTTCAATCTTATTTCAGCATTCAAGTTGGTGACTGGATATTTTCTCTGAAGTTGATCATCTTCTAAATTACTAGCTGGATCATTACTATTAAATCAATATAAATATTCCAATAAAATATGTATCACTAAATACATACGATATGAATGGATAGGTAAATAAATCCTCCTCTACTTGTTTATCAATAGCAGCTTCCACAGGCTCAGCCAATTTAATCTTCCTTGGTTTTGTTACAGAATTACTACGTTGTTTAGAACGGGAGTGTGCTGTTGCCACCTTATCAATGAGGGTTCCGATTTCAAAATTTAAATCTGCCTCAGAGCTTTGGTGAGAGGTACTGAGGAGTCTATTCATTTTTTTTTGGCGCTGTTTTGAACTACAAAAAACATCATCATAACCTCACCTAAAATACCAGGTTCTATATCATGATATTTTTAAATGCAACATATTATAGAGAGGGAATTGAATATGATAATTGATGAGGTAATATTAATATGTTCCGATAATAATTTCACAAATGATGATGAGAACAATAACGTATTTCGTTTAATATTTATTGTTATTGATCAGTTTTTTTTGAATGTCATTCTACCAAAAGATTCTCACCCAACCAACACAACAATAAAAATGACACAAAGCCTCTTCTATAATGAACGACAACCAACCTCTTCATTAGACATGTCGGAACATGATGATAGTCAGAGAGATTCAAAACAAGCTGATCATCAAATTATTGTTGAAAAGAATTTATGTCAAATAATGGATAGTGTAATATTTAACAATGATTTTTTATTAAAATATCATGAAATTCAAAATAATTGTAATTTAAGAGTAACACAAAAATGGAGCATTGATGAAACTGTTATTTCTAATTATACAGAATTGATAGATTATATGGAACAAAATCCAACTTGTAAAACTTATGAATTAAAGAGAGTGACTGAGTATGATCAAGCAATCAATGTACCAAGTTTTATTTCATATCTAGGAATACCTTCAAAATTGCCATGTAGAGTTAAGGAATTACTAATACTGTACAAAAATAAGTGCCAATTATTTGTAGATATTGATATTTTGGATAGTTATTTGAAAGATAAATCTAAAACTAATTTAGAATATACCATCAAACAATACAATGACCACAGTATGATTATTTATGGTAATGTCATTTGTACATTCAATAGTAACATGTTAATGTGGGGTTTGAAGGAAAAAATTGAAAATTACATGAAATCTTTAGCTGATGTAAAATTGAGTGAATGGTTCGAAATTGCAAAACAGTTTTTAAAGAATAGTGATGCCTATGTCAGCACTAGGAAAGTTGTGGAGACCCCGGTCGTGGAAAAATCAGATACTAAAAACGTAAAAATCATAGAACCAAGCGAGTATTCACATGTTGTGGAGCATGAAGATGAAATAGAGGATTATCACTCTGACAATACCAGTGAAAATTCATACTACTCAACAAAGAGTGCCATCCAAGATGTTAATCCTGCCAATTTAATAGATCATTCTTACAACTTGGTGAAACTGAAAAATGAGTTGACTCAACTCAAATCAACTTTTTCTCAATTAGATTTAAAGATTAAGAATCTGGAGAGTTCGTTCAAAGAAAATCAAATCCAAACGCTCATTAGAAAATACTTTAACAAGATTAATTTACTCATTACCCAACAACGAGACACTAGGTATAAGTTGAAAAATAGGGTAAAGCTAATCTCAGGGTTATGGTTTATTTTAGGCTTATTTATTGGACCAATTGTTTATTATCTATTGAAAATCAGGCGAAAATAAATCAAACGTTCAACTGATTGGCATAGTAATCATCAAAGTCAAACGTTGTGACCAGTGTAAGGAAAATGTTATTGTTTAAATCTAACAAGTTCAATGATTTTTTCAAAATTGAAATTGAATCCAATTTTTCATATCCGTACAAGTTCAATTGTTTTGAAATAAATGTCCAAATTTCACCAAACTTGGGTTCTGCTTTTTTACACTCTTCCTCAATAATTCCAGGTTGATTCCCATGCAAACATTCAATTTTGTACAAGTAAATCCACATGTCACCATTTGTAGAATCGATAGTCAAGGCCTTTTTCAACCACTCCTTTGCCTTATCAATCTTACGTTCCCTATAGAAATCGAGTGCAATTTGGGAGATTACATAAATATCTCTATCACAATGCTTGAGTGCATTAGCACAAGAAGACTTTCTTTTTTGAACAATCTCCAATGGTATAGTAAAGGACCACAATACTCCCAATTGTTTCTTATTGGAACCAATAGCTTGAATACCCTTCATTAGTGTGGCAAGACTTGTGTTGTTTACACTACCAACTCCATTAGTACTACTCACATAATATTCCAACTTGACAAGAGAGAGCCACAAAGTTGCACTAGATGGATTTTTAAGTAAGGCTCTATCAATAATAGCTCTTGCCTTATTAATATTAGGAGGAATAGTCTTGAGGAGAGGATTAAAGTGCAATTTGATTAAACTAGTCCATAGAGGAATAGAGTTTGGACATTTTTCAATACCTGCCTCATAAATAAGAGAAACCTCATTGGAAATGTCGTTATACTTCTCAAGAGATAGAGAGTTCATGTTCAATAGAGTATAAATTTGTCCCTCCTCGAGTTGGCCCTTCATTAGGTACAATTTAGGTTCTTTTGGATATTTGGATAGACCCTCATTCAGTATTTCGTATTCTATTGTTTTCTTTGTATAAATAGTTTCACTATTAATAGTAGTATTGCTTAGGGATTGATTCGATTGGAGATAATTATCAATTTGTGAGAAGAGAGCACTCCTCATGGATTCATTATTGAACACATATCTTTCAAACAAGGCAGAACGAATGTAAATATTTCCTGCATCGGCTTGTTCGGTAACTTCCTTCTTTTCATCTAGGAGGCATCGAGAATTGAATAAAAGTAGTCTAGCCCTCAAATATTCTTCATTCTCATATTCAAGTTTGACAGCTGCCAGTAAAATATTGAAAATCTTCAATTGCTCAAAACCTTCCTGAAGAACATCTCTGGCATTTTGAATATTGCTAAATACCTTCCATTCATACTTGGCTCTAATTAACCATAAATTCTGACAACTTGGACATTCAGTTGTTGCTTGTTTGAGCAAATTTCTGGTTGTGAGAGTGTCCTCCTTTTGATATTTGATCTGAAATTCGTAATAATTCATCCATACAGACTTTTTGGTTGGAAACTCCCTGATTGCACATTCAAAAATGGCCTTGGCACATTTCATAAATCCTTCAGTGGCCAAATTATTGGCATCACGAATGTATTGTGATTTTCTTTCCCTCACATCAGTAAGAGAATATCCAATCATTTCATTAATTATTGCTTCACATGTTATAAAGTGTTCTGATTTTTCTGCATTCTTTGCATATCCTATCCACTCGTCACGATCTAATCCCTCCTCCTTCAGCTTTTTCAATGTCTCAATAGCATTCTTAATGACCTTTTGGATACTATTCTTTCCATTAGTGTTTGTTGTTTCGGTATTGTAATGTTCCTCTTCTAGATAGGCACCAGAAATCCAAATGAGAGGCTCTCTTGGTAATTTAGAAATAGCTCTAGATAGTACTTTCTTGGCATCCTTGTAAGGGTTTAATTTAGCAAGAGCCAACCACAAATCTATACTATTAGGAATATATTCAAGAGCACTCTCTAGTAAAGTCTTTGCAGATTGTTCTTCAGTTTCTAAATCAATAGCTTCCTTCCAGAGTTGTAAGCTCTCTGGTTGTGCCTGAATAGCCTTTCTAAGAATTTTCTTTCTCTTATCCAAATCTGATTCCAATTCACATGCCTTCAACCACAACTTGACACTCTTTGGACATGCTTGTAATGCTTGACAACACACTGACTGAGCTAGTATATTATTCTTATTCTGTTTGTCAAATTGTTCATTCAAACGAATAGATTCGAGCCATAATTCCTCACTATCTGTCACAATGTTGCAAGCCTTTTCAATAACTTTACAAGCTTTTTTAAGATCTCCAGCTAACTCTTCCAAACGAGCTCTTCCCATCCAACTTCCAATATTCTCAGGACGAACCTGTGTTGCTCTCTTGAATAGCTTTCTATATTTCTTGATTTGAACTCTTTCTTCACTTCCCAAAACTATTTGGGAATCCAAACCAGACATGTAATTTTTTGGGTCAACTGTTGATGTACCAGAAATTGAATCTTCTAACGATTGCAATTTGCTTTTCATAATAGTTTCCTTCATTTCTCCCAAAGCTCTCAAATCTGTAAGAGTACCAGATTGATTCATTTTACCAGTATCTGCTGTATTATTAAATTTAAGCGTATTATTATTCAATTTGTCAAGTATTAATTGATCAGGAGCTGCTGTGTACCTTTCATACATTTGTTGATTAAGCCTATTTGGATTTTTAGAATTGACAGCACTTCCACTCACCTCTGGAATATTCCATTCCTCCTTTGAAAGATATTTTAATTCTTCTTTAATATCTGAAAATGTAGCTGCAATTTTTGGTTTTTGAGAATCCAAAGAGCTTGTCAGAACTGAATATTTAGCATATTTTGAAGTCTGATTTTCATTTTCAGTTACGTTTTTTCTTTTTTTCTTATTTTCCATTCTTTGTGATATGGCACTCCAAATAGAATCAGCCTCCTTATCCTCTTCATCTTCAACTCCTGTCACACGTCCTAAAATATTTCCACCATATCCACTCCATTCATCAAATGTTTGATTTGTTTCCTGTTCATTTTCTTCCTCTGTTGTTGAATTACTAGAAGATCCTTGTGGTTGAGTAAATCGTGATGGTAATCTAGCAGGTCCGATATCACTTCTTGTTGTAAAACCTGTTGCACCTCTTCCGATACCAGCAACATAGCCTGGAGGAGGTTCTCCGAACATGGCATCAGCACTAATAAATTTTTGAGAACTTGCCACCTGTTGTGCGAGAAGACGATTCGGAGGTGGTGCGAGTATCTTCTTGTTGTTGTACATTTTTTTTGACTGATGAATTTGAACCTGTTGTAACAAAAATTGTTTAAAAATATACATTTTTTTTTATTTACAAATGATTTTAACTAAGGTTTATATGAGATGATACGGTATGTATTTTCTAATTCTTCTTTCACACTTTCATTGGTTGTGGATAGAACTACAAGGTCCATAATCTTTGGCAGAAGGAATAAAAGAGATGGTCTGTCCTTCTCTGCCAAATTACAAATAATTTTCAAATTATTAATGAAAATGTAATCATTTTGATATTCCTTCTGGTATCCATCAAAAACATGAACAAGATTTGCAATAAATTGCTTCTTAATTTGACTTTCCCTATCCATAATTTGACATTTGGCTTCTACGCTAATAGTAATATGTGACAGGGCATTAATAGATTCTAGTAAAAGTATTTGATTCTTTGATCTAAGGTGAGGCATTATATAATAGATAAATCTACCACATTTCGTCAAACCATCAGTATAAAAACTCAGTTTTGAAATGTGTTCCATTAGAGAAATCAGTATTTTCTCATCGGTTGGATGATGCTCAAATATGTCTTCCACTAGTAAGAAAATTTGATCCTCTTCCACTAAAACTACATGGGTCTTTGGAACCTGTAACAAATTGTTCAATAATTTGAATCCATTCTTCATCACTTTTGGATTCATATCCTTCTGTTGAAAATGGTTCAGACATTTCATTGTAAGAACCGGTAAGACACCTGTGTCAGTAACAATTTTACACGGCTCCTTTTCAAAACACACTCCCTTAAATAGTTTAAGAGTGAGGTAAATATTGGTTGGGTTTTCAGTTTTGTAATTGTTTAGGATGAATTGTTGAATTTCTTCAACATGAGGAATGACCTGGTCACGAGCAATTTTCGCCTTGTAAGATTTACACAGGGTTCTCAAAACATCCTCTCTAGCAAAATCCTTCTTGAGTAAATCAACGAGATTAGGAATGAGTTTATCTTCCGTGTAGAGGATACTAGCAGTAATATTCTTTGTATCTGCCTTATATAAATCATGCAAACTCCTAACACTCTTAATCACCAAAATTTCATTATCTGATTGGGTAAGTTTGTTGATTTTAGTGTACAGCAAAGCTCCATACCCAGGAGTGCAACTGTTTGGATCTTGTTCTTTTGGATTGGGTTTGCAGCTGAATTTGGCAATATGTTGGTTGTTTGTTGCAAAATTTATTTCCTGGTTCTCCACAACTCCATCACCGTAACCATCATACTTTTTCCTAATAACTTCCCACATAATTCCTCCAGAAATGATGAATGTTGTTTTTTTCTTTTTGAAAATTTGTAGTCTTTTGGCGGGAGTTAGTTGTTTACGTTAAAACTGTTGCAGATGCGAATTATTGTTTTTGATGATTCCCAATAATTTTCGACTTAGAATTAAATAGTAAAAGTAGGAAGAAGTTTGTGATTATTTTCTAATAATTCTAAAAATCACAAAGAAAATCCAAGAAAACGTTCAACCATACGAATTATCACCTAAAGTGACTGGCATCAAAAATGATTAACGAAGAAGAAGTAGGAAAATTATCTAGTAGCATTCGTGAACAACCTATTGAACAATTCCAGTGTTCGTGCAAAACTTCATGGCTTATGAACGTGAGAAAGTCTAACCATCCATTGTCCTTTTATTTGAAAATTAAAATTAAATTTTTGACGTTATTAATTTTTAAAAAATGCAACCTTTTGGCTTTCCTGGTGGTAACCCAATGGTAGGGCAAAGTAAGTAGTAGAATAGGTGTCAATGGGAGAGTGATGATGACATCATTATTATTATACTTCTTTCGCATAATGTAGTGGTTGGAATGTCAAACGATAAAAGATTTTTAAATCCTGGTGTTGCAGCAGGAATGATAAATCCAAATTCTGCAGCAGCAGCCGCTCTCTTACAACAACAACAGCAACAACAAAAGTATGTTTTTGAAGTTTAAAGATCAAATAGATTTATAAAAATTTGTAGAAAGCCTAAAATTGATTACATTCAACTCCCTGAAAAGGTGAAGGAAAATATCAGTGAGAGTCAAATCTATAGTATTCTTTTAAATTATGAACATCGATTGGATACCTTGTTATCAGAGAAGAAACAACACATGAGACAATTATTGTTAAACAATGAAACAACAAGGGAAACACTCAGAATTTACGTCTCACATCAAAGAAAACCAATTTCAAAAACTGAAGAAGAGTGGAGAGTTGGAATTCAAGGAGGTATTGTCAGAACGTCAACAAATCTTGCAGCTGCTGAACAATACAAATTTACAAACTTTTTAAAATCAATGAGCATTGAATTAGATAGAAATATATTCACAGGTGGAGAAGATTTTATTGAATGGAACGCTATTGCATCACAACCTTTAAAGGATGGTTTTACATTTTCCAGAAAAGTTAATTTACAAAACTTACAAAACCTACCAGGTACATATCAACTAAGAGTAGTTTTTCACATCAAACAAGATCCTCCTCTCTATAACGTTACTCCAACCCTAAATCAAGTTATTTCCAATACTAGCGAATACTACCGATGTTTGGATAGAACATCACAATCCAATGAACCTCCAACCTTTACTTTGAATCAAATCCTAAATATGATATGGGAATATATCACTAAGAATCAACTCTATGACATGAATGATCAATCAGCAATCAAATTGGATCCTCTTCTCAGACAACTTTTAGAAGATAACACTTTAACTTGTTCAACATATGCAGAGATTTTGAAAAAGATTAAACCACACTTGTTGATACCACTTTCGAGTAGTGTGGTAGAGATAATTCATCCAATCCAATTCCACGTTACTGATCTAACAAATACTTCTACAACTTCTGGCTCCTCTAAGAGAGATGTTCCTGTCCAAGTAGTAACTCCACAACAAGCCAAGCTCAATTCGACTATTGAAAAGATTTTGAGCGAAGAACCAAGCGAAGATGTCGAAACTATCAATAAGAATATTCAATCCGTCATTCAGGAAATTAAACAACACTCGGAAAAGATGAAGTTTATGAAGAAATTTTCGGATGATCCTGTAAATACTATACACTCTTTAATAGATTCTCAAACTCGAGATTTATTGATTTTACATAAGAAACAATCGATTGAAGAGGCCAGAAAGTCATCCTTTTACAAACCATGTGATTGGATTAATACTGCTTTACAAAAATATTTGACAAATAATGATTCAAAATATAGACAAAATTGATTCCGACTTGTTAAATGATGTGCTATTGTTGTAATTTATAAATATCATTTTGTAATTGTTTTTCGTATTGTTTCAATTCTAGTAATTCCTTTTCCATTTGTTTGATAATTTGTGATTGTTTTTCACTCTCTGCTGTTGATTGTAACTTTTCCTTCTTCATGTAATTATTTTCCATTTCCAAAATTTCAATTTCACTCCTCAGGTTGGTGATGAGAGTTTGTAATTGTTGTTGGGACATTTTTTTTTAAATTATTATTGGAGGATTCCTTGTTTTTTCTTTCTCCGATTCCGTAAACTATCAATCCAAAGAAGAGAACTATTATTGAGATAATGTGGTAAATGGTGAGTTGACTTTGCTCTGGAATTAAAAATTTCATAAACGGTAAGGCAAAAACCATGGTGCAAAATGGAAAGGCAAATGCATTTGCAAAAAATGTAATATCAGCATTAATGTATTGTACACAAATTAATCTCAATTGTAGCCAAATGTAACTAAAAATATTGAATACTACAATAGTTATCCATCCCTGTCTATTTCCAAATAGAATATCAAATGCCATGTTCATGCCATGTATGAAATCATTCACGCTATTATATTGATGAATGAAAAAGTAATAAATAGGAAACATTATAATAGTATTCAACATTAATTCGTAAATTCTTTCATAAAATCCAACAGTATAAACATTAATTTCAACGTGATTAGTTTCCTTTCGTTTGGAATATTGTTTTTTGATTAGAAATTTGAACAAGTATTGTTCATACATTCGTTGACCCACTGAAAAAAAGCAGCTCAATAAAAATATTAAACTATAAAACGTATTGACAGATCCAAAATTCATATTCACTAAATATGGTAGAATGACTACAATAAAAATACCCAACAAAATACACGCAACTCCAATCCATTGAAGTTTGTTATATTTAAATTTGAAAATTAATATTGTAAATATTACTGATAGTGGAATATTAATCTGAGCTAGTACAACCATAAATGTTCCACTACTCTTTCCCATTCCATTACTTCCAATAATTTGAAAAAGAGTTTCAAAAATGTTACAAATCGATATATTGATATAGTGAATGGTAAATACTTGATGATGATTTTTGAATTTTCCACATTTTCCACCATAAACTTCAGAATGTATAAAATGTCCCACAAAAAACAAAATACTCGTAATGATATAATTCAATTCAGAGGCTAAGAATGGGTGTTGATATAATAAATTGAGTGATTTTTTAAAAAACAATGTTGATAGGACATCAAAGAATAAATATAAGAATAGCAATATGAAAGAATAAACATAAAATTTCACTCGTTTCCACTTGAAGATGGTTGAATAGGAGAAGGTATTAAATCGTCCAAATATTTGTTCCGAGAATGTTTGTTTACTCTCATTCTCTCCATGGTGGTGATCATCATCATTGATTGCCATGTTGTGCACATTTACAACATGATCATCGGCAACAGAAAGCAGCTTTGTTCGTTCATCTACTTGTTGCAGCATTTTTTAATAACACTTTTCTAATAAATTGAGGAAAACCACAGAGTTTGGAAAATATCTTGTAATGAACAACTAGGGAGGTGTATAGGGTGTTGTTCATACACTGTAGATTATATTTACAATCAGAGTTGATTCGTCGAAATACGGGAGGAGCAAGGTTTAAACTCTTCTATTACAACAATAAACAATGCTCAAAACAGACAAGTGGTTGAGTAGATGTTCTCCAATCTCCATATTTGTATTTAATTAAACCAAGTTTCACAACTTTCCGCTGTATTTGGTCTTTTTCATAGATATTGTTCATGTCTGAAAAAAGTTACCATCAAGAACAATTAAATCAATATTCAATACATGAAATGTGATAAATCTGCTTGAAATATTGGTTTACATTGTTGAATTCATGTGATTGCAATTTTCACAATGTTAATGGGAGATCCATTTAATAAGACATGTCACTAGTCATGGCAAAATAATTCCCTTATCTTACAGATGAACATGAAACGACTATTCGTTATTGACAACAAAAAGGCAATAGAAAATAATATTTATATAGGGCTTCTTTTTTTGTTTCGGTTCTTCATAAAATAGTCAATCATGTTCAATAGTGGTGAATATTAGCAGCATTTCATAGCTTTCATTTGGAACTTGTTCGAATCATGAAACATTGAAAGAGCCCAAAATTACCTTACCAAATCTCCACACAAGCTTCGAATACAACCAACAACACCAAGAGAGAGAATTGAAAAAGCAGCATCAATTGTTGACTCAGCACCGACATGTCATTTTGTTCACTCACACTTTTTGATACTCTCTTATTGTGCGTATACAAACTCAAAAAAGCCTATAAATTCATAGATGGAAAGTACTCTAGGCTATAAAAGACTAGTCTCACACCACTCTGATTTGAACACTTTGAAAAAAAAGCCTTTAAAACACAATCTCAAACAGCCTTTGTAATTCTCTAATACAACATGAGTGAACGTCTTCCACTTTCTCCTTTTGAGTTTGAATCAGATATTTCTGATAATGAAGTGAATCCATATGATCAATTATCAATTTTCGACACTGTTTCCCATATGGATGAAGACGAGGGCCACCAGCAACAAGATCACCTCCTCAATCATTCACTCGTTCAAATGTGGGATATGACTGAGGAATCAGATGATTTTCCCAATGAAGGCTCAATGCTGATCAGTCACTCATCCACTCTCACTGCTCACCACATGAGTTATGACCACGACACCATCTTGGGTGAGGGTAGTAATATGTTAATGGTTCCTATTAAGACAACTTCTGCCACTACTATTGAGAATGGTTCTATGCACGAAATTCAACATACCATCTTCTCAGAGGAGGAATACTCCCAGGAATTGAATGGTACCACCAACTGCTCAACTCTCAATGACTTGAAAAGTGTTTCAAGTTCACAGAGAAAGTTGTTCAGACCAGCAACAATCACCTCTTCTTCTTCAACAACTCAAGATGAGTCAGAGTTGAATATCAAGAATAACATTTATCAAACCATTTGTCCTCATCTTTTCTCAACTGAGGAGGTTCTTGTTGAGGGAGATGCTGGTGATCAATTATTGCAGTCCTCACCAGTAAGCGAATCCTTACTTGCAACTCCTCTTTATCAAGCCTCCATTATTAAAGAGGAAAATGAGATTTCAATGATGAATACAACAAGTAATCCAATAGTTTATGACGAAGAGACGGATGAGCCAAGTGAAGATGGGAACGATAGCTTCTACGATCACTGCTCGACCACTTCTGATGACAGCTCTGATTTTGATTACATGGAAGTAAAGAAGAGAAAGACTTCAACGAAGACTTCCAAAAAGAAGGTTGCCGAAACAAAGCCTCAAAAGAAGAAGAAGATGGAGTCACCTTCCAAATCAGCACACAATACTGAAAGAGAATCAAAGAGAAAGTCATCCAAAAAGATTGGAAGCAAGAAGGACAAATCATTGAGCTCAAATGGTACTCCAGTTGCTGAAGGAGATATTAGATATGTCTACTCTGGTGGTTTCTTAAATGTCAGACTTAAAATGCCTGCACAGTGCAAAGGATTGGGTTTAGGAATAGTTCCTGCCTGTAAACCAGCATTCTATTATGAAGGAAAGAATATGGTAAATGACACATCCGATTCTGCCAAGTTTACTGTTGTTGTTGAGGCTGTCAATTGTCCTGATGATTTTGATGTTAGCAAAATTGATTTAGTGGTCTTATCTTGTTCTAGTAAGGATAGAGGAGATAACTTGAAAGAAATTGAAAGAATTACTGATGTAGATGGGTCATTGGACTCAACCACCTCAGTCCATTGTATGCTTTCAAATGATCCATCAGGAAATGAGCTCTTGAAGATCAATGATTCTGACATTAGCGACGACTCAAACAAGATTTCATATAATTGTAGTATTACCACATCCAACAATCATAGTGATTGGCACGTTAAACATAATTATTATAGAATATTAGTTACTGCCAACAACGGTTCCGTAATTGGTGGTTTGAGTGTTCCTTTCAAAGTTGCAAAGAATGCAAGTGCAACCAGCTCAGCACTAAAAACCAATGTTGAAGGTAAAAAGAATAGCAATCTCAAGGTTATTGTTAGAGTGAGTGGTTGTAAGGGAGCTCATCACCTCACCCAAACTGCTACTAAGACTTTCTTTGATTTTGAGGGAATTAAATACCAGGTTTCACTTACGAGAGTAGAAATTAATGAATAGTGTGGAATTATTCATGACAATTTCCAATTAGAACACCTGTATTAATAACAAATGTAAAATAAAGCAACACTTAAATTCGCAGAAAAGTTTCTTGAGAATTAAACATTGAGAAGTAAAAAGTTATTAATAGATTGCTATTGTGCTTTTAAAGTTCACAGTAAATCAATTAATTTTAATAATAATTAAAAAATGTCTTCTCAACAACAAGCCAATAATGAGTATACTTTTCCATTTGGAAAACTCACATTTTCATCAACACTTAACAATGTTGTACTAATTGCTTGTGGAAGTTTTAATCCGATCACCAATTCACATCTCCGAATGTTTGAAACAGCTAGAGATTTTTTACAGAATGAAGAGGGATATCATGTTGTTGGAGGATTTATTTCTCCTGTTCATCAGGATTATGAAAAGAGAAAACCAACTCTTATCAGTGCTAAATATCGTGTTGATATGTGTAGATTGGCAGTTTCTGATTCCGATTGGATTAATATTGATGAATGGGAAGTCAATCAGAGTGAATATTCACGTACTTTGCTTGTACTAAAACATTTTCAAGATGAAATTGAAAAATCTTACACTTCAACTACAGAGTTGAGAATAATGTTATTGTGTGGAGCTGATTTGTTACAATCTTTTGTTAAACCAGGTGTTTGGATTCCAGAACAAGTTGAATATATTCTCTCCAAGTTTGGAGCATGTTGTATTGAGAGAGATGGTATTTCTGTAAATACTATTGTATTTGAACATGATACATTGTATAGAAATAAGAAGAATATCCATATTATTCCTGAGTGGATTATCAATGATGTCAGTTCTACCAAAGTTAGACAATTGGTTCGAAGAAACAACTCTGTAAAATACTATGTTCACGATAAGGTTGAGAAATATATTAACGAACACAAATTATATAAGGCCGAAGATTTTGTACCAATAATTTCAGAGTCAGTTTTTGAAAATAAGAAATTGTAAATTACAATTATTCAATACAAAAAGTATAGTCTACCTATTTTAAATTCTTGAAGTTTATTGAAAAGAGATATCAGTACACCTCTGAGGGAGAATGTATTATATGGCTTCAATCGAAACAAACAGTCAAATGTTGGCTGAGTGTTGTGTTTTGCTTTATATTATTTCTATTATTTATTTTGTTGACTTGTTCGTGGATAGTCTCCTTTGGATTGACTTTGAAAAATACAAATAACAAGATAGTAATACTCGATTCTTTGAATTCAGAGAAAAATATTGAAAACACTCTTAATAACATGCTTATATTATCGGAGTCTGTCACTAGCCAATTGAAGATTTTGATTAATGATTCTATTAGTGATTTGAAAAATGGAGAGTTTAATTTTTTTGGAGTATTCAAGGCAATAGTTGAAAAGGAGTTAGATCTCGTTAGTTCTATTTATATTGGAGATGCTTTTGGAAATAAGGTTGGAGTTTTTTATTATGGTGGAGAAGTATACATGATGAATTCATCCCAATCCCTCAATTCCCTAACTTTTTGTCAAGATTGGACAAGTAAGAGTGAATGTGAAATGCAGATCCTGTTGCTGGATGGTAATTGTCTGAGGTATTAGTATCCTGAAAATAATAAGAATACCAAATAAAAGTGGCAGGAAGAGTAAAAAGACAAAAAACGCATCTCAAATAATCAAGTAACATTGTTTGCACGGCTACACTGGTGTACTCTTCAGATGAAGGTTTAGTACCATTCTTGCAACCATAATTTGTAACATTATCAACAATGATGGCTGGATCTGTTACTAACTCCATCCCGATTAAGACAAGGGTTCCGAAAAGTCACTTCATTTCTAGGATTAAGCGATAGTGTAAAACATACCTTAGTAAGCATTTAGTAGTAAACGGTAGCATCGGAAGCCTAAACACAAAACAACAGCCATTAAAATATTGTACAAAGCCAAATATCCCTTTATCTTTTGACTGGTCAACAGATGGTTCATTTTTTTTATTAAACCAGTCACAGTGGTTTTGTATCTATCAGCTCTTCGTTTTAATATTTGGTTTTTGGAGGGGATTCCAATAAGTGTATTTGAAGGATAGAGGATTGAAAATGGTGATGGAAAAATTTCTTTGTTTACATCAAGAACTGTTTATCTCTGATCTATGGGTAGATTATCCTTGGTGTATCAAATACCACAACATTTTTGGTATTGAAGCAAGAACTTTTTGCACTCAACTTGCTTTTGTCATCAATCCTCGTGTATTCTACCATTACAATCAAATTACACAAGCCAAATGTCCGAGGATGGATCAATGTCGCTTAATAAATTTCACTTACTTTTCATAATTCACAATTCATCTTTTAAGAATTTTCACTCAATTAAGGATAGAACCCTCATTCTACTCCTAATAAACATAGAATTTAAGGGATTAAGATCTCAATCGCAGAAAAAATGAACAAAAAGCTGCCAAGTTATTAGAAGATTATTTGCTTCTCGGAGAGCACTTAGAAAACTGTTGTGCTTCTTTTGGTGGTGTTGTAGACTCGTTTTCCTTTTTTTATGATTTTCCTACCAAAATCCAGGGCTATACAAATATTCCCACAAACGAACTACCACCCAAAAGGCAAAAACTATTCCTAAGTATCATCAAAAATTTGGTAGAATTAAAAGAAGACCTTGAGGAATACAGCAAGTTTTTGAAAAAATATGAAAGACAACCCTCAGAGCTAAGGCATGACTATTATTTTTCCTCTAAAGAAGTTCCGCAAAAACTTTTTTTGGAACAAGGAATTACTGTAAAACCTGGTGCGTAAGACTTTAGCTCGGGAAAACCTTTTCTCGGCAACAAAAAAAAAAGAGAGAACCCACACGCTCGCAAATTTTAATTGTTGTTGTTTCTGCAAGATCACAATCTGTTATTGCAAAACCATCAGTAGAATAGAATTATAATATAGAATATATATTGGGATGTGAATCACCAATATCAGCATCAAATAGATTATTCAAAAATTCGGTTTTGCAGGTTCGAAAGCTCACTTTGCGGAATTGTTTCAAGTTGATTTTTTAATTGCGCAAACTGGTGTTTTTGTTGGTGGTAGGAAATTAGATAAATAATAAATACAACCCTCTATAAGAATTGGAATAATTTGTTTATTCGATTGTTGGTTTGTTTTTTCGTTGATGTCGTTGGCACACGATTATGATTTTGTCATTTTTTTTAAATAGAAAGTCTTACGCAGTAATGAGTCTTACGCACCAGGTTTTACAGTAATTATCCTTCAGGCTACAAGCGTGATGGCGAGAGTGATGGCAAAGACTATAAAAGTTTTGGTGCAAGTCTTCAATTTTTTAAATATTTATGGGGACCACCACCAACTCTGAAAATACTCAGAGAGTTAAAGGCGAAATATGAGTCAAAAAACAAAGATATCAAAAAAAATTTGGACACTATGGCTAAGGATAGAGAAGCCCAAATCACTGTTTGGTTTAACCTTACATTTGGTCTGTTCATGAGTTTAGCATTTTATTTCATAACCGTACCTACTAACAAGCAACTTGCAATCAAAAATACCAGTAATGATATCAATGATTCGTACATCTCTTTAAGGGTGGTCTCTGAAATAACTTCACAGATTTTTGGTAATGCGGTAAAAATTACAACTTATTCTGCCTTTATTACTTTCATTGACGTAATACTTAACGTAGATTTTATGAATTATAATGCAACAAAATTGATTAAGAAAGAAAGATATGAGGGTTTTTTGTTGGTTTTTAGAATCCTTGTTTTTGTTGGTGTTTTGCTTCATTTTGGCTCGGTGATTATTTTGACCAGTTTTTTACATGCCAAGGATTTAACTATTAACTTCCACCAATATTATGCTCTTTTCCCTTTCGTTTTTGGATATCCTTTGCTCTTTATTGTTATTTTGTTAACTATTATTCTTAAGATATTCGTTAGGAAGTTATTTAGAAAGTCAGTATCTGGTAAAATTCAAAAACATCAATAAATAAGACAAAGCATGTTATTTTAACATTTTATTCAAACACAAGCATATGTTTGCTAAATGAAACTTGAATATTGAACAGTTTTTGAATTCTAGATATTTGTTTGAGGTATGATTTTCTTTGATCTTTGAACCTTTCTTCGGCCTTTGGTGGTAGTATTAGCTGGGTAATGGAATGATTTTTAGTTAAGAGGTTGTCCAAGAACTCGAAATTCAAAAAAAACTCAAAAGAAAGATCTAATGTAGCTACTTTAGAATTTTGTAAAAGTTTCTGCAAATCAATATAAGTAGGAGAACAGGTTTCAAAAAATGTCAATTTGGGAAGGTTAACTAGGTCGTTTGGTAAACAAAAGTCGTTTCTGAAGTGCAATGAAGTGTATTCAAACTTCTCCAGTGAAATTAATGAACCACCCAAAAAAATGTGGAATGGATCAATTATTGTCGTTGGGAAGAGCAAGCGGTTAAGTGAAAGAACCTTTAGTTGAGTCATGTTTGCGATATTAGTATATCCTTCACCAATGAAATTACAGCTAACCATCTTAAGTTCCTTAATATTGGAGGAGCTTATGGCAACACAATCAATATCTAGTAATGAAGTATTATGCAATTCTAATATCCGAAGGATTGATTGAAAGTTGAATAATGGCGTTTGAATAGCTGGAATTGATGATGTATTAATTGCTATCTTTTGTGCATTAGTGTTTGCAGTTAAAATGGGCACAAGATTAGATGGTATTATTAAAGAAATTTCAGTTAAGCATTTTAGTCTACTCATTAACAAAAAAAAAAGCTTCTCGTCTATCTGCGCCTGTTCAAAAATGCTTGGTGCTATCATATTAATAATATTTAAATTAGGATTTTTCAACAAGCTTGAGATTATCTCTTCTGATAGTGTAGTATAGGTATATAATTCTTTCAGATCTAACTGACTTTCTAATATATTTATAATATTTTCATCATTTTTGTAACGTGATTTCAAGGTAAATTTTTCTAGATGTGGGAAGTTATCTTTGTTGATTTTGGCAATATAGTTTAAACAATAACTCTTGAACGTAATAGATTTTAGAGTTTTAAAGTTCCTGCTCATAAAAAAAATATTGATGCAATCAGTATCCAATTCATCATCTCTAAAATATAAACTTTCTAAACAATTAAACTTCAATTTTAAAAATTGCTCCATCAAGTTCCAATTAAAACCAACTTTTTTAAAAGACATATGCTTAATGTTATTGAATACGTTCCCTATTTTACCAACATCAATTACCATATTTTCTAAAACAAGTTTGGAAATTGTGGATATGATGTTAGGGAGTGAATTAGGGAGTGATACTTGTGAAGATCTAAATGTGAGACTATCTACTTTGTTGGATGTTAATAATAGGTTCATTTGATTTTTGGAAACAGAGACTTTTGTGAATGATAATTTGGTGAACAGTTTGTGGAAGGAAACTTTTTCAAAATTTAATTGTCTCGTTGCTAAATAAACGGCATGTACATTCCTTTTGTTAGAATCAAACTCTTTAGTTATTTTCATTGATTCTACAAAATATCGGATGTAACTACAAACACCAACAAAAGACAGAAATGATTTTTGATCAAGAAAAGAAATTATTGTTGGAAGTGCGCCACCAAAAGGTATAGTTGTGCTGTTCTGCCTATTTTCTCTAATGTGTTTGCGTCCAAACATTTTTTTAATTGCGTCAAAACACTTTTTGACGCAATTAATGTTACGCCAGTAATTTGATTGGTGCGCACTTTCGTTGTAAAATTTTAGGAAAAAAAAACGAAAACATCACATTTTGTGAATAATCAAGAAGGATGTAATGCATCTTATAGTATCACTAAATTTTTCCAAAGGTTTGAGATTGGTAATACATAATGTACATTTTCAATAATTTTTCTATCAAGTCTCCTTCTGAGATCTCTTCTTGTGAATCTACTGAATTCAAATAAAAGTTACTGTAACAAATTTCTAATTTGGGGTTTTGTCTATGATTGTTAATTCAGTCATTCATTTTTTGGGGAAAGTGTTGTCATATTAGTGCTTTTTACAAGATCTGGAACCCATTGATTATCTCAATAAATAATGTTGGGAGGATTGACACAACTTGATGATACATAGAAATCCATTGGAATTTCCTCTTTTTGAGATTGATATTAATTGGGACGAAGGAATAATTGTTATTAAATTATCCAAAGTTGTTTTATTTAATCTTGGAAAAGGTCTCACTGTAGATTCTAGACAGATACGCTCAAAATAATTAGAAAATTCCATTCCTTCGTTGCAACCAAAAGTAACTTTACACAGACTGAATAGAGCATCTGATCTAGTTGTTCTTAACTGCACGTAGCCCCCCAACTTAATTACACCCACACCAACATGAATTAGACAATTGGTTCGAAGAAACAACTCTGTAAAATACTATGTTCACGATAAGGTTGAGAAATATATTAACGAACACAAATTATATAAGGCCGAAGATTTTGTACCAATAATTTCAGAGTCAGTTTTTGAAAATAAGAAATTGTAAATTACAATTATTCAATACAAAAAGTATAGTCTACCTATTTTAAATTCTTGAAGTTTATTGAAAAGAGATATCAGTACACCTCAGAAATAGATCAAAAAAAGGTCGTTCTATCACCATTTCATTCCAACTTGCTTGTAATATGCAGCCCAGTACAATATCATCAACTCTGGTAATGCCCTTTACCTCATCTAATAGCTCTCACAGTATTTCCTCAACGAAATCTAGACGACTCTCGCTCTCTCTTTCGAATAGAGAAATACCTGAACCTGTCTTTGCGAATTTAAATGCCTCCCCCAACGATCACAAGAATATTGCTAATGAAATGGTCAACTCTGCAAAACATCAACCCGAAATACAACAGTCTATTGAAATATCGCGAAGAGTACTAACACCAGAATCGAACAATGAAGAAACTGAAGAAGAGAATACATCAATGGGTGAAGAAAATAAGGAAAATTCTGAGGGAGAATGTATTATATGGCTTCAATCGAAACAAACAGTCAAATGTTGGCTGAGTGTTGTGTTTTGCTTTATATTATTTCTATTATTTATTTTGTTGACTTGTTCGTGGATAGTCTCCTTTGGATTGACTTTGAAAAATACAAATAACAAGATAGTAATACTCGATTCTTTGAATTCAGAGAAAAATATTGAAAACACTCTTAATAACATGCTTATATTATCGGAGTCTGTCACTAGCCAATTGAAGATTTTGATTAATGATTCTATTAGTGATTTGAAAAATGGAGAGTTTAATTTTTTTGGAGTATTCAAGGCAATAGTTGAAAAGGAGTTAGATCTCGTTAGTTCTATTTATATTGGAGATGCTTTTGGAAATAAGGTTGGAGTTTTTTATTATGGTGGAGAATTATACATGATGAATTCATCCCAATCCCTCAATTCCCTAACTTTTTGTCAAGATTGGACAAGTAAGAGTGAATGTGAGATGGGTTCTTCGAAAACATTTTCTAATACAGAGTTAAGAATTGAGAATACTCTAGTGAGGGATAATTTTCAATCAATTCAAATAGTTGGACTTGTATCTGAAAGAAATACTGTTAGACTGTTAAAAAAGTGGATAGATTCCAAGTCTAACTTTTACTACTTTGCAATGGATCTAAGTTTGAATAGACTGTGTGCAAAGGCTCTTGTACCAACAATGTACTATTCAGTTAATGGAAATATAATGCTCATGGATACAAACTCAACCTCTGTTCTTGGTGCTAAATTTGACTTTTCCAGTACTCAAATAGAGAAAATTAAGAAATCAAAGCCAACAGAATGCTCCCAACAGATAATAGTAGAGGATGCTGATAGTATCCAAACCCTGTTTATGAAGAGAATGTGCTTAGGTGAAAGACTGGATTTAATCCTTGTGACCTCCATACCAACAAGCAGTTTGACAAGTTCTCTCGTTTCACCAATGCTAATAACCTTAGCAGCCAACTTGATATTATTTATTGTATTGGCTATTCTTTCAATTACATTTATTTGGCTCTTTTTGAGGCCGCTTAATGAGATTTTTCAAATGGTTGACGAAACGTATGGTATCAAGGAAAGTTTTAATGGAGTTCCAAGAAAGAAGAATTTAAAAACACCTCTCGTGAGAAATCTCCACGAATTCAAGTTTTTAAGAGAAATGATTGGAAGGTTGGTGAGTCCACAGAGTAATAATCAATCATTTATTCAGAAAAATCCCATTGTCAAGTATGAATCCGATTTGTCCATTAACAAATCAATTGATTTGAAATCCTCCCAACAATTCGCCAAAACCCAAAATAAGGAAGGAATTGGATCTTTCCTCTCCAATAGCTTTAAATTTGCCAACAAGAAGAGACACCAACAAGTGATTGAAGAAAGAGAAGTTATATGTGTTGGCGTCTCACTTGAAGGACTTGATCAAGTTGCCACCTCAAATATGGGAGAAGCTATTCACTTTTTATTGGAATGTTGTGAAAAGATAACAACAATGTGTAGTCAGAAGGGGTGTAAGGCTGGATTTCTCTCTACTAATGTTATTGGTCTCTTTTATAATTTTGCCACTAATACTTTCCCAATTGATAAGATCATCTCTAACAATTATTTCTTTTTAGATCAATTAGAAAAGATCAAAATCAAACATCCAATCAAGTTTAGAATGGTGACGTTTCAACAAAAGTTATTATGTGGTCTTGCCACACCAACTATTTTCACTCCTTTTAATACTGATCATGTAATGGAAACCATTCGAAAGATGAATGATATTTGTGTTGAATTAGATATCAAGATGACTGTTCCAGAATATTTCAAAAAGGCCACTAGTGAAAAGTACTATCACAGATTTATTGGAAATGTTTTTCTACTCAATAGCCAAACAAGTTTTTCAAACACTTGCCTAAATACGGAAGGAAGGGAAGAGGAAATTTACAACTTGTATGAAGTTGGAGAGGAGAAGATAATTCAACAGGACCAAGAGGTAAGTATTATTAATCTCAAATGTTATTCATTGTTTTTATAAAGTGGATGTATGAATTGCATGAGAAAACGAAAAAACACAAATGGGATGAATATAACGGAGCTCACCAATTATTTGAAGATAGTAAATTTGAGGAGGCAAGAGATTTATTAAATACCATCATCAATGAGCAAACTCAAACAGGCACAATTGACCAAGCAACCTTCCAACTCTATCGTCTTTGTGAAATATCTATCAATAACATGAGAGAAAATATGAATAGGACCGAAGTTAATGATAATGACAATACAGAATCATCGATGGGCACAGATTATCTTTAAGTAAAAGGATTTGGATTCATTGTTCATCAATTTCCCGCCAACCGTTTTTTAATGTCTACTGATTGTTGTTGGCGGTTTTAAATTATTGAGGGAAATACAAAGAGAGAAAAAATGAAACTACAACTCCAAGAGTCTACAGCACAACAACGTAAGTGTGTTTTGAGCTTGTACCCTCTAAATCAATAAATATTTATAAAGACAAGGAAGTTTGCACTTGTGTTGGATGGTCACGAGGAGAAAATCAATTATTTAGTATTTCTGATGATAAATCTATTTGGAAATGGAATTTAAATGGAGAACCAATAGCGAAATTGAGTGAGTTGGATGTAATTGTTACCGATATGCACTGGTTTCCATCATATAGCAAAAAATTAGCATCAAGTACATCAGATGTTTTTGCAATAAGTTGTGCCGATGGATCATTTAGGTTAGTGTCAAAAACAGGAAGAATTGAAAAAACAGTTGCAAACGCACACAAGGGTGCCGTAGTTACCATTCGTTGGAGTTATGAAGGTAATGCCCTAGTGACCGCAGGTGAAGATGGTGTATTGAGAATTTGGTCAAGAGGTGGCCAGCTCCGATCCACTCTAGCAAGTGTCGGAAAGAGTGTTTATTCAGTAACTTGGGGGCCATCTAGTGAGGAAGTTTTATTTACAAATGGAAGAGAATTGGTTATTAAGCCAATCCATGTTGCCTCTAAACAAATACAATGGAAGGCTCACGATTCTCAAATTCTCAAAGTTGATTGGAATCCTCTCACTAACATGATTGTTAGTGGAGGTGAAGACGGTAAATATAAGGTTTGGGACAATTTTGGACGACTTTTATATACAAGTACTCCATTTGATTACAGTATAACAAGTGTATCCTGGTCCCCTAATGGTGAATTGTTTGCTGTTGGATCTTTCAATACACTCAAGATTTGTGATAAATCAGGTTGGACAATCTCTAGAAACACAACAAATACAGGAAGTATTACAGATATTTCTTGGACTAGTGATGGAACACAAATTGCTGCAGGAGGTGGTAATGGAAGAGTTTGTTTTGGAAACATTGTTGGTAAATCCTTGGCATGGAAGAATTTACTCGTCTCGCTAGAAAATGATGTTACTCTTAAAGTTTTTGACCTCGTCTCTGAAGGATCTGAAGATATTTCGTTCCGTGATAAGGTCATTAACTGGTCTCTAGGATTTGGTAAATTAATTGTTGCAACATGGACCCAAGTTTGGGTATATGATATCAAGAACTTGGGAACCCCTCATGTTTTTGATGTAAAGGATAATATCAATCTCATTTTGCAATCAAAAAACAACTTCCTTACTATGGACAATTTCAGTGGTATTCAAATTTACAACTATGAAGGTAGATTATTGAGTAATCCAAAATTCTCTGGTTTAAGAACAGAATTTTTGAATAATCAAGCTGTTGGTCTTAGCGATGATATTATTGCTATCATTGATAAGGGAGAGGCCAAATCAACAGCAATTAGGTTGCTCGATGTTAATAATGGTAAAGAATTGGATAAGATTGTGCATAACATGGAAATAACTCAAGTCGAAGTAAGCCAGTTCGGCCCAAAGAGTGAGAGATGTATTGCATTTATTGATAGAAATAGAGATTTGTACATTAGTCAGGCCAAAAAGACAGGAGATGTTTTCAAATTGGCAACAATGGTTGATTCTGCAATGTGGAATGACCAATCCGATTTGATGTCTGTTATTTCTGGAGGACAGCTATTGGTTTACTATTATCCAAAGATTGTATATGTAGACAGAGATTTGCTTGATTATGTCAAGTTTGAAAAGGATGACATTGGAAAGCAATCTATCATTAGAGACTTTTTCGATACCAAGATCAATATTAGAAGAATTGACGGAGCAGTAATTACAGAATCTGTTCATCCATATCCATTAATTTTATATGAATTAATAGAAAACAAAAAGTGGGAACAAGCTATCCGTCTTTGTAGATTTGTTAAAGATAAGGCCATTTGGGCTACATTGGTTGGTATGGCAATTAAATTGAACCAGCTCAATACTGCTGAAGTTGGGTTAGCCGCACTCGAAGAGGTTGACAAATTAAGATACATTTCAAATATCAAGAGACTTCCTTCAGCTGAAGCTAAGAATGCAGCCATTGCCTTATTTATGAGAAATATTGATGAAGCAGAGAGCATTCTGTTGCAAGCCAGATTAATTTACAGAGCTGTGAAGATGCATATAAAATTGTATAAATGGGACAGAGCTCTGGATTTGGCAAAGAGGTTCAAATTACATATTGATACTGTAATTGCCTACAGAAGAAGATATTTGATGGAAACAGGACAAGAGGAAAACAAGCCAGAATTCTTGCAATATCAAGAAATGGAAACTAATTGGGATGCAATCAAGGAAAAGATTGCCCAAGAAAAGGCAAAAGAACGTGGTGGAAAATAAACAATGACATTGTTTTTGTATTTAAACAACAAGTTTCTGATCAGAAATTGCTAAATAAAAATATTTATTGTTAACAATTTTGATATTTCAAATATTTACTAGAATAATTAAAATCGTTTTGTTAAAGTGGTGGAACTTTGAACGCCAATCTTTGAAAGGGTTGGCTTCTTCTTTGGTGGTTGAGGAGGTTTTGAAACAATAGGACTGCTGTTATAGGAGCGAGAAATACCACCCTTAAGAGAATTGAGACTACCATTCGGATCAACTGGGGTAACTGAAGTTGGCTTCTTTTCAGATTCGAATGGAGACAATAATAATTGCTCAAATCCAAGAAATGACCCGAGAACTTGTTTCATCTCTTCAAATCCACTTGCAACTTTGTTTTCCCATTTTTCTCTCTTTTTATCCAACTCGTTTTGTTTTTCACTGAATTCCACATAATTGGCCAGAATTTTCTGCCTCTTTTTGTCTTCTTTTTCTTTGAGCTCTTTTTGCCCAATATTGACCAATCTTTTCATTTCAATTTCACTCAAAATTACTTTGAGATATGGAGGTTTTGGTTTTTCAATTATTTCACCGTTTTCGTCTCTAATTGATGAAGGATCTATTGTCATATCTCCACCGCTGAGAGCACTCTTGGCTTGTAGAATGTACATTAACTGTTGGACTCTTCTGTCATATTGTTGAAGTTTGTTCTTGTAAATCTTTTGGGCAGTAATATAATCGTTTCTTCTCTGCTTTAGATCAGAGTAAATAATTTCCTTCTTTTTATCCAATGTAAGTCTGAGAAGTTTGAATCTGAATTTATCCTCCTTTTCATCTGTTTGGTCATCGGTAGGTATTGGTGTTGTTGAGTTAGATTTACTTTCTTCCCTCAGTAATGCTGAAGTTAACTGACCAGAAAATCTTCGTCCAAACACTTTTTTCTTTTTTGGGTTTTCAGCTATGGATTCACCCTTTAATGGTATACCTCTTAACATTTTAGCTTCGACTATTGAATACTGGAGAACTTGAACCATGATTTGAGCTTGTTTGATTTGGTGCCACTTTCTCAAAAATCTTTGCACCTTAATCACTTTACTCCAAAACAAGTGAACCTGTCTGACAATTTGAAAGGACATATTTGTTTCTCTTAAGAATGATTTAATAATCATAGTTGACTCCTTCTTCTTCTTGACACCAATCCACAATCTATAGAAAATCCAATGTCTATTTCAATAGTAAACATGATATAAATTAGCTTGAACTTACTTTTTGAAAACATCCCAAGCTTGTCTCCACTTTTCGCTTCTCTTGGCCCAAATGACTGGTAATAATTTGGTGTAGGCAATCCTCTTAACTCGCTTAAACTTTTCCTCTTCTTTTCTGAGATATCTTCTTCTCAAGAGTTCTCTTGCAAACACTAAAAATCTTGATAATAGAGAAACCAAAAATGACCATTTAGAATACATTTCTGCATCCTTAGCCTTATTCTCAGTTTCCATTCTAAAGTATTCGGCAAGTTGTCTTCTTTTTTCATCTTTCAAAGCCAAATTTTCCTTTCGTTCCTGGAACTCTTTTGTGATTTGTTCCTTTCTTCCCTTTGCTTGAGCTATTTTTTCGTCACGCTTTTTGAACTACAAAATATTAAATGATTAGAATTTGTATTCCAAAAACTTACTTCCTGTCTCAAGTGTTGGGTTCTAATCTCTTTGAAATTTTCTGGAACTTTCTTATTTCTTTGTACATAAATGGAATGAGCCTTTCTCTCCATTTCAATTTCCTTAGCGTGTTTCTCATAATGAGAGATGTCCTTTTCAAGTCTTTCCAACTCATCTGGATTATGATACAATATTTTCAATCTTTCGTCAACTTGTTTTCTTACACTTGATGTTTTTTTTGGTTTCCTCTTTGAAATATCCTTTTTCTTTGCATTTTCAATGTCAATTTCTTGCCTTTCTTCCTCACATTTCATTGACGAGATAATACTCTGAATGTCATCGTAAACATCACTCTCTTTTGCTTCTCTCTTTTTGCTTAAAGAACTAAAGAGAGCCTTGGCTTGCTCGCTAGACATTGGAGCTCCACTGGAAGGAGTTTGGTGAAGGTAATCCCAGCACGATTCAACAATTTGATTATGAGAGAGGGTAAAAGATGATAATTCCTGAGAAAATAGAGAACTGTCATAGTTATCCCTTTCCTCCATATCCAAACTGAATGAAAGACTTTTGTATTTTGAAGGAGACCGCATTGTTTTTGTTAGAGGACTAGAAGGTTGTTGTTTGGTTGGAAGTCTAAGATCCACCATTCCGTAAGCACCAGTTTCAAACATGGCCTTCTCAGTTTTTGGTGTTTCAATTCTTAATTCCTTTTCATAGGAGAGGGAGAGAGATTCTGGGGATTTGTTTCTAATATTCGGGAGAGGGAGAGCTTTTTCAGCCTGTTTGACTGTATCGGATGTTGATGCTGAAAATTCTGAAGGTGGGGCTGCCTTTGCGCTGACAGACCCCTTTCTCCCACTTGCTGAAACATGAACTTTTGGAAGTATGGTAGTATCTTTGGTGAGTGATGCCTTTCTCATTAGATGATGAATGAAAATAAATATAATTCAATGTGTTGATAATCCCACTCGTATTGTTGTTTGATTAATTTTTTTGATAAGTTTTTTGCAATTTTGGCGGGTAGATTTCAGTAAACCTCATGGCGCCTTTATTTAAATCGACAATTTACACTAAAACAACTTTTTCTTGCAAGTTTGATTTGAAACATCCTATGTTAATGATATTAGAGTGAGAATATATTTATTCTTCCTTTGTGGTGTTTGGTTTCAATGGATCTTCTGATGTCTTGTCGAAAAGTATTTCATCAACAGCTTGACCAACAGCATCATCAAATTTAGTTGTTTCTTCTTGTGATTTCTTGAGAGCATTTTGTTCCTTTTCCCATTTTTCGAAATAAGTCTTGAAAACACTGGTTCTTTCCTTTTCTCTGAATTCTTTCATGTGTTGCTCCCAATCAGTCTTATAATAACCAATAAATAACTGATTAAATGATGTAATGTTTGGTATCAATCCACGTGACCTGATTTCTCTCAAAATTTTCTTGGCTCTAACTACATCACCTAATTTGATTTCAGTTGCAATAATAGCATTGTAGGTTTGAATATTTGGTTTAAATAATTCTCTACACATTTTCTTAATATGCTTGTAAAGATCTACTGTTCTTCTGTCACCATCAAAACTAAATGCTTTGAGTAAATTATTAAATGTATCAAGTGTTGGGAGGAGATATTGTTGTGGATTGACTTGTGAAGTTCCAGCCTCTTGTAATTCTTTCATAGCTCCATATTCTTTGAGAGTAAGATTCATAATTTGTAATGATGTTTCTTTTTCACCAATTCTAGCACAAGCTTCCATTACAAGATTATAATAACTAATATCAACCTTCTTTCCAATCTTGCTTTCATATTCGAAAATATTTTGCAAAGCTTCTTTACAGGAGGAAGGAATTGATGAAGTGCACTTACACTTCAAATAGGTGAAAAAGAGTTCATTTTCATAGTCAATCTCGGTAATGTTATTTTCTTCACAAACTACCAATTGTTTCATTCCATCGTAAATATCCTTATAGCTGTGCTCATCGGCAGCTTCAAAGCAGGCTTCAAGTAAAAGCTTACAAGTTTCAATATTAGGAATGACTGATTCAGAATGTTGACGAATCATGTCGAATAATTTGAGAGCTTCATAACTAGATCCTGATGGAATGCATGACTTGATAGTTTTGTTCAGAGTTTCTGTACTCAATTCGATATTCTTATGAATCATGAATAGTAAGAGTTGATAAATATCCTTAATTTTACCAATATAAGCACAAGCATCAATTAATTGATTGAAAGACTTGGCAGAAAGTCTTGGAAAATTTTCAACAATAACATCTGTGTCATTAGGGTCTTCTGGAGCATCCAAAATTGAAACATAGGAATTTGAGGCCTCTTTCTTTGGTTCCTCTGGTTCATAAATGTGTTCCATTTCAATATTGATAACTTGTTGCAAATGTTCCTCACTCACATAAATCTTGTCATTTTCTTCATGATGATCTGATACACTAATTGTTAGCTGTTCTTCAACTGGTGATGATTCAATGGTTGAAACACCTTGTAAAATTTCCTCTTGTTTGTGTAAAATGTAAAAATTCCTCTTCATGGATCCAAAAAGTTCAAAAATTTGTTCTGGAAAATTATTCTCTGTGTAAATATCAATAAGAATTGAATAAATGTTTGTATCATTCAAAACAACTGGAATGACATCTTCAGGCTTTAAGTGAACCTTTCCTTCGAGCAAAGACATGTCAAACTCCTTCAATTCTCTTTGGAACAATACTTCCATTAATTTGTCAAATAAATTTTGTGCACATAACGATCTGTCAAAGGAAGATTCAAATCTGTAACAATTTAACAAGGCATACTTGTAGAGACCCTCAATTTCTTCACGGGAACGGTGTGATAAACCAGAAATTCTATCATATTTAATATAGAGGAACATTTCCTTTACAGTCTCTTGGTTTGCTTCAATTTCTCCCAACTCTATAGCCCTAAATTTTAACAAATAATCATCATAGGAAATGGTTGGTTTTTGGAAAGATTGAGAGAGTGGTAACCCATTTTCATCCACTCCGAGAGAAACACTAGTACTTGTTAAATAATCCTTTTGATAGACAGCTCTAGTATGATATGATTTAAAAATGGAATTTGTGGTTGTTATTATTGATGGATAATTATTTAATAAATGTGATGATGATGATGAATAACAGGAAGAAACAATCTGTCTCTTGTTCTTTCTCTGAGAAAGAGAACAAATTCTAGACAAGAGTACGGAAACTTGTTGTTTTGTGTTCATTTTTTTTGATTGAATTTTTATTATTCAACCAATTTTCTTAACTTCACAACTAATACGCTCCATTATCAACGAATAAAGTAAAACTATTAGGAATGAAATTATTATTTAAGTCATTCAATCATTGTTATACTTTTTGTCTGTTATTGATTGTTTTTGAATGTTGTGGGAGTGAATAAATCCTTGACATGTTGCAAATAGGCGTTTCTATTTAGTGAAACAGCTCTCTTGACCATTATTCGTGATGAGATTGAACAGTCTACTTGTTTGATAATTCCTTGTTTTGGAAATTGAGTATAAATCTCAACACAAATGCTTTCAAAAGTGAATAATTCAGGATTAGTAAAGTAAAATGATGCTACAAGATCAAATGTTGCAGATGCTCTTGACATTTTCAATAATTCTGACATGAAATGAGGAATTGAAGTTGTCTTGTAATTGAATTTAGATGCATAATTCAAAATATCTTGAGCATTTGTATCATTTACAACGTCTGAATCAATTTAATTTTTAAAACATTTAACTGAAACTTGAACATACCTAAATTAGCAACTAGTAAATCAAACAAAACAATTCTTCCACTAAAGTAATTCAATGCAATTTCTACAGATATAGAGTCGCAATAAAAATTCCATTCAGCACCATTCATTTCATTACTCGTATCTTTTATATTTACTCCCCCTCCCATAACCACAATTTGGTTTACTGTTTCTTTCAGTAAATTATGACCACCACTCTCAATTACTAATCTTGCTATATTAGTGAGGGGACCAATTGCCAAGATTGAGATTGGATCATTTCTGTAATTACTTAAAAGTTTGAACATTTCATTTGTAAAATCCTTTCCGCTCACAACTTTCATCAAGTTTGTTTCATTTCCATAGAGCGGAGGCAATCCTAATAATTTATCCAAATTTTCCTCTCTTTCTTTCCACCTCTTTACATACCAATCTCCTACATAAATTTTGTATTGTTGTTATTTGATTTCATCGCGTAAACTTACCCTCCAAAAAGGAATGGCTTTCAGCTGGAATTAAACCTTTTGGATCATGGGTATCGAAAAGTAGAGGCCTGCCATTATTTGTTGTTGTGAATATATTGGTAAAAGCCTGTAATTCTTGTAGTATTTTGATAGAATTGGTTGTGTCTAATTGCATACCTGTGACCATACTCATACCAGCCAAGTACAATGAGCTGTTATTGCTACTCTTCATTAAAACATGAAGAATTGCAAACACATCATCGGTGCCCATGTCTGTGTCGATTAGGAGTGGTACACTACCATGAACCACCATCACAAATAATACTAACAACAGCAAGAGTGGTACAATCAAAGCGCTTCTACATATTCGTTGCATTTTAAATATTGTTGATTGATGAAATGGTTTCATTACACATTAATATTTTCATAAAAAGTGTGAATATAATTAAATCTGTTTCAATTTGCAATGCCTTGATGTCATTGTTTGGTTTGCTGAGAAGGTGGAAACCAATGCAAATATTTCTTCGAATTCGTTTTGAAGTTAAAAATTATTTGTTATTTTAAATTTTTAAAAGAAATTCGTGATGATGAGGAAGAATAATTTAATATTAATGAGTAGGAGGAGTAGCAAACTTGCTCTGTGTAATCATGGCGTTAATTGCCCTCACACCATTTACAAGTCATCAATTCTTGATGGGAGATGTTACTATCATAGTGCTTTTACATTAAATAATTCTTCTTCTTCCCTTCAACAACCAACAACTATCAATCAAAAACAAGAAGGATTTAATCAAATAGAATTTGATTGTCTTTATCATCAATATACAAACATTTCGGAAAATACTCATGAATTTCAAAGTATTGAACATTTGGAATCGGATAAATTAAAGAATTATCTATTTTCTACTAAATTATATGCCATGCAAGTGAAGGAAATTACATCACAATTAGAGGAAGCATTCAATAATAGAGACTATAAAAAAGTAGTAGATTTATTTACTCACTATTATGGTGATTTTGAAGTAAAATCTCGTGAAGCCTATCAGAGAAGAATTATTCCTCTCACACAATACTCTATGGCCATTGATTCTCTGATTAATTTGGAAAATTATAAAGGAGGAGAATTATTATGTTACAAATGTCTTCATGATGAAGGTTTAACTAGTAATCATACAATATTTAGTAAATTACTCAAGATTTACATTCTCTCTGAACAACAAAAGAAATTCGATGAACTAGTTAAACAATTAATGGATAATAATAATTTATCAATTTATCACTTTGGAATTATTCTTCAGGAATATTCTAGTCGATCCGATATTAAAAATTTAGAGAGAATTTATTCTAAAATTAAGGAACCAACGGATTATCATCACAGCATTATGCTTTCATCCTTCATTAAAACAGATCAAGGAATGGATAAAGTTAATTATGCTTTTAGAAAAATCTCAAAACCAACTACCTATCAATATAATTTATTGCTGAACTATTACATTTCAAAGGGCAGTGACAAGGTTGAGGAAATTCACTCCAAAATTAAGGAACCTGATACCTATACTCAAAATATAATTCTAAAGCATTATTTAAATATTGGGTCCACTCACAAGGTTATATCTCTTCTTCAACACGCTAAATTTGATATTGTTGCCTATAATACAGTGATGAATTCATATGCAAAGAAGGGAGACATTAAGATTGTTGAGGATATTTATAAGATGATTCAGAAACCATCCCATCAAAGTTACAATATTATTCTCACTGCCTATCAAAATGCTGGACTTTTTGAAAAGGTAGAGGAGTTTTACAAACACATTCCTCTTGAAATTCGTAATGACTATTCATTCTCAAATCAAATGCAAAGATACAAATCAGAAAAGGAAAGATTAGATAAGGTTAAAACAATCTATGATACCATTCCTTCTCCAAATGTTGTCCACAAAAATATTTTAATGGATGCCCTTGCTGATAACGCTGATCAGAAACAAACAGAGAAGGTATTCAACTCTATTGAATCTCCTGACAAGTACAGTTATCAAGCATTGCTTAAAGCATTTTTGAAGAATAATGATTTGGAACGTGCTGAAAATTTGTTAAAGGAAATTCAAAATCCAACACCTGCCATGTATAATCTCATTCTCAATACCTATAAGGAGATGGGTAAAATTGAAAAGATGCGTTCCCTTCTCAAGTCTATCAAACATCCAGCAGACTCTACATTGACAATTTGCTTGTCTGCCCTTCCACCAAATGAAGCCCTATCTCTCTTACAGAAAATGCCAAAACCAAATGATATTCACATCAGAGCACTAATGAATAACTTTATCAATACTGGTGATATTAATATGGTTGTCCAAATTTTTGAGAAGTTAATCAATCCATCCCAAGAAGCCTTTGCAATTCTTCTTAAAGCATTATCAAAAACCATTAAACCAAACAATAGCGAGAATTTACCAGTAATGGAACACTACTATCAACAAATGCCAGACAAGAGACATACATTGGCCAATAACAGTATGTTAACAGCTTTGGCATCTGTTGGAGATTATGAAAGAATCAGAGTAATTATTAGTGAAATGTCAGAACCAAATATTTACAGTTATAATTCACTTTTGAGAGCTTATAAGATGAATGGAATGTATGCTCAAGCTCACGAACTATTCAATCAAATGGAACAAGTAGATAGTGTTTCATTTGTACTCATTGTTGCTTGTTATTATCTATCATCACATGCTCATCAAGCAAACATGTCTAGTGAACTGATAGAGTCCTATTTCAATAAGATTACAAAACCAACATCTTCTGCCTACAATTCACTTGTGGAATATTATATTAAGGAAGATACAAAAGAATCTATCATGAAAGCCATTGCACTTCACAAAAAGAATCCTGCACCAGATCAAAACTCTTTTGTAAAATTGAAACAAGCAAAGGAAGCTTTAGAAAAATTAGAAAAGGAAACAAATCCAACAAGTAAATAAAACTCAATCAAAATAAAAATGTTGAAACAACGATATTGCCAATTCAGAAGATGTTTCTCGACACTTCTTCTACCAGGTAAAAATTACAATACATTTAATTATTATCATCATCAGCAACAACAATTAATGAAAACCACTACTATTAAACAAGATATTAATGAAATAGCTGAAGCGTTGAACAAACACATTCAGCACATTGATGAACTTGTTAGAGAGTATGAAAATAATTTTCAAATGATTAGATATTCTTCTAATTATCAACAAAAAGCCATCAATCCAATGTCAATAATAGAGAAACCATCTGAAATTCTCAAATTATTACAACAATTCGAGAGGAGGCAAGGTGTACTAACTGATCATGCACTCTTCTCTCAATCCCAAGCTAAAACTCTTCGCTGGATACTTTCACAGCATGAATTATTCATCTTTTCTGAGAATGTGAAGAATCAATTTTTTGAATTGTTGGAATTGGAAGTGAATAATGAATTATCCAATGCAAAACTTGAAAATCTCACCAAGATCACTGTCAAAAAGGATGATATCATTCTAAATGCACCATACACCCCAGATTGGGAGAGAGGAGGGAAAATTTCATTTCTTGGAACTTTAGGTTATTCAAAAAAGGGATTTTCTTTGATATTCTACTATCTTGATTCGTTACAAAATAGAAAATTGAAAATAGAGAATAATCCGATCAGGGAAATTACAATAGATGGAGAATATTATTTGGAAATTGATTTAAAAAGATGTTTGTCATTCAAAAATAGATCTATAAGAATGATTGGATTTCTAGCTCTGAGAAGGTACATTTCCCAAACTCAAAACTTTACTGATGAAATTGTAAAGAAACAAATTGAAATTGTGAAAGCTTCTCATTCAAATAGTTTCTTCCACCTCTATAACAAGATTTCTCCAGAAAAGGAATTAGAAGAATTGGAGAAAAGTCTCAAAAGTTTACAAGAAAAATTCATTGACCCCAATGCTAATTTACAATTAACACCAACTCAACTCTGGGATTGGAATTTGGAGATGCAAGAATTGGCAAGTAATTCTATTTCTGAGAATTTCAAAATTTCCACAGAGGAGGGTATTACTGGAATTTGCAAAATTATTGAAAAACTATTTGGTTACATTGTGAAATTTGATGATGATCTACAACATGTCACCATTCTGAGAAATGAAAGGATTGCTGCAGTGGGTATTTTAGATCTCGTTAAAAATTCAAAACCCTATCGATTGAATACCTACTTGTATCATGGTTGTTCAGAGGAGCACGATTGTTTAAATTTTTCAATTATTGAAAGTTTTGAAATTGACCAATTGAGTATTCAGGATTTATCTCAACTGTTCCAACATGTTTGTAAAGCGGTAAGGCATTTAATTATTAAGGAGGAAAACAATGGGATTACATATTTTGGTGAAATTTATTTGAATAATGAGTGGTCTCTAATAATTGATCACTTTTTGGATCTGCTTATTAGAGATCCAAGAATTATATTTGGTATATTTAGACCACTTTTATCCAAACAGGACAATTCGAAAGAAATTTTGTACCACTACATGAAATCAAGGGAACATTATTTAAATACTGTTGAAAATTTTCACAATCAAGAAAAAGTAATTCAAGATATGGTAAATATCAAGATCCAATCTTCAAATGAGGAACCAACATTATCATATTTCGACATGTTGAATTCAGAATCTAATAATTTACTACCAATTTACAACAAGACTCCCCTACACAAATTCTTTGCAGTGACCACCAGTTTATGTGAAAACCAAGCTAGTCTGGGAAGGAGAAATGTTATCAATGAGTTCAAGTACAAACAATTTGCAAATTTATTGTTGCAACAATTTATTTCCTCTGTGGAAGATCCACTTTCTGATAGACAAGTGAGAAACTTTATGTATAGACTCTTTTCCATACGTTCCAATACCAATGTTTTCGAATTGATGAGGAGAATCCTTCCAAACCATGACTTACTTTAACAATTATTTCAAAGAAACTCAATTGAGAAAATTACAAATAAACACATTTAAAAGCTATTTAATAATTAATTGAACATTGTCAATTTAAAAATTTCCTGATGGGTCCTGTGTATCAGAAATACCTCCACCATTAATTCTTTTAACCTCCTTCTCTGATCTATTTCTATGCAAGTGGAATAAATTAACAGCATAACATGGATTTGAAATTCTAAATCTATTAGAATCACGTTTCAAATAATATAAAATAACATTTTCAGTACCCATATATCCCAAATTAATATTATTCAACTTGTCAATGATTGAATCTCCAAATTTATCCTTATTCCTGAAAATGAAAGCATCATGTGAACCTTGATAACCACCACATTGATCTCTATTATTAATTGGATCTGGCTTATTACCAACTAGAGTTTCCTTTCTTGAAATAACATATGCAGTTTGATGTGGCATTCTATGTAACTCAACCAGGGTATTATCAAAATAAACATCAGTATTAATGAGTCCTACAATTTTTTGTGGTAATTTTTCATTACAATATCTCATAAAATCACCAACTGTAATACGATGACCTAGCATGTGAATGACAAGTTTTTCTTGTCCAATTAATTTCTTTAAATCTTGATCGTTTGCATCATTCTCTTGAAGGAGGTGAACTTTTTCAACAAATGGATTGAAAAGATTTAATTGAATTGCTGCCAACATATCCACATAATGATCATTTTCCATATTTCCAAATAATTGAGTTACTAAATGAACTGCTGGATTTTTAACATTTCCACTAGCAATTTGTTTAGTCAATTCAATTGCTTTTAATTGATCATTTTTTAAAAATTCTGAAAATTTGGACAAGTTATTATCGTTGGATTGACTTGTTGCACACGGTTTTTCTATTATCTTTTCAACTATCTTTTCTACTGGTATTTCTATTGTCTTTTCAATAATCTTTTCAATGACTTTTGGTTCTTGTTGTGAAGATGTTTGTTCTCTGACCTTAGTTGAAATGACAACGTTATTATTGGCTTGTTTATGATTCCGAGAAAGATTAGAATAATAGAGAAAAATTGCTCCTATTATTAAAATTGAAACCACAACAACAGAAATTACTCGTTTTTGCATTTTTTTTTATCCTTGCCTGATGACATCTGGCAGTTGGAAGATAACAATAAACTTTATTGTTTTCGTTTCTTTTTCATACCTCCGAATAGATTAACATCTTGTGTTTCCTTTCTCTTTAAACTATTTTCATTGCTTCTTGTTGAGTTATTATTATTAGTAGTAGTATCAGTAGCTTCAAAACTTCTGGTTGTATTAATATTTTCACTATTATTATCAGTTGTTGATGATGTAATATCATTGAATCTATCCTTCCACCTTCCAGAATTTTGTTTAAGTTGATCCATCGATCTCTTTTCAAAGAAAATTTGAGCTTGTTTTCTCAAATCTGCTGTGAGTTGTTGTTTGGATTTAACCTTCTCGAATCTATCATAAAATCCAGAATCTAAGAGTGTAATCTTTGCCTTACATTTCTGTTCAGCAACACTTAAGAGATGTTCTTCAGATTCAGCTTGTTCTTCATCAAAAGGTTCGTATTTAGCCATTTGAACATCAGTATCAGATTCAATGGCTTTAATACGTTTAACTTCAAATTGTGAAATGAGTGAAATACACACACCAAGTCTTCCAGCTCTAGCTGTTCTACCAACTCTGTGAACATACTTATCAGTGGTGTCTGGTAAATCATAATTAATAACATAACCAACTGCTGGAATATCTAAACCTCTATTAGCAACATCTGTACAGAATAAAAACTTGAGTCTTCTCTTTCTGAAATATTTCAATACGGCAAATCTTTCTTTTTGTGATTTAGATGCATGAAGAGAATCACAACTAATTCCCAACAATCTGCAAGTTTGATTCATTAATTCACATTGAGTAATATCTGAGAAAAATACAATAGATATCGAATTATCTGGTAATGAATTGATTAATTGAACAAAGTAGGCATCTTTAACATGTTCAGGCATGAACAAGTAATATTGAGATAAATTATCAGCCAATTGGAACAATTTACAAGCATCATAAATATAGAGACTCTGTTCCCTTTCTTCCTTCGTTTTTCCACTATTACTCATTGCCATTTTAGCAAGTTTTTTAACCTGATTATTCATTGTAGCAGAATATAATAATGTTTGTCTTTTTGGATTTGAAACACTCAAAATTCTATCTAAATCTAATGAATAATCCATTGAAAATATTCTATCTGCTTCGTCGAATACCAAATATTTAATCTTTTTGAAATATCCATCATTATTAAACGTTCTAATGGCATCTTCAATTCTACCAGGTGTACCAACTACAATATGTGGAGAGCTATCTAATAAGTGGGCTTGTTTAAGATAATCCATACCACCTACAAGTAATGCAACTCTAATTGGTAAATCACCTGCTAAAATTTCAAAATGTTGCTTAATTTGAATGGCCAATTCTCTTGCAGGTGTAATGATAAGAGCATAAATTCCATACATATCCTTTGCTAAATTTTGAATAATTGGAAGTGCAAATGCAGCTGTTTTACCACTACCAGTTTGAGACATACCAATAACATTCTTTCCTGCAAGTGTTGGTGGAATGCACTTTTCTTGAATTACTGTTGGCATGTTAATTTGAAGTTTGCTTAAGTGTTCTTCTAACCATGATGAAATACCCAAATCAGTAAAAGATGGTGAATTTTCTGTAGTAGCTTTTTTAGTTCCACTCTTTTTGGAAGCAGCACCATTGGATCCTTTCACAATTTGTTCATCATTATCGGAATCACTCAAATCATCATCACTATCAGAAAAATCCAATGATGGAGCAAGTTGACTTGTTGATGGTTGTTCAGCATCATCAAAATATTGTTCATCCATATCAAATTCATTCATTGTTGGCATGATTGTTCTTTTTTCTTCCACAACAGATGGTTTTTCAGAACTTGTATTCTTTGTAACAACACTCTTGGAAGGTGTTGTTGATTTCTTTGTAGTTGGTTTACTTCCAGTTGCTACCACTTCCGCCGAGGAGTCCTTCTTCACTGTTGTTGTTGTGGTAGAAGTCTTCTGTGAGAGAACGTTGCTGATGCGTTTCTTCATTTTTTTGTTCAAATATTTTCTGAAAGTGATGAATGATATTAATCATCATGGTGTGGGTGATTAGTGAAGAAAATTGTGTGAATAACTTAAATTTTCTTAAAGTAAAACTAATGTTAAGCTATTTTTCTAATAAAACTAACAAACATTCTAGAATACCAGCAATGAATGGCTTCCATGATACGAAAAAAGTGAAGGAAAAAATTTAAAAAAATGGAAGGAAACAAGTTTTATCCCATGTCCTTCAATTTTGGTGGCGGAAACAACAATACAAGAAAACAACATCTTGATGATGATTATCAAATGATTTCTGGAAATAACAATTTAATGATGGATGTATCTCCTAATGATGATCAAATGATTTCTGATGACGATACACAACCATTACGATTAGTTTCTGATGATGACGAAGAGAATTTAAAACAACAACATGAAGATAATTTAGATAATGTTATTGATATTTACGAGAGAAATTATAGAATGGAAGAAATTAAAAATAGTAATACTCTATTAGATTCCAAGTTTATGGAAGTTTTGGATCAATCATTTTCCGATTCTCATGTTGTGTTAGCAAAAAGATTTGAAAAGATTTGTGAAAGAAAGTAAGTTAATAGAGATTATGGTACTAATGGAATGACAGAGTTCAAGAATTACAAGAAATTTATCAAAAGACGTATTTTCTTCCTGATGAACAACATTTAAAAGTCGGAAAAGAGTACACAACACTCAAATTGGAAAAATTTACTTGGGAATTGTTGTATTTATTATTTGAGGATGAAAAGAAATCACTTGATAATATTAGTGACCATCTTAATCAACAAGAATTAAAGAAATTCGTGTGGCGAGTCAGTCACAAAGAGGTTGTCAACCAAATGATGAAAACTGGTAGCGAGTTCCGTAAATTACAAGTATGTTTTTTCTTTAAGCACATTTTCGTTTACCTTTCTAAAGATTATCGTCAATTGGTTGGAAGAAAATGCCAAGGAAAAAGTTGATGTGGAAAATGAAGGAGCATGGCTCTTTACATCCAGAGGTGGAGAATATGTTGATCCTGATTCTATCTATAAGAATAATAACTTGGATGAGAATGATTTGAGACAGGAAAGAATAATCATTAAAAAGACTTGGGCACTAGTCAGATCTGGACAGATTGAAGAAGCCCAAAAATTCTGTCGTATGCACAACCAATTTTGGAGAGCATCAACCTTATCTGGGTCTGAGCTCTACCATAACCCTAGATTAATGCCAGGTGCCTGTGAAAATGAGGAAACTGTTGGCAATCAAAACAGATTTGTTTACCTTAATACCATTCTATCAATTTTGAAATCAGATACTGTAAATGACGATGAAATTCATCAATACGAAAGGGCTATTTATGGCAGTATTGCAGGAGACTTGAATTCAATCCTACCATGTTGTATTTCATGGGAAGACTATCTATGGGCTTATTGCAAATCAACAATGCTCTATCTAATTAATCAAGAGCTCGCCAAATACGTACCAAATGATTCTGAAGACAAGTTATATGTTGGCTCTGTTCTCGATTCACTCAAGAGTAATAGCAGGTCATTACTGGAGATTGTCCAATCTGTTAATACTTCTTCAAATGAGAAGATCAAAATTGATGCTGTGCAGTACCATCACGTTATTCAGTCATACATTATTTGCAGCCAAATTCCAAATCTAGTTCAATATTTATTAGACTCTGTGAACAATCCAGCAGAGTACACCATGTCATATTTAGCCAACCTGTCAAGATTTAGCGCTCACTTTATTTTAACTTGGATAAGTCTTAATGGCTCATTCGAAAAAGATGAGTGTAAGGACGCTATCATTGTCAAATATATCCACTACTTGATTGCCTCTAAGCAATTCGAATCTATTGCCTTCTACACCAAATTTATACATAATAGAAACGATACAAATGTTACCTATGACTATAGATCGGATGTATATGCAAAATCGATTATTGCAATAGAAAAAAGTGAGAAGGAGAATTCAAAGAATCTCCGATCCATGCTCATCGCTAAAGCAAAGGAGCAAGGCTTAAACATTCAAGAAATTGCCACCATAGTTGCTCAAAAAACTCTTGAACAAAAAGCTTCCCAAGATGAAGTTACCAACATGTTTGATGCTGCCTTCTTTTTAGATCCAAAAAATAATCCACTCAAGAATCTAAGAGAAAGACAAACCACCGAATTGGACATTAAGAAGATAAACTCAATCGATTGGCTCTGTATTGAAGATATTAACCCATTCAATTGTCTGCTCCAAACAAATTTATTGATAAGAGAATTTATTGACCAAGGTAAACTAGGAGCATTTGAATTATTAATGAAAAAGCTCCACGAGCAACTTGATTCGAAATTGGATGATGTTGGTCTTGACAGTAGACAAGAAACAATATTTAAAGAATACATGTTTTGGACACTCTATGAGAAGGCAATAACTACCTATGTGTCATGGAATACCCATATCAAAGAAAGACCTACATTTACCACTCAAGAAGGTCCTTTCCGTACTCAAGCTGATAAGATTAAGTATCAAAGCGATTTGAGCCAATTTAACAATACCATTCTCAAGAAATGGACACAAGAAAATGAGATTTTCCTCAAACAAGCTAAGGATAACCACCTGGCTATTGTTCAATCACCTTGGCTCACTATTGAAAATGTGGATGATTCTACGAAACAAGAATTTGCCAAACTCAAACAAAAATGCATTCCAGATATTGTTTTTTGCCTCTACCAATTACTTTCATTTGCAGAGGAATATGATGCTTGTATGCAATTGGCCGACATTATTGCTGATGATACACGTGGTTTGTACAAGTGTTTTTCACAAAAACAATTAATTGATTTCTTAAAATTGATGAGTGTTTGTGAATTATTATTCATTGACAAACAACAAAAGGAGGGTAATACTGTTAATTGAGTTGAGAATAAAAGCTTCATTCCGCCAGCAAATATCTTGAAATTTTTTTGTTCAACATCTTAGATGTACATGATCATTACAATTTTTTAACAGTTTATTTATAGCATCTCATCAACAACCTTGCCTTATTATTACTGTGGTTACCAATATCGTTTTTCCAATCAAAAAAAAATAACTCAACAACTTTCTCTCTTTAACAACATGCCAAAGACACCAAAAACACCATTGCCAATCTCTTTTCCAGTCTCTAGTTCCGAGTTGAAGAAGTTAGATTCCTCCATAGATTATGAACTCCCAGAAAAGTACAGAAGACCAGTTGAACATCGTATTTTTGTAAATCGTACTGTTAATTTGGATAATATTGAATATTATGGCTTTGATATGGATTATACAATGTAAGTATTATTATTTTATCTCACACAACAATTTAAACATTTTAAAGTGCTGTAAGTATTTAAATGGGAATGCATTTTCATAAATTTCACACTAAATTCATCACCACCAAAATAACAACAAATTAATCAACAAAAATTGATCTACAATATTAATATAATAATAATAATAACAATAATAGAATTACATTTCTCCAGTCTTTGAATCAATGTGTACTAAAATGATCCTTCAAAGACTTGTTGATTCTAAAGGTTACCCATCCGAAGTTCTCAATATTACCTATGATCCATCATTTGCAGTCAGAGGTACATTCCTAGATAAAAGATATGGCAACATTTTAAAGGTTGACCACTATGGATTCATCTTGCAATGTGTTCATGGTAAAAAGATTGTTAAAAAATCCGAATATGAACGATTCTATCCAGATCACTTGATTCACAATGAAGAAGAAATGGGTAAGAGATATTTCTGTTATGATACCCTTTTCGGAATTCCAGAAGCCTCTCTCTATGCATCTCTTGTTGATTACTTTGAACAAACCAATTTCCTTGCTAAGAGTGAAACTGGAAGTCCTACCAGCAATGATTCTGATAGTACTGAACAAACCAGTAGTGAAGAAGCTAGACTTTCTTATTGGTCTCTCTTTGATGATATCAGAGAATGTTTCCATGGTGTTCATAGTGATAATAGCTTAAAGAATGAAGTCATGTCTGATTTAGCTAAATATATCAAGAAGGATGATAGGCTTCCACTCTTGTTTGATAGAATGAGAAAGGCTGGAAAGAAGATTTTCCTCTTAACCAATTCAGAATATTTTTATACTAATGCAGTTATGGCCTTCTTGTTGGATAAATCTATTGAAGGTTATGAAAGATGGACTGATTTCTTTGATATCATTATTACTAATGGTCAAAAACCAAAATTCTTTAAGGAAGGTTCAACTTTGAGAGAAGTGGATCAATCGACTGGAAGTTTGAAATTGTCAGCAGTTAAGGGGTTCAAAAAAGGAAGCGTTTATTGTGGAGGTTCTTTTGGTTTATTCAAGAAATTCACCAAGACTAAAGGTTCTGAGGTTTTATACGTGGGAGACAATATTTTCCACGATATCATTGTTACCAAACAAAATAGATGTCTATGGAGAACCCTCCTCATTGTCAGAGAAGTTGAAGAAGAAACTAAAAATTGGATGACAAAGAGATCAAGTGAAATGTGGAACACTGTTCATACATTGGAATATATCAGAGCTGAAAGCTTTAAGAATCTTGATTCATCCTATCCTATCAATGGTCACAAAGATGTTGAAGAATTCCCAATCAAGCAACAAATTGCCAATGCCCAAGAAGAACTCAATGCCCACTTTAATTCATACTTTGGAAGCACATTCAGATCAGGTACAAGAGAATCATACTTTAGTACTCAAATTCAAAGATTTGCCGATTTATATTGTAGTGACGTTGTTTTGCTCTTGTACTATCCATTCAATTATTACTTCTCCACTGTCCCAACCCTCTTGCCACACGAAAGAGAATCACTCTATCAATTTGAAAAGGGTTCTATTTCTCAATAATTTTTAACTTTGTAAATAAATTTGAGTTTTTAAAATGTAAACAGCATAAACTTTATTTGACGGTTGTAGGTGGTTGGCGCCAATAACAACTACAAAATTCTACATGGCGGAAAATAACAACGAAAAAACAATATCGTAAAAAATGAATAGAATATCAACAGCTGCCGGTGGAAGACTTATGACTGCTCTTCCAACCGGTTTTTGGGGGAATAATAGACCTGGAACATCTGTTAATGGAGGCAGACCAAGTGTTCGGGTTCAGGAAGGTGAATATACAAAAGTGATCTACACCCTTATTACGGAAAAAAAGTATGAGGATGCTAAACAAATTCTTCAAAATCAATTAGAATTCTTTACAGAGAGCAGAGCTGCTCTTTCATTACTTGCTTATTGCGACTATTTGCTTCAGAATTTTGTTGAATCTGCACAAACCTATGAAAAATTAGTCAAGCTATATCCTTCTGTCGATCAATACAAATTTTATCAGGCTCAATCTCTTTTTAAGGCAGGAATGTATCCTGAAGCAATCAAGGCCTGTGCTCCGATTGAATCGGAAGAATTAATGCAAAAAGTAAGTGGATTTGTTTTGAGCTTGTAAAATTGAGATAATTTAAAAGGTTCAAAAATTACTCTCGGCTTGTCATTACGAATTGGAAGATTTGGCAACAACAAAATCACATGCCGAAAAGTGTATTCAAGATGACCCAGATACTTTGGTTCTCCAAGGTTGTATTTTATATAAGGAAGAAAAATATGAAGAGGCAAGGAAAAAGTTCCAAGATGCGCTTAGTATTTTGGAATATCAACCACACATTGCTTATAACATTGCATTGTGTTACTATAGATTGAAACAATATAATATTGCCGGTAAATATAATCAGGATATTATTGATAGAGGATCAAAGGAACATCCAGAGTTAAGTGTTGGTAGTAACACGGACGGATTTGAGGTGAGAAGTGTTGGAAACAGTCAAACATTGAGAAATACAGCTCTCATTGAATCTTTCAACTTGAAATTCTCCATTGAATATCAATTGAAGAATTACGTTGAAGGTAATGAGGCCCTCAGAGAGATGCCACCAAGATCAGAAGAAGAATTGGATCCAGTAACATTACACAACCAAGGATTGTTGCAAATGGAATCTGATCCTAATTCAGGGTTTAAAAAACTCAAACATCTTATTCAACACCCACCATTCCCTCCTGAAACTTTTGGAAATTTGTTGCTTTTATATTGTAAACATCAACATTACCTTTTGGCAGCTGATATTTTAGCAGAAAATAGTCACTTGTCGTTTAGCTATTTGAGTCAAGATTTGTATGACTTTTTGGAGGCACTTATTATGGCTCAAACGAGTCCAGAAGAGGCTTTCAGAAGCTTGGATATTCTTGCAACAAAACATATCGACAACCTTAGAAAACTCACTAAAATTATACAAGACGCCAGAATTAAGAAGGATGGCGATCAAATGAAAAAGTCTCTTCGTGACTATGACGAGGCATTGGAGGGATACGTACCCGTTTTAATGGCAATGTCAAAGATTTATTGGGATATTGAAAATTACCCAAAGGTTGAAAAGATTCTCCTCCAAAGTGCAGAATTTTGTTCTGACCACGACGTTTGGAAACTCAATATGGCCAACACTTACTTTATGCAAGAGAACAAATTTAAGGAAGCTATCAAATTCTATCTCCCAATTGTAACCAAACAAAAGGATAATTTGTTAGATGTTCACGCAATGGTTTTGGCCAATTTGTGTGTTTCGTATATTATGAAGAGTATGAACGAAGAAGCAGAAGAATGGATGAAAAACATTGAAAATGAAGAGCAAAGATTGCACAGACAAAATCCTCAAAAACAATCTCTTCATTTGTGTATTGTTAATCTTGTAATTGGTACACTTTACTGTTCCAAGGGTCACTATGAGTTTGGTATTTCAAGAGTAATGAAGAGTTTAATCCCATACAATAAGAAGATTATGACAGATACATGGTTCTATGCAAAGAGATGCTTCCTCTCATTATTTGAAACGATTGCCAAACACATGATTGTCATTAAGGATCAGACGTATATTGATATATTGAACTTTTTAGATGCTGCTGCAACATATGGTAAGGAAATCAAGACAGCCCTGAGTCCAGATGCAGATGGTGCCAGTGATGCAACCAATGTAAATACTTCCATTCTTGATATTGATGGCAAGTCTGTAGATGACCGAACAGTAACACAAGAAGCAAGATTACTAAAGAAAATGTGTTTGAGATTATTAGAATAAATTTAATGTACAGTTTTTATTAAATTTAGTAACGATGAATATTCTAATCCAAATATATTGTTATTTATTCAATACCTGAACAAAAAGATCTGTTAGAAAGTCAAAACTTTGATTTTATCTTTAGCAAATGCTTATTCATTTAAAAGGCATGAAGAAACAAGTGTAAGAATGCATGCAATAATGGTAAACAGTATTTCAAACAAAAACTTTGGAGCAAAAATATCCCAGGTCATCAAATGCCTTTTCTGAATATAGCAACATATCATACTTGAGAGTGAAATCCACACACACAGTGTCAAATATTTCCAACGATCGTTTCTCTGTACCATGTTTAAAAAGGTGTATATTCTAAATGAATACTGATTGAGTATGACCAACAACCCACTCAATACCAAATGAGCTTCGGCAATACCAACAAAGGCGCTATTCCAATGTATGGTAGTCATTGAATTTTGATGACCCAACCCAAAATATGATTGCACTCCAAATAAGAATATATCAATAATTTGACTAGTCTTAAATTGAGAAAAATCCTTACAAAGTAAACTATACGTATAGTACTGAGTGAGGAGAACAACAAATGAAAACAAATACCTATGGTCATAAAGTATCAAGAATACAGGAATAAATGCTTGGAATTTACCTTCTCTGATGAAATACAGAAAGGAAGAAAAATAAACAATTTGAGCTATTAAATTAGTGTGCCCAAAATGATACAGTGTGGAAATATAAAACAAGTAGACCAAAATCAATGAGAATATTGGGAAATACATTATACCACATTCCAGATACATTAAATATCCAATAACTATAAGATAAATAATCATTAAAACCTCATTCGTATAAACATTAAGAAAATTATCCTCTATAAAATTTGTTGCATGATATCTGTACCTTATCATACTGTAGGATTGATTGACAGAAAGTAGCAATAAGGCCAAATAGATGAAGGATACTGATTTGATTTGTTTGCTAAAATTTTCTTGCATCAGGTAGTATACGACCAATCTAAACATTATCATATAATTAACCATTCTATCCTCAAATATTATAAAACTGTTAGAGAATAAACTCAAGAAATAGGCTATCAAACAGGTAAAATCAATGATTAGAATAAAATTACTTGTTCTCCTGTGTATAAATGTGAATTTTCCTTGATATAATTTGACAATTCTAACAGTGAGAAAATATAGCGCAGTCGCAATACACACTCCACAATGAACATAATTGACCAGATCAGTATCAAAGAATGGCCCTACATTAGTGGCGATAAATATCAGTGTGGATAAGAGGATGAATATTCTTAGTAATTTGAAAAGGAAGCTTGTTGCCATGTCTACCTCTAAATTAATATCAAACAATATGTCGATCACCAAAACAAGTGTGATCAATGCGAATAAGATCATTCCCAACCAAAGGTAAAACTCGTTAAATGATGCCCAACTTTTTCTACATATCAAAACTATTTCATCTATAAACTTTTCGTATTCTTGATAGTTATTTCCAGATTGTGCTTGCTGGTAGATGGATTGCAATTTAGCCCATTCATTTGATGAAATAAAACTCGAATCGATGCTTGAATATTTTTCAATATAGTTATAAATCTGGAGCGCATTCTCTTTGATAATTTCATTCAAAGCCTCCTTATATTTTGTTGGAATCATGGATGGAATGAGTTTCCCCAAATTTCCATATGGCGATGGAATGTTCAATAGAAAACTTAGAGTAGGTACCAAATCTATTTGTGGTACACTCTCTCTATAATTCTTCTCAATTAAATCCATGAATGGTGAATAGGCAAATAAGAGAGAATCTACTTCCAAATCTGAATTTCCACCATGATCTCCATTATCATTCATTCCATGATCTCCAAATAAGAGAAATATAGAGTTTTCATGTGAAATCATGTTGGTCATATTGTTAATGACCTCATTCATTTGATTTAATTTTAGTTTCATTTCTGGATGATGAACCCCATGTCTGTGTCCGCAATGGTCAACTCCAAGAAAATGAGCTACTAACAAATTCCTTTCATTTTCATTAACATTATTTAACTTCTCCAAATATGGATATAAATGATTTAAAATTCCATTATCTACAGAATGTAAATCCCAAACATTAAATGATGGAAACAAATGATGATTACTAAAATAATGTGTCGAATTAAATAAACTCTTCCATGTATCATCTCCCAGCATGATTACATTAGCATTGGATCTTTTTAATTGATGAATAATTGAATCCTCATTAATTTCCTCAGAATTGAAGTTATACATGGCTTCTAAAAATGTTGGTAATGATCCTGTTGTTAATCCTTTCAATCTTTGGCTTGTGGTGGTTGGAGCATCAGCAATAAATTTAAATAATCTCGTCCTATTAGGATAAAGCCTTTTCAATTCTTTCAGACGAGGTAATTCTGAATAAAAATCAAATCTCAATGCATCAATAATCATAATAATTATATTAATCCTAGGAGGATTATTCTGATCCTCATTTTGATTAGTTCTTTGAATATATGATTGTTGAGTAGTATTAAATGTCGAATAGTATTTATCATGTTTTAATATTTTTCTACTCAGTAAATATCCTTTAAATGTAAATAAATAAATAGCAGTTAACAGAATGATCGTGATGTGTAATATGATGATATTCTTCTTCTTCGGAGAAGTTTCCCTTCTCTGCATTTTTTAAAGAGTTGATTTATCAACAATAAAAAGAGGGAACATTTAGCAATTAATATTTTTAAACTTTGAACCAAACGTTACCACTCTCATCTTTGGTTATTTCAAACTAAGAGAGTGAATCCTTTATGTTATCCTTACTCGAGACACGTGTTCGCCTTGTGCAGCAAACAGACTGAAGCCTCATCTCGGAACAATGAATTGAAAAAATAATTAATTTTTAAAATGACAAATTAAAAAAATGAGAAAACTCATCATCGCTACAATCTTGGCAGTCTTGTTCGCTGCCCTCGTTATGGCCGATACACCAGAATCTAGCATGGAAGGTATCATTGATCTTACTAATGCCAATGCTGCTTCTGTTCTTGATGGATCCAAGGGTGTCCTTGTTGAATTCTATGCTCCATGGTGTGGACATTGTAAGAATCTTGCCCCAGAAATGGTCAAACTCGGTCAAGCTTTGATCAAAGCCAAGCCAACCATTGTTGCTGTTGCTAAAATTAACTGTGATAACGAAAGAGATGTTTGTTCCAAGTATGGTGTTCAAGGTTATCCAACTTTGAAGTACTTCCCACGTGGATCATCCGAACCAATTGAATACAATAGCGGAAGAACTGTTGAAGCTATGGTTGATTTCATTAATCAAAAGGAACCAAGCTCCAGATTGAGAATTGCCAAGGAACCAACCTTTGTTGAAGATCTTAGCCCACAAACCTTTGACAAGATTGTCTTGGATAGTGAAAAGAATGTTTTGGTTAAATTCTATGCTCCATGGTGTGGACATTGTAAGAAGATGGCTCCAGACTATGAAAAGGTTGCCAAGGCTTTCCTCAATGAAAAGAGTGTTGTTGTTGCTCATGTTGATTGCGACAAGTATAGAGATCTCTGTTCCAAGTATGGCGTTCAAGGTTATCCAACTTTGAAGTTCTTCCCAGCTAAGGAAAATAAGGAAGCTGAAGAATATAACTCTGGTAGAGAAGCTCCAGCTTTCCTCGAATTTTTGAACAATAAGGCTGGTACTTCACGTAATATTGAAGGAGCCTTGTCTGAAAAGGCTGGTGTTCTCGCCAGTATGGTTGGTCCAGTCAAGAAGTTCCTTGCCGCTTCTACTGTTGAAGATAAGAAGAAGGTTATTGCTGAAGTTGAAGCTACAGTCAGTTCCTTGGTTGGTGCTGCTAAGGCTAATGCTGATGTCTATGCTAAGGCTATGGCTCGTATTGTTGAAAAGGGTGCTGAATACGTTGCTACTGAAGTTGCCAGATTGGAAAAGATTTTGGCTGGTGGTTCAGTTTCTGGTGATAGAGCTGATGCCATGAAGATTAGAATGAACGTTTTGAAGACCTTCAATTAAGTCAACTAGATAAAACAAAAAATTTATTAAGTTCAATTAATGCCATTAGAAACACATGGCTTTGTATTTTTCAAGAATGAAAATACAAACTCTAGAAAAAAATGCAAAAAGGACACAGAATTGATTTTCAAACTCAAACAACCAACTTTAAAGAATTGGAGAAGGAATTTACCAAGTCTTTGCATTCCGGTTCCATCATCGTTCTAGATATTTATACGGATTGGGTTGGATCGTGTAAGGTTGTTGTTCCTTACTTTCAAAAATTATATTTGGAGGCTAATGAATTTTGTCCAATTTCTTTCGTGTGTGTCAATTCAGATCAAGTAATTGCTTCACTTGAAAATGCTGGTTTTCCTCTCTCGTTATACAAAACAAAAAACTTGAAATCACCTCAACCATCTCCACAACAAGCTCCACAAACACCTCCAAAAAAGCAAAATAATAATTTAAATGACAGCCTATTTGCTGACCTTCTTTCTCCTTCAAGCTCTGTAAATAATTCAATGGTGTTACAGGAGGGGCAAACAAATGAGACACCAATGGCCTCAATCAGCCCAATAGAAAAATCGGATTCAAATATTTCGAATCTCAACATTTCAAACATTGAAAATCTTTCCAAGAGTATGGATGAAAGCATGCAAGATCGTTCAATGAGGTCATCTCTTGTGATTGACTCGTCGAATCAACATCCGTTTTCAGATATTGACAGGCAATCATGGGTACCTCTCATAGCTTCAGTAAGAGGGAAATCTTGTCCAAGATTTCTCTTTTATAAGGGCGGAAAATTAATGGAAGATGTATCAGGTGTCAATATTTCCAGGATTAATAGTATATTGAAAAGACTAATTGATTTGTATAATAAGGAAAAGACAGAAGAAGGGGATGAATATGATCAACCACTCAATGATAACAGTTTGTTATCAGACAGAGTGAATATCGATTCTCATTTGGACGACTCGAGTTTGGATTTTTAAAATGAACTTGTTAATGGTAGTGATTGAAAAAATCGAATAAATCAAAAAGTTAATGTCGGTTGGCGCCATTTTAAAATTACGGTTTTTCAAAGTTTAAAAAAAGAACTCAACAGGTACTAGTAGTATAAGACAAATAGGTTATTTGAGGTAGTTATTCTATATTGATTTTAGGAGGAAGACAATATCTCTGAGGAATTGCAAAAGAAGAAAATAATATCATCAGCTTGGATATATTTTAGTATGGACTCGAGTGCATCCTTTAAAAAACTTCCTTACCTCGATGTAAAACAAAACGAAAATTCTTCTCAACAACAAAATGAGGAGGACAGTGATGACTCACCTCTCGAATTGGGTATTATTAATCCTAAGGAAAGACCTCAATCACGAGTTTCAGAAGCTTCGGAAGGTAGAATGGAAGCCCAATCTCCAATCGATCCTTCAACACCACAGGATAGAGTTGGAACCTCTTCATCGAGGAGAAGAGTAAGCAGTAGAAGATCTCGCCCAAAGTCAAGTCAGAGGCCAACCTCTTCAGAGGATGATCATGGTGGCACTAAAACTCCCATTAAATCAATTTCAGCAACTCCTGACCACGGAAGTGCCTTTGATGACTTAAAAATTCAATCAATCATTAGAGAACAACAAATAGAAAGGGAAAGAATTGCAAGAAATAAGAAAGAGGAAGAATTATTAACTAACAATAGAGATTTATCTGAAAAACTCAGAAGGCATGAAGTGGAAGTGGAATTAATGAAAGGTCAACTCAAAAGAAGAAATGAACTTCTCGATCATCAAAGAGAAGCATTTTTCAAAGAATTAATACTACTGAGAGAGGAATTATTTAAGAAAGGAGCTTCAATAGCTTATCAACCAACGGATTATTCTTTATTTAATTGGTCTAAAAAGAATAGATATGAGGATGAAATGGCCAATGATACCTATCAATCTGATGATATTCTCGATTCTGAAAATAACACCACAACAATTGATACAGCTTCATATTTTGCTTTGAAAGAGCAATCAAAAAAGGTACAGGAGACACTCGCCAATCTCAAAAATTTGGAACTGAAAAGAAAATCAGAACTTGATAGACTGCAGAAGGAGAGAGAAGATGCTGAAAAACTAAAGAAAAAGCTTATTAGAAAGGCTGAAAAACTAAAAAAACAAGCCACTCTAAAAACTATTCCAATAGTGGACGGGTCATCGCCCACTATGTTGGACGAGCTGGAGGAGGATTTTGAACCCAAACCTGCCATTGAGGAAAAAAAGGATGATGATCTGGTGCTTCTCATTCCAGAAGAACCCTCAAAAGAAGAAAAACATGAAGACAAAAAACCAGAATTGGTAGTAGAACGAGCATCTCCTGTTAAACCAACTCCAGAGATCCTTGTTTTGAGTGACAGCGAAGAGGAAATTACAACTGATAAGGAATTGGTTGTTATGGAAGAAATACCTCAAAAGCCTACGAGTAGAAGACAAACTCCACAACCATTGTCAAAAACTAATTCAAAAATTGAATTACTCCCACCACCTGTTGAGAAAAAACCATCTCAACAACAGTTTGTACCAATACCCATTCAAGAAATCAAATTACCACCTCCAAAACCTAGAAATGAGGAAGCAATTATGAGAAAATCTCAAATAATACCCCTCATTCTTAGTAGCCAAGAACAAAAGAAAGAAAAAGACCAAAAACAATTGAAAGAGGTCTCTCTTGAAGCAAATGATTTGGCTAACCAATTATCGGATTACAAAACACAAATGGATATTTTGAAAAGAAGACTGCAGTTTTATAAGGAAGACAAGAAAGACGAAAATGTTCCTAAAGAAGGTCCAAGAGGAGAGGTGGCTCTTGTTTTTACAGACGTTCAAGATTCTACAAGATTATGGGAACTTGATCCTTTAACAATGGAAAAGTCACTAAAACTTCACAATTCAATAATAAGAAGTATTTTAGCAGAAACTGATGGGTTCGAAGTAAAAACAGAAGGTGATGCAGTAAGTTTTTTTAAAAATGTTCTTCAACCACTAGCAATGATTTAACAAAGTTTATGTGTGCTTTTCATCGTGTTGAAGATGCTGTTGAGTTTGCGATCAAGACTCAAATTTCTTTGGTGTATGGTGATTGGCCAAATGAATTGATGAGTCTGAAACCTGGTAGAATTGAATACGACACAGAAGATGCAAATGCTATGATATTTAGAGGACTGCGAGTGAGAATGGGTATCCATGTAGGTAAACCAATTGTTGAAAAGGATCCAGTTACAGGAAGATATGACTATTTCGGACCAGTGGTGAATAGGTCAGCCAGAGTTGAAGGTCAGGCTGCAGGTGGTCAAATAGTCATTTCAAACTCTGTGTGGGATGCCATCAAAGACAAACTTGATACATTTTCTGAAAAGGTTTGGTGCAAGTATATGGGTCCTGTTGTTCTAAAGGGCATGGATGATCCAGAGGTAATAAGAACCATTTTACCATATCAATTGAGGAATAGAGTATTCCCAGAACCAACTATGGTAGTGGACCCTACAACGGGAATTAAGCAAATACAAGAAAAGGATAGAGATAGTTCTAGCACCATGTTCCAGTCACAACTTAAAGACATTAGTCAGAAGAGAAGTCAAATTAAACGGAGCAAGGAAAAGATCAAAGCACAGATTGAATTTAAACTTAAAATGGATGCTTTGGAGAATACTTTGAAAGAAAAGGATCAGATTATCGAGTTCTTAAAGCTTAGTCTTGAAAATTCTCCCCTTGATGAAGCTGATGAGGAAGAGATTAAAAATGTTTTCAAGAGGTATGAGGAACTGAAAAATGAGCATGTGGATCTAATGGGCTCTTTCAATAAGGTTTACCAGTCCTTTCAAGAAGATGAATATAGTTTCGATGACGCCGAAGAAGTTTTTGGAGAGAATGAAGAATTATTGAGAGCATCCCACGATGGTGAAGATATTTTTGAGAGAGAACGTAACAAGTACGAGAATCAACTTGAATATATGGAAAAGCTTATCAAGTCAAAGGACAAGAGAATTAGAGATTTGAGAGCTAACTTTAATGCTGCAAAAAGAATATTTGACGGTAATAGAAGACACAAATCTCCATTGAAAAAGAGATATGAGGACTTGAAATATCTTTCAAAGAACAGGATTGAAAAATCAAAAAAGAGAAATGATAAATCAAATGTGGAAGAGCTTGATGGTCATGAAGCCATAAAGGCAATTGTTAAAAACAAGAAATCTCCTCAAAAGAAGGTTGAAGTAGATATTCCAAAAGTGAAACCAGATCTTACTGCTAATAAGATGAAAACGCTCATCAAAGCCAAACTCACATCTCCTGCCAATGTCTCTGAAACAATGTCTTCAGTAAGAAGCTACAACAGCAGAATAGAACCTAGCATTAAGCCAATAGTATCCTCAGCCTCTCTTCCTAATAGAAAATACTTACCGTATGAAACAGTTAGACATGACGCTTACAGGTCTATGGACCCTATGAATTCAAGCCCTGTTCCATCGTCAATTGCTGAAATTACATCCATTCTTAGAGATGCCATCCAGGAAGCTATTGGAATGTCAAACGAATCAAAGAATTTGAATTGGGAAACTTTTTTGGATGATGCTAGTCAAAATGTTGTCGAAGATATTCCTTCTGTTCCCTATAAGGAAAATTCTAAAGATCCAAAGAAAACTATTATTATTCTCGACGAAAAAACTGGACAATATGTACAGATATCAAAAGAATCCCTAAAGAAATGGGGCGTAATTAATGCAGCAAAATTTATTGCCGAGCAACAATATAATTCAACAATTGGAAAGAATGTGAAAGTAAATCAGAGAGAAGTTGTTCTGGATAAATCGAGAACAACCAAAGAAAAACATCCAAAGAAATCCTATTCAAGACTTCTTGAAAGTTTTTCCAAACAAACACACGTTCCTGTGCATGGAACTCTGGTGAATGTTAACATTATTCATCAGTGGCAACCACTTGGAAGCCCTTTTAGAAAATTGAGAGTTAACCCTACAGAAGAACGAGAAAAATTGGTGCATGAGGTAAAGTCAATGCCCGCCCCAATTACAGGTCGTTTAAATCCTGGAAACACATTGCACGAGTCACACGATGGTAGTACCTATTCTCTGAATAGTACAAATAATTACATGTACAGATCAATTCAATAAAAAAATTTGAGTTGTTGTAACCATTGAAAGAAGATATCTCTAACAATGTTTTGAAAAGCCTAGCATTTGTTTGGCGCCAAACAAATAATTTTCTGTTAACAAAAAGAAAAAAAATACCATTAAAGATGCCACCAAAGAAGAAAGCACCAGCTGCTGCACCAAAAAGAAAGAGAAAAGAAGAATCGGATGATGAAGCTTCTGCTGCCGAAGAATCAGACGATGAGGTTGAATTCATTGATCATGATGAATCTAACAACAACAAGAACAAGACTGTCGAAGAAATTTATCAAAAGAAAAGTCTTCGTGAACAAATCCTTTTGAGACCTGATACCTATGTTGGGTCAGTCAATATGCAAGAAGGTGAGGATATGTGGATTTGGGATGATGAAGACAAAAGAATGAAGATGAAAACTATCAAATTTGTTCCAGCCTTGTATAAAATCTTTGATGAAATTCTAGTCAATGCTGCCGATCACTCTGTTAGAGATGAAACTTGCAACAAGATTAAAGTTACAATCAATCCCGAACAAAACGAAATATCAGTCTACAATAATGGTGCAGGCATTCCTGTCAAGATCCATGCCGAACACAAAATTTATGTGCCAACAATGATTTTTGGTCACTTGTTAACTAGTAGTAATTTTGATGATACACAAAAAAGAGTTACAGGTGGTAGAAATGGTTATGGTGCAAAACTTACAAACATATTTTCCGAAAAGTTTATTGTTGAAACAGTAGACTCTGAGGAAAAGAAAAAGTTTAGACAAACTTGGACTCAAAATATGGAAAAAGAGGAAGAACCTAAAATTACAACATGTTCAAAAGCTGAAAGTTATACAGAAATTACTTTTTATCCTGATCTTTCTAAATTTGGAATGGATAAACTAGATGATGATATTGTTTCCCTATTAAAAAAGAGAGTTTATGATTTGGCAGGTACTCTTAAAACTGGTATTGGTATTTATTTGAATGGAAAAAAGATTACAGGAATGAAAACATTTAAAGATTATGTCAAACTTTACACAATAGATAAGGAAATTCATTACTTTGAAGATGGTAAGAGATGGAAAGTTGGTATAACATTGAGTGAAGGTTCCATGCAACAAGTCAGTTTTGTCAATAGTATTTGCACAACCAAAGGCGGTAAACATGTTGATCATATCGTAAATCAAGTTTCAGATAATATCAAAAAGGCACTGGTTAAAAAAAATAACACTATCAAACCTGCCTACATTAAGAATCAATTATGGGTATTTGTCAGTTCTCTAATTATTAACCCATCTTTTGATTCTCAATCTAAGGAAACTCTTACCACATCTATGAAAGATTTTGGTTCTAAATGTAAATTAGATGAAGCATTCTTAAAGAAGGTCACTAAAATGGCTTCAGAAGCAGTATTGAAGTATGCTGATTTCAAGTCAGAAAAAGCCCTCAATAAGAAATCAGGAACTAAAAAATCAAGATTGACTGGTATTTCTAAATTGGATGATGCTAACGATGCTGGTAGTAAAAATTCTGAAAAGTGTACCTTGATTTTAACAGAAGGAGACTCTGCTAAAGCTCTTGCTGTTGGTGGTTTGAGTGTAGTTGGTAGAGATTACTACGGAGTATTCCCACTAAAGGGAAAACCTCTCAATGTAAGAGATTGTAAACTGGATAAGGTTGTAAAGAATGAAGAAATTAGTACTCTTGCTAAAATTTTAGGGTTGAAATTTGATAAGACATACACAAAGGAGGATATCAAATCCCTCAGATATGGTAGTATTATGATCATGGCTGATCAAGATCACGACGGTTCACACATCAAAGGTTTACTCATTAATTTTATTCACAAATTCTGGCCAAGCTTACTCAAAATACCTGGATTTTTGAAAGAATTCATAACACCAATCGTAAAAGCAACTAACAATCGTACCAAGAAAGCTGTAACCTTTTTCAGTATTCCTGAATATGAAACATGGAAAGAAGGACTTTCAGATACAAAAGGTTGGACTATTAAATACTACAAGGGTTTGGGTACTTCAACAGCACCAGAAGCAAAGGAATACTTTTCAAATATGTCTCTCCACCAAAAGAGATTCAAGTATGATACTGATTGTGATAAAAAGATCACCTCTGTATTTTCCAAGGCTGCCACAGATGAAAGAAAGGAATGGCTAAATAATCATCAAGAAGGTACCTACATTGATCACTCCAAGAAGGAAATTTCATATACAGACTTTATTGATAAGGAATTGATTCTCTTCTCTAAGGCTGACTGTAAGAGATCTATTCCTAGTATTGTTGATGGTTTAAAACCTGGTCAAAGAAAAATCTTATTCAGTTGTTTCAAGAGAAACCTCAAAAAGGAAATCAAGGTTGCTCAGCTTGCCGGTTACGTTTCAGAACAATCAGCCTACCATCATGGTGAAGACAGCTTGAATGGTACAGTTGTAAATATGGCTCAAAATTTTGTTGGTAGCAACAATATCAACTTGCTTTATCCAGGTGGTATGTTTGGTACTCGTCTTCAAGGAGGAAAGGATTCTGCCAGTCCCAGATATATCTTTACAAAATTATCAGAAATTACCAGATACATTTTCCCTAAGGCTGATGATCCAGTACTTGAATATTTGGATGATGACGGTCAATCAATAGAACCAAGATTTTACGTTCCAATTCTCCCAATGGTGTTAGTAAATGGATCCGAAGGTATTGGTACTGCCTGGTCTACAAACATTGAAACCTATAATCCAGTTGATATTGTCGAAGGACTCAAGGCACTGATTAAGGGAGAAGAAGCTAAGGAGTTCCATCCATGGTATAAAGGCTTTGATGGTATTATTGAAAGATTAGCTCCAACCAAATGGCAAACCAAGGGTGTCATTGAGAAAATCGATGATAATACACTTGATATCAGTGAGTTACCAATTAGGATATGGACAGAATCATTCAAAGAACGTCTGGAAAAAATGATGGAAGCTCAACAAGTAGACGATTTCAGAGAAAATCACACTGATGTAACTGTCTCTTTCACAGTTAAAATGACTGATAAGCAAATGAAAGATGCTGAAGACGCTGGGCTATATGACTACTTTAAATTGTTTAAGAAATTCTCTACTAGTAATATGGTTTTATTTTCTGAAGAGGGTGGTATCAAAGAATATGAAACTGTTTTGGACATTTTGAAGGAGTTTTATCCAATTAGATTGAAATTCTATGGCAAAAGAAAAGAATACATGCTAGAAAAGATGAAGAAGGAATTAGAAATCCTTTCCAACAAGGTCAGATTTATAATGGAAGTTATTAACGAAACCATCCAAGTGAAAAAGAGAAAGAAGGCAGACCTGTTAAAAGAACTCAAAACAAAGAAGTATTCTTCATTCCCAAAGGAAAAGAAGATTGCAGCAGCAGGAGATATCCAAAACGAGGAAGAAGAGGAAGAAGAGGATGAAGAAAAGGATGTTGCAGATCTTACTGACGGATACAATTATCTTTTGTCCATGCCTTTGTGGTCATTAACTGTTGAGAAAGTAAAGAAATTAGAAAAAGAAAAAGAGGAAAAGGTAAAGGAAGTTGAACAGTTGGAAAATACTAAACCTGAAACAATGTGGCTTTCTGAGTTGGACGAATTTTTGGAAAAGTTAGATTCATATGAGCAAAAGGAACAAAAGGAGTTTGACTTTTACCTTAAGAAAATTGAAAAGGAAAGAGGAAAACATGGTAAAATTCCAAGACCTAAGGGTTATCGTGCCACTTCCAAACTAAGACCTGACATTGTCGTAAATGAGTCAACAGCCAAGGTCAAGACCACCAGAAAGAGGGCTACATCTGTAAAGAAAGAAGAACAAGCTGACGATGATGAAAAGCCAAAACGTGGTAGAAAACCAGCTGTAAAGAAAGAAGAGGATGAAGACGATGCAGAAGAAAAGGAAGAAAAGCCAAAACGTGGCAGAAAACCAGCTGCCAAAAAGGTAGTAAAGGAAGAATCTGACGAAGAGGAAGATGAAGAAAAGGAAGAGAAGCCAAAACGAGGAAGAAAGCCTGCAGCTAAAAAGAAAGATGACAAAGACGATGAAAAACCAAAACGTGGCAGAAAACCAGCTACCAAAAAACAAGTTGAGGAAGACGATGAAGACGATGAAGACGATGATGAAGAAGAAGAAGAAGAAGCAAAACCAAAAGCAGTGAAATCGAATAGAAGTGCTGCCAAGCAAACCAAATTATCCTTCACAAAGAATGAAGAACTTGCGGAGGAAAAAAAAGATGAAGAACCTGAGGAAGAACTTTCATTTGCAGAGAGAGTCAAGAGGAAAACTTCTGCTGCAACAACTCCTGCCCAACCAGCTGCCAGTAGCAGTCAGAGTGACGAAAAACAAGAGGATGAGGAACTTATCACTGCCCCTATAAAGACCAGGGAAACAAAACCACCAACCAAAAAGAGGAAAACCAGTATTACAGACTTTTTTGAATTGAAGAAGAAAGCTGAAGAAGTTGTTGTTTCTGATGCTGAAGAAGATAAAGAAGAGCCTAAAGCCAGAGGTAGACCTGTTAGGACAACCAGAGCCAATAAGAAGGTGGAATCTGAGGATGAAGAAGAAGAGGAGGAGGAAATAATTGAACTTTCTGATAGTGAAGCCAGTGAACCAGAGGATGGCGAAGATGATGGTGACGAATTTATTCCATCTGATGAAGAGGATTAAGACACAAAAAAATGTATTGTAATTAATCACTACTTTTTACTCCAAAAAGTACCAAGCAAGTGCTAAATCCATTAAATTGTTATGAATTGCTAATATTGATATCACTGATTATTTATGTGCATACGGTTAGTTAATAGCCAAATAACTACTTCTCTTTCTTCTCCAACATTATAGAAAGCAAAACCAATACAACTGAAATAATCACAACAAAAACTGCAACAGAAAGACACAACAACAATCCATCCACACATACTGATTTTCCAATTCTGCCGAAGAATGAACAGGATGAGTTGACTTGAGGGGTGGAATATATATTCCAATATATCATGTACATTTGGACTCCAAGTAGTAAGGGACAAATAAAAATGCAGTGGTTGGAGAAAGTTTTTCAGATATAAGCGAATAAGTTGTCCAAGGTTCCAAATTCTTTGACTTGTCAACATTTGATCCCCAATAGTTAAAAGTTGTGTTGAACATATAGTTAGACTTTGTTATTCCTCTATAACAGAAGTCTGATGTTGGAGAATGAAACAGTTTCGTTCAAGCTTCCAAAATGAAAAAGACTCAATTTTGTATATATATTGGAATTGTCAGGAATACTTTGTTTATCAAAAGAGAGCCGATACACTGTGTGTGACATGTGAATAAGGGAGAAAGTCAAATCTGGAGAGCCATAGCACCTTTCAACGATATTATCTGACGCAATTAAAACTCCAAATATATTAGTAAACCTAGAATCTGTTATATCCATTACAACTTTCCTTTGTAAATTGTTGAGTACTGCAATACCAGACTTTGTTGCCATTGAATTATCAAATGATGTATTTGAAATGGATACAAGGGGAGACAGGACACCAACTCAAAGGTTTAGTCAATAACAGTTGCAGAAATTGAATTCCCTCCTTCAAAATGACAATCTCTGCGAATTGAGATTGGAAATGGCCAAAGTTGGGGATCCACTTTGAAATCTTCTACTTTCCATTACTGTTACAGAGTTAAGGTTGAGTGTATTAACTGCATGATTCTCATCAATAGTATCTGAAAAAGAATCCCCAATCTTCAGTATTGAAAGCTGTTTGAGCTGGAGTTTTTTGTGTCCCTCTAAACATACTCAAACTAAGAAACTGAACTCTTGATCCAATCTTTAGATCACCTCTTTCGAATGTAATAATCAAGATTTAGTTTTTCCTCTTTATCCACATAGAACACAATAGTTGCATCATCCCTAATTGCCAATGCAGTATTAAAATGTATGGTCATGTTTTGATTGATAAACACAACTCCACTCCACTCAATAACATTGGTGGGATGGTGATTATGTAAAGCACCAATTAAATTGATTTCATACACACGTTACACATTACAATGACTAATACTACCATGAGAATTACACTATATCTCCCATTCATTAACATCTTCTGCTGCTTCAAACAGTATTGTTGAGTGAGTATCGAGTGAGGAGGGTGGTTCATTTGTTATTGAGGTTTTTGATATCTTGAGTGTTACGTTATTATAAAAGTGTAAAGTAACACCGTCCAAATGAGCCTAACAATGGCTTCATATATATTGTTGATTTTTAATGGTGCATGTTCAATTGGAGCAAAATGATGAAAATTACTCAATCTAACATTATTTCAACAAAATTAAAGGGCAAGAAATTAAATTATTATTTACAAATTTTTTGAAAAAATGAAACAACATGTTAGAATATCCTTCGTCATTGGTTTAATATTTGTTATAGCATCGTGTTTAGGAGGTTTCTTATTGTCGGAAATGGCTGAATGTTCGTCTGTTCTCATGGATGACCAAGAAGAAATTTTAAAAACCAACTCGGGTGATGAAGAAAAAAACAACACGGAGAATGACTTATTTTCCTCTCTGCTTTTTGGAACAACAAATGGTTGGGTCTCCATTTTAATGATATTTATTGTTGTTGGAACAACTTCACTACTTACTAAAGGAACGGAAATTAGTAATCTAGTAAATAATTATTTATTATCACGAAAGGAAATCAACAAGGATAGACCAAAAAAGCGAGTAAATATAAATACCAATACTTCAGAAAATAATAATAATACAATAGAAAAATTGAATCAAGATGGAGAAAATATTAGGAAAAATCAGCAATCGGATGAGGATTTAGAACACATCACACCATCCCGAGTTATTAAACCAATATTGGTAAAATCTATCAATCATGTGGAAAAGAGGAAACTTGGATCCGCTCCATTAGATTTAATTTCTGAAGAACAGAAGAGAAAAGTGGACTTGGTAGCCAATCTATCAGAATCACTAAAAGACTGTGATAATATTAATATGAATGTAAAATTTTATGAACCAGTAGCAGTCACTCCTACCAATATCTACTCTTCAGGACGGTATGGCCTTGATTTGGAAGACGAAGATGACAACATTCCACCTATCCCTATTGATATTTCCAGACCAGAGAGAAGAATTATTCCAGTAGAATCGACTCTTGAAGAATTCTCTGAAATTTACTCCAAAAAATCTATACCTACATCAATCAAAATTCAAACAACCCAGACACCAATTATTCATCAACAGGACACTAAGAAAGCACTTGAAGAACTCCATATTAGAAAGCAAAATTCTAGACAAAACATCGAAAAGGAACTTGCAGAAATTCTCAAACTTGTCGAATGTGAAAATGAAGAAATTAGAAAGGTAGAACAAGAACGACTTGTTAAAATTAAGGCAGAGCAAGAACGTATCGCCAAGATAAAAGCAGAACAAGAGAGAATTGCTCGTGAAAAACTCGAAGAAGAAAGGAGAAAAGCTGCCGAAGAAGAAGAAAAGAAAAGACAAGCTGCCATCGCTGCCACTGCCCCAGCTGAAATTAACGTTTCTCCTATCAAACCTCAACAACCAAATAGTATCGGTACTGCAGAAGAAACTCCAGCCGAAAAGAGTGACATTTCCATTGTTAATCCATATTCTGGACCTAAGAAAACCCTTACCGTTCCAAACTTTACCAGACCAAAAACCTACGTTATTGCCAAAATTTATGTTGACAGAATGGAGGAAATGTATGCATCGTTCCAAAAGAGAATGGATCCCCAACTAAAACCAGAAATGGATGCTGCCAAAAAGCTCATTAACAAGACCATTAACAGAATAACAGAAACTAACCAGAGAGAAATTGTAAAGGAAATCAATCAAATAATGTCCAAGCAAAAGGTCAAGAAGGATGTATTCTACTTTTGTTTGTACTTTTATGCTAGAACCATTGTGGATCAAGCAGCAAGTCAAACTAGTGATTTGAAGAAGGTGTTACCATTCATTGAGGTAACATCTGAATTGATGAATGATTCTCCTGAAATTTTGGATGCTGTGATTGGATACATTCATACCAATTGCATCTTTACAATTCCATACTTCCCTTATGAAGTTACTGATGCTTCTGATTTGAAGAAAAAACTTGGCTTCAAGGAAGAGGATGGCGAAATGGAAAGTCAATCTCAATACATGAATAGAATGAATGATATTATTACAATATATGCCATGATTATTCAAAATAATCCACCAGGTCACAAGTATGGTATTGAGAAGGGTTGGGAATGGCTAGCTGCCTTCTTGAACTCACGTCCAACAATGTTTACATTGGAAATTTTAGATTCATTCTTGAGAATTGCTGGTTACAAGATGCATCAAATCTATAAGGCTCAATTTGCCAAGATTCTAGAATTTATTGAAGTTCATTTACTGGCCAATCCACCAAAAGGTTCTGATAAGGCCTCTCTTTCTAGATTTTCTGATTTAATTGGCAATTTTAAAAAGAGCAAACAAATGCCAAAGCCATCTTTCTTGGAATAATATTATTACTTTTATAACATGCAAATTGTGATACTAATGTAAAGTGTTTAGAATTCTACGATTTTGTAAAGTGAGCTGCATTTATTGACTTAAAAAAAATAGATGAATGTGAAGGATAATAATAATACATCAATAGTACCTTCTTCTTCTTTGAACACAATAGAGGTTCGGAAAGACTTTAGTTTTATCAATACTATTAAAGAAACTTTTCCAGCACATTATGCACTCTTCAATACGGAATTGTATTTTTCCAACATGTTACTTTGTGATTTGACAATGCACTCCAATGCCAAACATTCCTCTGTTCTTCTCTCCACAAAACCTTCAATGACTTATCAAGTTATATCCTATGTGACCAATTTTTTCACTGTCACCTTGAAGGATAGAGTGAGTCCATTCATTGTCAAGCAAATGGCCAATCTGATTTGGTTGATTCGTTACAAGATTTTATTTGATAATTTAAAATTAAATCCAATTCATCACAAAATAGAAATTAATAGGTAGAATAAATAAGAATGATTTTTAATAATACTAAAATTATGATTTAATATTCATCGTGAAGATGTCTAACAGAAGGACTAGCACCTTCTACAAAATCATCAAAATTATTACGTTGAATATTCATAGAAGTTGATGTAAATCCATCATAACGTTTCACATCAGTATCATTGATCTTTTCATATTCCTTTCTCTTCTTACAACATTCATGCTCAACTTCCTCTTCCTTTTCCTCTTCTTCAACTTGATCTTGATGATAATGTCCTTCCAACATGCTTGTACAAATCATGTTAAAGATGATATAGCCAACAAAGTTGCCCATCACAATTGCCATAAAGAGTCCAAAATTATAGGTCATTGAAACTAACATGAGTAGATACCCTATAGACATTTCCAAAAAGAATCCGAGTGGTTTACAAATATATGAAATTACATAGTGCAAAATTCTTCTCTTCTTTCGGTCGACTTGAACATGGAGAGCAAAGAAAATAAATTGATTAAAGAAGGCAATTAAAAAGATTCCAATTACTGAGAGGGCATATTTCCATTCATTATCCGCATTCCAATTTTGAAAAAGAATATATTTAACAAATGGTTCGAATGATTGTGGTGAGAAATACATTAACATGTGATGAGTAGAGTTACCACCCATATCCATCATCATTGGTTTGGAATTTTGCATCATATGGTCCATTCCCGACGATGATGAATGCATCATTGAGTGTATCATTTGATGATGTTGGCACATTTTTTCTCAGATTTTTCTTTGTGAATTACCTTTTTAAACAAGTAAATTAAGTTTAATTCTGATTTTTTTGATTTTTATTTAATTTTAAAATTAAAAATTAAGTTTTGGTCAAACTTCTTGTAAATAAACGAAATCGAGTTTTTGCTGGAGGTGAAAGAATAAAAAATTTAGAAAAAATGAATAGAAACTCATCAAAGAATACAGCTGATAAAAATCGGAAGAGTAAACAATCATCATCTTCAAACGACAAGACCCGAAACAACAAGAAAGACTCACAAACATCAAAATCAAACAAGTTAGAAAGTAAACAAATCAATACAAGTGAAAAGAAGAAAGTTTCATTTTCTTCCTCTGTAGAGGAAGCAAACCCTACCAGTAGTAGCAGTAATATTGAAAAGAATAGTATTGAACCAAAAAGAAAGTTAAGGGATGTAGGAAAACTTATAATATCACCACCCGAGCCAGTGGGATATCTAGTTGTATACTCGAATGCAAAAAAAGCTGTTAGACAAGATCTAATGACACTGTGGAAGTTAGATCCAAACTCTGAGGATTATTCAGCCAGTGAACAAAATTATCTTTCAGAAATTAGATTCGGAACTGATGAAAAGTCAAACAATGTACAAATTAAGAGAGCAGTCAATAAGGATTGGCCAATATTGGAAAATCATTGTCATTTAACCTATTTGGACAATAGTACAGTATTAATTTTAGAGGAAGGAGCCTTGGTAGTGGTGAATGGAGTTGCTTACAAAAATTGTGACACCGACGAGAATGATATTATTAACACAAATAGAGTCAGCATATCAAATGGCGATATTATTGATCTAGATGGAAGACTTTTGATTTATTCAAAGTACAACAATCCATCCTATTTACAAGGATATCAGGAAAAGTTTGATGAATACATTCGAGAAAGAAACAAGAGGAAGAGAGATGAAGAAGAAGAAAAAAACAAGAAAGCAAAAGTTGAACAAGATGATGACAATGAGGATGAAGATTTTGAAGGTCTAGAAGATTATGAGGATGAGGAGGACTCAATCGATCAAGAAATGATAGACTCTGAGGAGATTAATAACACCCTTTCTGAATACAACGAGGATGAAGAGGAGGCACAAGAAAATAACCATGAAGAAGCAGAACTTGGTGGATTAGAAGGAGAAATAACTGTTGATGAACATGTTCCTAAGTTTTTCTCACAATCCCCTCAAACACCTCAATTGCGCGATTTGAAAACAAATCTATTTATCCAACCAGAGGAAAGTCAAATAGATGAGGATAATATTGTAATTGACCAAGAGTTCTTAGAAGAGATTATTGAAAAGTTAAATGGTGAAGCATCTGCTAAAATTGAAGAATTAGAAAAAAAATTGAGTTCACAAGAGAAGAATGAACAGGAGCACAAGGAAAATATTAAGATTTTGCAAGCTAAACTAGAAGAAGAGTCGAACAAGTCCAAGAAATTGGAAGAGGCAAACAAGAAGATTCAACTATTGGAAAAGCAATTAGCTGACAAGGACGAAGATATTGATGAGTTTAAGAGATCACTTGAGAAGGCTGTGCAACGTGCAGAAAAAGGTGATAATTTGAAGAAGGAAAATGAAAAACAAAAGTTCAAACTAAAGGATATGGAGGGAAAGCTTGAAGAAAAGAGTCGTCTTATTGAAACAACTCTTGAGGAAAACAGAATTTTAAAACTTAGCTCGGACAGTATGAGATCACAATTGAGTCTTTTAAGAAAGAATAGTTTTCTCTATGAGAGCTTGAAGGACTTATTACAAAAGAACGAGACGAAATCATTTTGGGAAAATTTTGAAGCCATTACAAAACTAGTTTCAGAAACCATGAAAAAGAGTCAACCAACAACAACTAGTGGCACCAGAACTGTAGATAATGATGCAACCTTGATACTATCAGCTGATGATATTGAATCTTCACAAATTTCTTCTCCAAATCAAAAAAGCATTAAGGCAACTGCCAAGAAACCCCTCCTTCTTACCAAACAAGCCCTTGCATTACCACCCAACAACCATACCAGCAAAGGAAGTGCAATATTTGTGAAACCTCAATACAAACCTACCATAGATACACAAGAACTGATAGATAATATGATTGATAATACAGATCATGATTACAGTGCAATTTTAGAAGAAGATTATCAAGATTATGAAAATCTTTCAGATTAAATTATTTAATAAAAATATCAAAAAAATGGGAAATGCAAAATCGGTATTTAAAGCTGCACAGCCATCACTTCTTCGTCGTCATCAATCGGAATTGAGTCAAAATAATTACTGGAGAAAATTTAAATTATTTGGAAGAGTTAAAGTTAATGATAAGAATGTTTACGAGAGATTAGAACATCCAAACTTTAACCAGGATGAAATTAATTCCGTGATGGATAAACTGAAGGGAAGAACATATTTGACTCCATCAAAACAAGGAAGCTACACCTTTATTGTAATGCTAATTGTTGGTATCATAACTCTTGTTGCTGTAACTGTGGAAAATTCCAGATTGGAAGAAAGATTGGCAGTAAACAAGGCGAAAAGGTCAATTGAAGGTTCTGCCAATATGACCAGAACCTCTATTGATTCCTATTATTTCCAAGATCATTTAAGACCTAGAGTGGAGAAGGATTTTAGAAGATAATTATAGTGAAATGGTTTTCTATCAATAACAAAAGTTAGTGATGTCAACGAGAAGGTTAGATACAATTAGATGATTTAGCGCCAATATATGACATTGAGCAATTACCTTGAAACCAATATTAGCTCCCTTACAAAAATAAAGGGGATGGCGCCAAAATTTGGCGCCTTTGAGATACAATCTGCAATTTTTCAAAAACAAAAAAAATGAGTGTATCATCCTATGGTGGCAATTCCTCTCATATCAGTCGCTATTCCTTAACCGAGGAGGATGATGAAGGTGAATATGACATAAGTCATCATGAAGAACAAAACGATAGAGTATCAACAACAAGTATAAAGATGAAGAGATGTGATTTAATTGCACAATTAGAGAGGCTTGGATATGAGGATGTTCCTGAAGACGTTGTTCAGGAATTCATTGCAGAACTTAAAACTGAAAATATTGAGGTTGAAGATGAAGACCCTGAAAATACAACTCAACTCTCTTCATCTGTTCTTCCTGAAGATGATGAAGACGAAGATGACGAACAAGCCGAAGAAGATCAGGAAGAGGAGGAAGAGGAAAGCGTGCCAGTGACAGAAAGCGAACATGACTATGAAGAAGATGAACTTAATACCTATCTCCCAGAATATACTCCAATCTTAAACAATAACAACACTGTGGATGATGAAGATGAGGATGGAAGGGTTCAAATAATTAAGAGAACAGCAGTTAATGAAAGTTTCAATCATATCAATGAGGAAGACTATAATCATAGTGATGATGAAGGTTATGACACAGCAACATACTATGGAAAACACTACTCGTCCTCTATGAAAGAGGTTGACATGGCGAGAGATACAAGTTTTAATTCTAGTTTCAGTACCAAACCTCAAGCACCTCCTCAAACAATTAATAATATCCCTTCCCCAAATGTATATAATTCACCAGCAAGAACATCAACAAACAACATGTTTACTTCACCAACTAGGAATCATCTCTCAACACCGAAAAAGGTTGAAACAGTTAGCTATCCATTCTCTTCACCGAATAGAAAGAGTCAAGATCATGATGATTACCATAGACCAATAACTTCAAGAGATGTCACACACCATGATCTCCAAACACCAACATCAAAAGTGAAATTCAAACCACTTGAGGAAAGTAATTATACACCACCTTCTCTTCCTGTTAGTAGACCTAAATCAGCTCCACTTGTAAAAACACCTATTAAGGAACCTGTTATCAAGACACCCAGTAAATCAGAATCACCAAAAGACTCTTCACAAACAGGTAAAAATTCTAGTATGGTAAGATCATCAACGTCTTCGAGTATTTCCTGTCAGTCAGCAAAACCACTTCCTTTCAAATCAAATGTTAAAAAGCCAGTAACCTACCGAAAGAAGGTGAATGATCCAGTCAATAGGTGGAGAGAAATGAATGCCATGTGGAAAAATGATCCATTCCTTAAAAATCAGCAATCCCAACAAAAGAATCATAGATGGAGAGTGAGACAGGAAATGTTAGAAATCCAAGGAGATAAGTATTTAAATCCAAAAGAAAGTCGATAAAGTTTAGTTTGTTTTTCAGATCCAAATTTTAAATTATTAAAAAAAAAATTCATGATAAATAACTTTCGTGATTCACATGATGAGGGGACCTCTTTTATAATCTTTGATGATGATGTTTCTAGTGCATCATCTCATCGATTTGTAAATAATGTGAATGACCAAATTTTCGGAAAATCTTGCTCCGATCTTTTGTTTGCAATGGATTGTTCAGATTTAAAATCTATCACTCTCCTTCTCGATTCATCACTTCACACTTCAAAACACCCTGTAAATAGTAGACAAAATATATTCACAGAATTATCAAATTCAGCCCTGTACATATCCCGAGAACATTTGACAAATTTTGAAAAAGACACAACAATACAGCAATTCACTAGTATTATTAGGTGCATTTTGCTGTATGAAAAAAGCAGGAGGCGCTGTTTGGACTTTATATTCGATATATTGACGACCAATGAATCGAGCAATATTGAAATTTCAGGAAGAATTATTATTTCTCTAGTCAGTGAACTGCACTCTACTTTGTATCATTTTAGGAACACAACTTCAATATTAACACTGGAGAGGAGTGATTTCAATGGGAAAGAAAGTACTTTATTACTTTATGATGAAGAGGAGGAAGAGCTGACAAATATTTCTAGTCAATCCAAACCAACTAATGGATATGATATTTTAGCTATCATGTTAAAAGATTATCAACATGCTAATATTTCTTCCGAGTCATTAAATGCTTCTATTTTGCATATTCTAAAGGATATCAAGGAATTTGTGATTGAAAAAATTAATATAATTTTGAATAGTAACAATAGACGTCAAAATATAAATGTAAACGGGGGAATAGCATTTATTGAACTACTACCAATAATGATTTCAACATGCCAAAGTCTTTCTGGTCAACTAAGGCTATCCTCTGGATTTAAGGAACAGACAGATGTGGAGGTTATTAACTTTATACTTGAAAAACAATGGAAGGCAGAATATTTTATTAGTTTACTAAATGTATTTCTAGATGTGAAAATAGAGGAAGATTCAAATGTAAGTATTCTTGAACTATTAGAAAAATTGTAAACATTGAAATAGTTCCATGTTTGTATTATTAGAAAAATTCAAGCCATTCCTAAAAGTGTTGAACTCTCTGGCATGGTCCAAGTATTATTGAAATTATCAGAGCTATACAATATTCAAAATTTCACTAATTTGGAATATATTCAAGTAATCAAGACAGTCTACTCAAAATGTGATAGTAATCGCGATGCTAAACTTAATCTATATTTTATTATTCAATCAGCTTTTCAATATTCCCTACCTTTACTAACTATACTCCTCAAATCGGTTGAGCAATTTTATGTTACAAAACCTAACAGTATTTCAAAATGCAATTTTGCAGAGCATTTTTGTGATTTTATGATGCTCTTACTGGCCTATAAGAATGAATTGGTTAAGGAAAAGGTCTTCTCTCATATTAATCAATATATATTGTCTCTTCTGAAAAATGTGGATCCTAAGGAGCAAAGATTATCAGAAATTCAACCATTTTTTGCACCCAAGTCAAAAACTACATCTGGTGGCTCTTCCTCAGACCCACAAGATGATACAGAGCTTTTAGAATTGAGCGATATTTCATATGTTGAGGTAGGTTTTCTTCTATTATTAATGTATTGTTAATAACCGGTCTCTTAGTCAATAATTAAAGCAGCATGTAGTGTTGAAATAGTATCTGAAGAACTACTATCCATTTTTGGGGAATGGTGCAGGATGAACAACAAGTCACTTGTTGCACTTGGAAAGAGTGGTACAATTCTCTTATTTACAGCTTGCGAAAGTAGTAGGAGTACAATATTACAAAAAGTTATTGGAAACATCGCAGAAGAATGTCAAGGTCCATTCCCGAAAGATACAAACATTGTCATATTGGAGGCATTACTTGAAGAGGAAAGAGCCTTTGCTTTCTGCACAATTATTGAAAGATTTTACGATTACTTGTCAACATTTGATCAATATTCATATCAAATAAGTAGCAGAATACTTTTAGCTCTGCTTCCAGTGACTGAAATATCAGATTATGTACGAGGAGAGTTACTTTCCAAGTTGGAAAAGATGTGCTCAGAAGTAAAGAGAGAAAATATAATGGAGCGAAGGAAATTGGCAATATTTGGGTTATCGATGCTCTTATCTATACCCAGTTACCAAGATGATCAGATGAGTATTCTGGTATCTCTGCAGTATGCATTCAAATTCAATGATTTAGAGCTTAAATCTCACTTGTATAAGTGTTTGACTAGTTCCCTTTTGGTAGGTATTAGTGTGATATTTTCAATTTGCTAACAACTATTTTTCAAATGCAGAAAATGTTAAATGGAGAATGCAAATGTTGTCTCACTGATGAGGCCAGTAATATTCTATATCAAATATTGAAATCGAAAGTTGTACATGTTTTTCAGCTAACATCTTCTGGATATGAGATTAATTTTATGAATTGCTTTGAAGTATTGAACGAAGATGCAAAAGTGCCTTCCTACAGACAACTTGAGTGTGTACATGAGCTTTTCAAATGCTTTTCTACTCTAGACAAACTCTCTAGAAAGGCAATATCAGGTCCTATTGGATTATTTCAGAAAATTTATGAAAGTCTAATGCAAAGTTTTAGGGATGCTCCTAAATTGTGTAGCCTATTAAATATGGACAATTCTGATAGTAACCTGTCAGTATTCAACAGAATCTCAATTATATTGCCTTTAATACAGGTATTGATAGAGGAAATTTTCCAAGAGAAACAAGAAATGACAAGGGAAATTTTAGAACTTTTAGAAATATCCTCACTCATCCAAAAAATCGAAAAGGAATCCAAAAAGAAAAAGGATACACTTTTCACATTCGATACATGCACTCTATTATCTGTGGATTTGGCAGACAAGATACGTGGAGAACATGTAGAATGGAACAAGTCATGGCTCATGTCTCTTATTAATCTCATAGACCACACAACTTTTCATGCTGAATCTTTAAAAGAAAAACTTAATGATAATTTCCTAAAAATGATAACTGTTAAAAGTATTGAGGAAGTTCAAGTATTGGGAAAAGTCTCTCAAAAGAGTCTTACTCTTATTAGGACTATTCGTTCGCTTTTCACGCTCTTTATAACTTTATACAACCAAGAACAGGCAAGGAGGTCAAAAATTAGACTTGTCAAATCATCCTTCTTACAGTCAATTGAGGACTGCATTGGTAGAGATTCGATATACCTCAAAAATATTTCATTAGAAACTTCTATTCTCGAAAGACTGAGAATTAAAATCCTCAATCTGATGCAAGTTTATTTTGAGGGTGTCAAGCTGAGCACTAGTGATTCGTTTGGTAAGATGAAATCATTGGAAAAGTTTATCAAGTATGTCTTTAATGTAAAACAGATCCAAGAGACTATAACATCAAACATTTCAATGTTAGAACATGGAGATCATCCACTTGAAATTGATATTTCTGGAGCCAACAGGAGAAGACAAATTGTGAACGATTTCACAATCAATCCACTTGATTTTATAACCTTAACATTTTACTTTACAAAACTACTATTTTTAGATACCTATAAGACTAGTAGATCTTGTAGTGCCTTTTTAAAGTTGATCAAGACATTATCAAGTGTTCATCCATTGACAATTTCAATTGGTATTTCTAATGGCAAGAGAGTAATGAATGATGATGAGGAAGATAATGATGATGAGGAGGAAGATAGTGACTCAGATGAAGAAATGACTGATTCATCTTTATGCAGTGCAAGATTGGATACTGTTTGTGTATTGATGGAAATGCTTGTCAATGAAGATTTATCTTCAAGTGTAACAACACCTATCATTAATCAGACACTCATGTTTCTGTTGAATGTTTCAACAGTTGCCAAATCTTTAGACTATTGTGCAGATTCTATTCAGTCGTGTATGGTGGCTGCCTTGCCAAATAGCTCTACTAATTTGCCTACGCGGTTAAACATATCAAACTTGATGAAGTCTAAAGATTCTCCAACCAAGACAATTGTGGTTTCCCTTTCCTACATTGAACTCATTGTTGCAAAAATCAATCAACAATTCAAAAAGCAAACACGTTTCACAACTAGTACCATTTCAAAAGGTTTTGGATCTTCATTTTCCCTCTCCTCTAATCTTTTGAATGATGAAAATTGCCCACTAGCTCTATTCTCCAAGATTAGAGATTGTGTTATCAATTCAGTTGATTTAATATTTGCAGAATCTGATAATATTCATTTGAATAGAGATTTAATAATATCCAAGTTGGAGAAGATTATGATGGGTTTATGTACCTATGTAGTGAATAGCTCATCAACATTTAAAAAGAGGATTAGAAAATCTCTCGAAAAGGAAAATATTGAAAGGTTAGAGATTGTCTCTGAAAATTATAGTTGTATTTATGATACACTTTCTAAGGTTTCATCAATTAGAAGTTCTATTAATGCCAAAAACAATACAGAACTTAACCTTACCAAAAACTTTACAAAATTGGAACAATTGATAGAGAAAATGTGTTTTGATATTAGAGACTTGTCCAAAATATATAAGAAAAAGATGAAAAAAACAAAAGAATTCCCTACTCTTGAAGTGCTGGATGAACTGGCTGATTTTAAACTCAACACTGAATCATCAACAGATAATAAGAAGAAGAGAAAAAATATGTCCTCATCCAGCCAATCAAAAAAGAGAAAGAAATCTCAAACCAGTTCACTGAGAAGTAAGAACAAATTCATTGATTACGCCTTGTGTGTTGAGGATGATGCAAATTACAGTGATGCCTTTGCTGATTTGGAGGATTGGATTGACGATTCTGGTTGGTCTCCATCAAAACATCCAAAATCCAAGTATGCCGACATTGAAGAAGATGATTAATTCATTGATATTAATAATGTGTGATTGATATAATTCTTCTCACAACAAATTTGTTGGCCTTCAACAAAACATTTCAATAAATTCCTCTAAACATTAGAACAAAAAAATGCCTCCACGAACAAGGTCTTCTGTAGCTCGAGGTGTCATTGATAGTAGCAGTGGTGAGGAAACTTTTTCCGATGATGACTGTGATAGTGATTCTATAGTAACAGAAAAAAACAAGAGGAAAATATCAAACCAATCAATTAGGAAGAAAGTTCGTGTCATCAATTCCCAAAAAGTGATATCATCGGAATCATCAAACCAAGATAGTTCACAAGGCGATTCAACAAACAATGTCTCGTGTATTCAACAAATTTATGAGCAAATGTTGAAGGATTTTAATGAAGAAAATTTCAATTCTCTTCCCCAAGCAAGACTGGAAGAGTATGAGAATATTAAACAAAAAATTGAAAATAGTATCAAAAAACAAAGAGGCCTAGTGATTCATTTATTTGGAAGGGAAGGATGTGGAAAAACTCACTTGATGAAATTTATTATCAATCAAATGAAAGGAAATGGTAGTTTACTTGAAACTATTCCATTTTTGGATTGTTCAACAAATCAAATTGATTCATTGAAAGAATTATGTAAGATATTGTACTTGTCATTTAATAAGAGAGAATTAAAATCAATTACCCCATCCAAGCTATTTACAAAGTGCAAAAAGATGAGATTAATAGTTTTGGATTCGGCAGATTGTTTAATTACTGAAAAACCAAAAGTGAGGGAACAGTTGAAGAAATGGGCTGATTCTTTCAATTGTATATTTATTTGCATTACAACTAATCAGATTGTGAGTCATGAAAATCTTTTAATTTTCAGACCACTATCATCAACTGATTTGACCATAATTTTGAATGAGAAATTGAAAACCTTTATTGAGAGAACAGAAAAACCAATGTTTGATAGAAATTTAATTGGGATTATATCAAAACACTTTGAAGAGTTTGACATGAGGCACGTTCTGAAATTGATAAAGAATGTAATTTCTTTATGTATGCTTAAGAATGCCAATCAAGTCAATATTCCATCATTTTTCCAAATTGCTGCCAGTGATCTGGCCACAAGAAATCCAGTATCAATTATTAGCAGTCTTTCATTTTCCCAACATCGATTATTGGAAGTATTGACTCGTAAACAATCGATTGTTCAAAATATTGAACAACAAATCCAGTTTAACAAGCTGTTAGAGAGCTCTGATAGTGAAGATCTTGTATTGAAACATCGAGAAGACATTTCATCATTGGTATTTTACGAGACTGTTTCCCTGGATCATGTGATACGAACATTTAATGACTATATGCAAGATTTTACCAATGAAAATATTCCCTATGCTGAAGTTAAGGAAATGTGCAGAGTGTTGGATGATTTGAAATTGTTAAAATTGGATCAAATGAAAATGGAAGACACTGTTCATTCTAAAGTAATCATTTCTAACAATATTAAGGCAGACTCTACAATTGATATAGTGACAGTTCTCGTTTCTTTCGAAACTGTACAGGAGGGAATTGCAAAAAAGAAGGAAAAGACTCAATCTGATACATCACTCAAATAGTAAAGTCTCAATAAAGTTAGCTCCAATATGAATCCTGCAGAATCAGGATGGTTAATATTTTTCAAATGAAAAACGAAAATTGATTAATTAATTAAAAATAAAAATAATTCAAAAAAAATGAACACTGTTGTTACAGGACAAAAACTTTTTTATCTCATTGATGCCAAGAACCAAATTGCTGGTAGATTGGCCTCAAAGATTGTACCTATTTTGATGGGTAAACATAAACCAATTTATTCGCCTCATCTCGGACAAGAATGTGGAGACCACGTTGTTATTGTTAATGCTAAACATGTTGCTCTCACTGGTGATAAATGGAAGCGTAAAATGTATAGATGGCACACTGGATATGCTGGTGGATTAAAGGAATACACTGCTGAACAAAGACATGAACGATTCCCAACATATGTCTTGGAAACAGCCATCAAGAGAATGCTTCCAAAGAGTAATAGTACTACGAGAAAACTGAAAATGAGCAGAGTACATATCTTCCCAGAAGATGTCCATACATATGAGGCCCAACAACCAATTCCATTGGATTTACTCGGAACCGATGCAGTCTATGCTGAAAAGGAAAACATTTAAATTTATTACAACAACAATTTTAGGAGATGTATTTAAACGAACATCACTATAGTACAATATACAACATTTGATATTACTCATATACTTTTCATCCATTATGGAGGTATCCCATTTAGGTTAAGATTTTGTTTCTACTAATTTTCAATCACCATTCACACAATTTACAATAAAAAAGAAATTTATTAAACTAGTTGTTATTTTGAGTTTCTTAGTGGAATAGCTTGATTACCTAACTTTAATGTCACAGCCAGCCCCATTCTATTTTGGTGTTTAATTTACAAAATTTTCACAAATGTTCGTGTTAATACTAAGTGAAGTATTAAGAGCACTAGGATTGAACTAATGGTAGACAGCTTCTCTGGCTACACCTCTAATTCTTCTCGTAAGTTGAATATCTTTTACCATAATGGTAACTCGTTTTGCGTGAGAGGCACATAAATTTCTGAAAAGGTCAATTAAGAATAATGATATTGAAATACATACGAATCTTCAAACAAGTGTATCAAATAATCCTCAGCAGCTGTTTGCACAGCATCAATAGCATGGGCTTGCCACCTCAGACGACTATTCACAGCAACCATTTCCGAAATTTCCTTCACCAAACGAGCAAATGTTAATTTGGGAATAAGTGTATGTGTAGTTTTTTGATATCTTCTAATTTCTGCCAAAGCCTTTTCTCCAGGTCTTCTCTTTGGTCCACTAGGTGGTCTTCTAGCTGTGGATTTTGATGTTGTTGTCTTTTTCTGTTTTTGCACACCTGCAGAATTTCTTGCTGGTGTTGTTGTTGTGGCTTTTTGTCGGGATGGTGTCGTTCTTGGTGGTGGTGTATCATCACCACTAGATCTTTCATCATCACTCTCGGATGATCGTGTTGTTCTGCTAGCAGTTGTTGGTCTCCTTGTGGTAGAACTACTGGAAGCAGCTCCTGTTCTTGATGAAGATGCTGTTGTCAATTGACCTGTTGGTGTTATTCTAGTCTGTTGCATTCTCTGCGAACTAGTCATAGTCTGAGGAAAACCACTTAGCCTGATGTTATCATCTTCGTCTGATGATGCTCTTCTTCTTGGCGGCATTTTTTTAATCTTGGCGCCAATCTTTGTGTGCATTAAAATTTAAATAATAAATATAATAAATAATAAAATACTAATAACTAATATTGTAAAATCACAATAAATTTATTAACTATTTAAAAAATTGTAGTCTTGAATATCATTTATTTCCTATTTGCATGGAGAGTCATTTGCATCATCTCTGTAACCAGATTGTCATTAACCAATTCGTTTGGCATTTCCTTGAAGAGTTGAATCATTTTATCTGAATCCATTTGTTTGAGGTAACATCTCATCAAAATCAAATAACATTTGTAATCTGGAGATTTGATTTGTCTGAAAATCTTTTCAACCTTATCAAACATTTCTCTTTCATAAAACATTGTCATAATCATGGCATCAAAATAATTTCTCTTTTGTGTATCAATATCGTCGAGTTGAGTTACTGCCTTGTATAACTTTTCTACCTTGTCATAATTTTTCAATTTGTGATAGTAAACCATTAATAAATGATATGTAACATGGTCAGGATTTCGAATAGAATTCTTAATAAAGTGTTCAATTTGTTCTATACTAGTGTTTCTATGAATTAGTGATTGTAGGTAAACATTCAGAATATTAATGTTATCGTTATTAATAAATTCCCTAGCTTTAGCGAATGTGTCTTCAACTAGTAAATATTCCTTCTTTTTCAAGTGGTAATACATTTTGAATCCCGAAACAACTATAAATATATCCTTATAATATTTAAATTCCTTGCATTCTTCCTTATAATTACTCTTGATAACTTGGGTCAAATCTACTAGTAATTCATTTCCACTCTTGGTTTCATTGTTGCCTTCCAAGGATTTGGAATTCAACAACTTGTAATAAATATTGGAATAAATGTTTTGAATCTTGTCAAACATGCCCAATTTCGAGTAAGTATTCATTAATACAACATAACATGCTTGATCTGGTTTTTCAATTTTGGAAAACAATTGTTTAACCTTATCTATTAATCCCTTTTCTGCATATACTCCCAACAATATTGTATAACATTTAAGTGTTGGATTTTGTAATTTTCTAAAGAGAATTTCAGTCTTGTGAAGTGAGCCCTTCTTAGCATAGGCCAACATGAGTGTATGGATTATATTTTCCTTTTCCAATTCAATTTCTTTAATCTTGTCATTCGGTGAATTTTTTGGTAATGTAATACGAGAGAGTAATTCCAATACTTGTTTCACTTGACCCAATCGAGCATGTTTTAGAATTAAATTACGTATGCTCTCTGTATTATTATTATTATTATTTTGTTTAAACTTCTTATTATTCGGAAATATTGATGTTGTAACACTATTCATCATTTGGGAATTTACTCCAATATTATTATTTGCACTACATTGATGATATCCACACCGCAATGATGATGACGATGATTCCTTTGTTTTTTTAAACAATAACAGTGAAGATGAAATCCTTCTCAGATTCATTTTTTTAATTGTTACATTAATTAATATTAGACAACTTTTTATAATAGCTAATGAGAAAAATAGATTAAAATTCATATTATAAATACTATGATGTATTTCATTGTTTTATTTGATAATAATATCATTATTCAATCAAAAAACCTCGAATAAAAAAATGAAACTATTGAATGGAGGGAATTCGACAATGCTTGGTCAAGTTGTTCATCAACTCGGAAGAAGAATGACCAGTAAATCATCATCAGCTTCAGGGAATATGAAAACTTTTGACGACAATTCAACAAGTAGCTATGCAGGAAAAGTATTGAAAATGGTGAGAAGTAAGAAGAATCTTAGGGTTGCTATTATCGGAAGAGAAAATGTTGGAAAGAGTACATTATTTAATTCTCTATTGGGAAGACAACATTCTATTGTTCACAATTCTCCTGGTGTTACAAGAGATTGTCAAGAAGCAAAAACACAAATCAAATTGAAATATCCAATGAATGTGTCCGAAGTTGTTTTTGATAAAAAGGCAAGAAAGAGACTCATCAAGAAGATTTCATGTACATTCATTGATACTCCTGGAGCAAACTTTATGGAGTCTATTATTCAACAAACTCAGGATAGTATTGCTAGCTCAAATGTTGCCTTATTGGTAACTGATTGTCGTGATGGACTTCAAAAGTGGGATTATCATGTTGCCAATTATTTGGAAATGAAAGGAATTCCAGCCCTTCATATTTTGAACAAGTGTGATGGCCCATTAATGAGAGGAGATTCTGATGAATTGGAAGAAGTTATTTCCAAAAATACTATACCTTCACTAGGAAAGCCTATTCCAATTTCAAGTGAAATGAAAATTGGAATGGATCAAATTGTTTCAGCAATTCAATCTTATCATTTTTTGACTGAAAGTTTAAACGAGGAAACATTACAAAAAACTAGAGATGAATTATACCAATCTGTCATTGAGTCAATTAATCAAAGTAGGGTGTCTAAGAATGATGGTGATTACATTACGCTCGATGATGGAGTCATGTGTGAATCTGAATATGATCTAGCCGACGAAAATAATGAAACTAATTTCTTCCAACCTAGAGACTTTAAGGGTGAATGGGAAAATTTACCAACCGTACCTAGTTCACGTGATTTTACTGAAACAGTCAAGATTACCCATAAAGATATTGAAAATTTGGGTTCAAAACCTCAAAACTATAGACAAGAAAATGTTGCACCAGCTCCAAAGGTAGTTCAACAAGAACAAGAAGACGTTGAAGAAGAAATGGAAGAAGCAGAAGAGCCGCAAGAACTTGTAAATTCCAGTGGTATGAAGGAGGATAACATTATGAGATTGGCCATCATTGGTAGATCCAATGTTGGAAAGAGTACTCTTTTGAACCATTTAATTGGTGAGGAAAGAACTCGTACTTCAAGCACACCAGGAACCACACGTGACACAATTGAAGTTGAAGCAATCAATGAAAAGACCGGTCAGCATTACTTAATTTGTGACACTGCTGGTATCAGAAAAAAGAAACATACAGACACAGATCGTATTGAACAAATGTCTCTAAAAGATACTTACAGAACTATCAAGTATGCTAATGTGTGCTGTCTCGTTGTTGATCCAACACATAATATCAGTGGTGAGGGTTATGGGCTGACCCAACAAGATTTAGACATTGCAAGAATGGTTGAAAAGGAAGGTAGATCTCTTGTTATTGCTTGCAACAAATGGGATATGGTCAAAAATCCATACGTTGTTGCTCAACAAATTGAATCTCAAATTGAAAGCTCACTCTCTCAAATGCAAGGCATTTCAGTTGTGGTATGTTCTGCAAAGACTGGTAAAAACCTATCACTCCTCCTCAAAGAATGTGAGAAATCTTATAGAAAGTGGTCTTCAAAGATTTCTACACATCAACTCAATACATTTATCAGACAATACTTGGAAACCAAACCAATTCCTCAAAGTTATCCAAAAGTGAGATACATTTCACAGGTAGCCATTAGACCTCCAACTTTCTGCATTCACACCTCCAACAAAAAGTTCCCAACCAACTTTGAAAGACAAATTATTAATGCCATTAGAGATGAATTTGAATTGGGAGGTGTTCCATTCAGAGTCATTCAAAAACTCAATTCTAAGAAAAATAAGAACGAGCAAGACAATTAAATTATTTTCAATACTTTATTATTTTTAAATTAAATTTTTAAATTAAAAAAATGGCCACCAGACAATTATCATCTTCGGAAGAGGATTTTTTCAAAAACGTTGATGCTTGGATCAGAATGCCAGATTTACAACAAAAACAACAAGATTTGGAAAATAAATTGTACACTCTAGAAACTTTATTGGATTATGAATTGAAAGGAAACAAAGCAAAAACATTATACACACAAAAAAGTAATATTTATTTTCTGAGAAAGGCTGATGAAGTGAAATTAGAAAAAAGGACAGACAAGGAAAAGATTGAAACTGAAATACAAAACATCAACAAGGAATTAACATCATTAACAAGAACTTTCCAACAATTCAAACAAAATGTAGTAAAAACTAGAGATTAATTATTGCTTTCGGAGTGGTGCATTAATTGGAGGTGGAGGAATAACCTTGCCAGGTAATGCTAGTTTCCTTGTACCTAAACTTGAAGGTGGAGGAGGAAGTTTTGCAGAAGGAGGAGGAATCTTTGGAATTTGTTTTTGGTCTTCTTTTTGGAAGTGCAACTTTAGTGTCATGGAATAGGTATCTTTATCCCACTCTGTTATAAATTTACCTTCACCTCTATCGATTGGTTTGTTTGGAATTTTGAAAGCAATTGTTTCGTATGGATCCGCAGCAAATAATAAATATTGATATTTTGGATTTGGGGGTTCCTGTTTTTGTTCATATGAACTCATTATTCTAAACCTAGGTTGTAACTCTTTATCAATTTCAGGGTATTGTATCACAAAGATGAGAGATTTTTGCTTAGTTTCTGGATTAATTTTCTTGGAGACTGTATATCCAGGTCTTCCAATTTTTAATGTCTTTTTAAACATTTTCTCTTGCTTTTGGATTCCCTTGATTGGTGTATCCTTTTGATCCGCAGCAATTCTCTTGTGTAAGTTATATTTGTGTCTTCTTCCTTGCGTGTGAGCCATATAGTTTCCAATTGTATTGTGTTGGGTTAAACATAATTTACATTCATATTTTCCAATGTGATTTTTCATAATGTATGGATCCTTTTCCAAATCAATATTTTCCAATGCTAGTTGAGTTTGTCTTTCTCTCCGATCAACATTGGCCAAGGAGGCACTTTGTTGCCCACCACTGCCTGCCTTGCTGCCAAAATCACGAAACATTTTTTTTAAAACTTGAAGGTGAATTAAATCATATTTTCCTTTTATTTGCTCTCTAATTTTTTGTTATTCTTTTTCAACAGAATGGCCAAATGTTTGATTGCAGATTCCTTAACTGTCAACCCTTTATACAGTGGTCTTACTTTGGCCAATTCAAGAACTGAAGAAGAAACAAGTTTTTCAACACTTTCTTCAAGGTATTCCACTACTCCTAGATTTGGCCAATCTCTTTGTCTGACTGGCAACTTGGTTGGAAGTTGTAAGGAAACAAACTCCCATGGTTTTTGCATAAACTTGATTCGTCCCTCACTAGAGTACGTCCTATAGAGTTTACCCTTATATTTGATAGAAAATCTGGATTTCCCCCACACAACCATTCCCAAGGATAATAATATTGGACAGAATCCCAAATAACCATATTGACCTGCAATCTTATCATCGTATTCCTCTTCTTGAAGTTCAGAAACATGTCTCAAGTGCATATCATTAACCTCGTGTGGTAATTCTTCTGGGAACTTGATGTTCTTGTCTGTGTATTTGTGATAGTTTGAAACAAACATCTGCATGACATTTGAATCACTAAAACAATAAATCTTATCCTCATAGAAACATCTGTTCGTGTGGGTTCTGTCTGTAATGGTATCAAAAAGAATTCCCTCATCCACAAACTTGACTGGACAGTATGTTTTAAATCTTGAAATGTGGTCACTGAAAAAATCAGAATCCATACCAATATCAAATATTGGGGCAGGTATTTCCTTCTTGGAAGAGTTGACAAAAAAGTTGTATTGTCTGTGTAGAGTATTGGTGACAGCTCTTTCAATGCTAGAGACTAAGCTCCAATCAGGAAGTATTCCCAATCTTATGGTTGTGAAAGGTCTTTCCATTTCGAATAATGTTTCAATTTGTCTCTCATCGTTTGATACAGTTGTGCTACTATGAGAACAGGTTATTGTGAATGGAAATTGTAAAAACTTACTCTCGGTTATCCAAAAAGAAAACCTTATCAATAATGTCACCTTTTTTGGCAAACTCCTTAATATCTTCATAGGTTGGGAAAATACCATCTATAATAAAACCATTTACCACACAGTCAAAGTGGTTGAGTCTACGTTTCAAATAGGAAAGAAGATCATCACCTTCAGGGAATGGATTTTCTTCACTTCTAAATTGGTTGCCTATTGCTGTCTGATACTTCATGAAAGTTTGTACTATTTCAAGACAACTCACATAAGTGCAACCAAGTTTAGCAGCAACTTTTCTAGCAAGTATTTCTCTTTTTTCCGGATCTCCTCCATACAGTAAGATTTTTGGTCGGAATTCTTTTTGATCAATTTCAGTTTCTATCAGTCTAGTTCTCTCTTTAAGGAAGATTTCTCTATTCTTTTCTGTTTTGAAGAAAAATACAAGATTATTCACAACTACTGGGAAGCTTATTTCAGGTTTTGGGGGCTTGACAGTCTTTTTTACCGAAACATCTTCATTCTCTTCATCACCATCCTTTTCCTCTTGCTCATCTCCCTCTTCTTCGTTCTTTTCTTCTTCATTCTGTTCGTCATCATCTTGTTTTTCTTCATCAGTTTGTTCCTCGTCTTGGTTTTCTTCATTGTTTGACTTTTCTTCAGGTTGTTGAGGAGCAACTTCCTCTTGTTTTGGTGGTTCTACGTATTGGAATGGGTCCTCATCTTGGCATATTGTTAAGAAATTACCTTCCATTTTAGGGTATTGTGAGGTCTGTTGCAATTTGTCTACCTTATCAAAATATCCAAATCCTAGCTTTTTTCTACCTTCGAAAACTAGTTTGATGGCCGTATCGTGGTCACATGTTGTGATAAAATCAAATATTTGCTTTTTGTCTTTCATAAGATAAATGAAATCTAATACTTGTCTCATTACCACTCTCTCTGGTTTTGCTGAATCAAAATCTCTTACAACAAATCGTTTTCCTAGGTATCTGTTAGATATTTCTTCTGTCTTTTCAAAAGCATCTGAGTATGATTTTTGTACATCTTCTAATATTTCATCCTTAGTTTTAACTGGTTCTTCTTCCTCTTCCTCTTGTTGAGTTTCTTCATTATCATCATCCTCTTTTTTCTTCTTCAATCTGACATCTATTTTTGCTTGCTCCTTTTTCTTTCTCTTATCAATTTTCTTTTGTAGGAGGTGTTGTTTGTATTGGGAGAAATTCTTGTCAAAATTTTTCTTTACGTACTGTTCCTCGTTTACCTTAAAGTTGATTAACAAGGTTGGGAAAACTTCTAGTTCATCCAAAATGTTTAGTATGGGTTCTGTGACTTCTCCCAATGGAATCGAGGTAAGAATGTAGCCATTTACATATTTTTGATCTTTGAGAACTAACTTGAGGATATTACAGAGCCTTCTTAACCTTTTTTCTTCTTTAGCTGTTTCGTCGTCTTCTTCTTCTGGAGCCTCCTCTTCTTCTTCCTCTTCATCATCAGATTTTTCTTTTTTAGGATGCTCAATAGGTTTTTCCAGTTCTTTAATATACTCGATTACAGTGTCTATTTCACTACCAATTTTTTCAAGAAAATCTAAATCAAGTTTAACAATTGGAAGGGAGAATGTTTCACTAATTTTAGTTGAGTATGAAGATTGTTCATCCACTCCAATCATCCAAATATTGCTTGTTGTATTCCTAATTTCAGACGTGTAAATATGTGGTCTAAGTATGAACTCATCCATAGCCTCCTGTGTGTCAAACACATAGTGTTTTCCTTTGTAAGAAACACACAACGAACTATCACCTTTTACGAGTAACCGTCTGTTTTTAAGGGTAACTGGACAAAATATTCCAGATAAACCAAGAATTTCATGTCTAATCTCCTTCTTTGAAGGCTCTTCATCATCTTGTGGGTCGTCCCCTCCTTCTTGCTCTTCCGTTTTCTCTTCTTGTTCCAATAGAACATGTTCTCTTTCGAAAGGATCTGTGTCTTCCTTTGGTAGTTCAATAGAAGCTGCTGCAGCCTCAACTAGAAAAGGATCAACTTGTTTTCTCACGCTTAATACACCTTCCCATATGTTAGTAAAGGAAACCTCTATAAATTTGATTTTTTTGGCTTGTAAATACTCCTCTTTTTCTTTGACTAGCTTTACAAAGTCTATCACTTCCTTCTTTTCAACTGGTGGATCTATTGCTTTTGGATCAGATTCGCCCTGCTCCTCATTTTCATTGTTATCTTCTTCATCATCGACTGCAGCACTTTCCTCGGTAGCATGTTCTTCTTCTCCTTCCTCTTGCTCGGATTTTTCCTTTGTGAGAATGACAATAGAGGTGAGTGGAGATTCGGCAGGAGAATCTAGAATAGATTTCATTACTGAGCTATTTTCATAAGATGAAGAACCTCCACTAACAAAGATGGATATTTGAAGATCTTCTGAAGTTTCTGGTAATACATTTTCTTCCATAATTTCTTGCTCCTCAGGTTCTTCCTCAGGGGCTTCATCTTCATCATCTCCCTCAATAGTAACCTTTTTAGCGAGTTTCTTTTCTTTTATAGGTGGAGGAGGGAGGCTGGCTGCATATTTTGCATATTGATCTAGGCTAACAATTTCTGATTTGTAAAACTTAGACACTTAATATCCTTGGTTAGAATGATGTGCGAAATATTAAAACTTACCTTCTCTTATTATTTCTTCTCCAATTTCACCGTTCCAAACAAATAAAACTCTTTGCTTTTTCTCAGGTAACTTCTTTAGGTAATATCTAGGATTGTTGATAAACTCATTTTGATATTCTTTTGTGGAGAGTAAATACAGTCTTCCTCTGTACAATGCTGGAATATTTCCTTCCACAATCGCTCTATCAATATGAAATCTAACAGGACAATACTTCTTCCATCGACTCCATTTATATCCTTTTTCAATTTGAGCTGTTATTATCCCTTCATAATCAGGTTCCTCTTCTGGGGTTTCAATAATGACAGGATTAATTGCAACAATATTAGGGGTAGATCTTCCAATTTTCTGCAAAACTATTAAGAAGGCATCTCTAAAACTTTGAGATGAGGTATCTATTGTTAAAAATTTACAATGCTCTTTGGCTATCTGGATAGTGTTAGAAAGTGGTTCCAAATCTGCTTGTTCTTGGTAAGCTTTCTTTTTCAAGTAAAAACTAATAACAGTTAAAGAAAGAATTCAATCACACTTACTATTCTAACCTTTCAAGAAATTGATTTTCTCTCATTTGTGCTTTTTGCTTCTCCTTCTCCTCTCTTACTTCTTCGTCTTCGTCTTCTTCTGGTTCTTCTTCCTCCTCGTCTTCCTCAGGTTCTTCCTCAGGTTCTTCTTCTGTTTCCTCCTCGTCAGCATTCTCTCCATCATCATCTTCTGATGGTTCCTTTTTTTTCTTTTCCAATTTTTGAGTTTGCATCAATTTCTTCTTTTCCTCCCTTAATTCTTGTTTCCTTCTTTCCTCCTCTTGCTCTTGCCTTTCTTTATTATCCTCCTGATCAATAAGTGACTCTATCTCACTAATTCTTGATGTAATTTTTGAAATAATTTCCGATTTTCTATTCTTTGATTCTTCAGGATTCATTTGAAGGCTAACTACATATTTAGCAGGGTTGTCTTGGAGAGCCTGTACAATGCTGCTTCTAATCTCAGAGTCAATAGTGCCCCACTCCAAAATATAGCCTCTATCCATAATATAGTCAGAGGAAATCCATTTCTGAAACAATTCAATTTGTAAAGAGTTTGGAATGGCTCGTTCCTCCTTGAGATACTTTTCAATCTATTAATTGTAAAATTGTGTTAATGTTATTTTTAACCTCACTTACCTGTAATCCCATTGAGCTCTTTGATTTGAATTCTTCTCTGGCCATCTCCTCAAGGTCCAATCTTACACTATTGTAGTGATTTGAAATTTGTTTTCCAATATGACCCTTTCCAGAGACTAGGGTTTAAATTAAAAATTAAAATATAACATGAAAGAATGAACATACACGAATCTCCAATAATTAGAAAGCTCTTAGGCCTCTTATTGACATCTATTATCATTTCTTCCTCGCTGTCGTATCCTTGTTGTAATTCTACATTTTGCAACTGTTCAGATTCAGGTAATGAGAGGCGAAGCAAATTTTCAAAATGTTTGTCCACTTTTTTAATTTTTAATCCAATCTGATATTTAGTTTCCCCCTTTACATTAAAGTGTTTGCCAAGATCCATCAACCTGGTAAAAGTCAATATTGGATGGATTTCATCCAGTTCTCTTAATTTAATCTCCTCTCCAGTCAAATCATTGAAACTAGGTATTTCATTCAAACAATAAATGTCATCCGAAAGTGTATCATTAATGTCATTGTTGTTGAGAAATTTAACGAGATCCTTGTCATCTATTTCTCTAAAATAAATTTTCTTCTCATCAAACAGCTTTCCGATTAGATTGTTTGTTCTTTGTGTTCGCAAGCTTTTGAAATTAGATGTTTTTTTTGTGATGGAAGCCAACAAACACATTAAGAAATTCAACCATTCCTCCTTCCTCCAAACCAAAGTGAAATGGAATGCTACTCTCTCCATATAACCAAAAAATTGGTCAAATTGAAAACAAGTGCTATGTTTTGAGACTCTTGTCTTGATATTCTTGAAAATGTTTGAGAGAATATGACCATATTGTTCATTATGATTTAATAATGTAGAAATTCTCTTTTCTAAATTTGATAGTTCACTCTTTGATATTGGGTCAGTGATGGGAGTGTCTGTTTTTGCAATTTTCCAAAACTTCATAGGATGGTTAAACATATCGGAACTTAACATCAAGACTTACCACCTCAATTATTTTATCTAGTTTTCTTTCTATGAGTTGATAGTTCCAATCATCAACATCGATTGTTTGATGAATTGTATTTTCATTGTTATTGGATATTGGTTGTTCTTTCTCAATTGTTTCATCCGTTGATGACATTTTTTTTAGACTTGAATAAATGTAAATAATATTGGCGGGAAATTCAAGTCATCAAATAATATCTTCAAATCATTTTAGTTAATTTACTTATACTTGAGGTTGGAATATTTAAATATTAAAATACTAATAATTTAATTTAATATCTGGTTTACATTTTCCTCTTCATCACAGAATTATTAAACGGAAAAGATCATCAAAAAATGAAAAGAAAGGATATTCCCAACTCCCCACCCAACAAGACAGAAAAGAAAAAGAGGGGAAACAAGAACAAGCAATTTGTGTTGAATATTTCAACAAGTAGTCTCGGACAAGATCCCTATCCAAGTGATGATGATGTTGAAGGCGAAGGAAAGTTTGGACCGGTTTCTGCTATTCCACTTTCTAGTCTAGATTATTTTGCAGAAGATGAAAATGATAGTGAAAACATGGAGACTATAAAGGAAAATACAAAGGAAAATAGTATTGATGATATTCAAAATATTGAAAAGTCATATTCTGGCAAGTCAATCCAGGAACTTCATGTGTTGTTCTGTGAATCAATCAAACTAGATCCTTTTTCCGAGCCATTTGTGAAATCATCTTTGTCAAAATTACGTATTCTTGATTTCTCAAATGGTTGCTTGGAGAGTGTAGATTTATTATTCTATTTCAAAAACTTGCCAGTTATCAAAGAAATTGATTTTTCCAACAACAAAATTACCAAAATAATTCATTTCGACTTTCTTCAACAACCGGAGAAGGTCAATATATTAGAACAGGTGTTTCCAAAAACTTTGAAAAAGATTAATTTATCATGGAATTTCCTTACAGAATTCCCATCTATTGAACTCATCATGCTTCTCCAAAAAAGAGGAACTATTTTCGACATTAGATTCAACTACATTTCCTCTCTTCCACATGAATTCATGTACGAGGCAGATGATGCCCTGAGCGATGCAGAATATCACACAGAATGTAAATCCAAATCTAGTGCTAGCAAATTTGTAACAATCAATCACACCATATTATGCGATATTAAGAACACTATTGTAGGTTTCTTCAATTTTGAAACTATAATTATTCCAAAATGTTTCTATATAGCCCACAGAAATTATGCCCAATCTTTATTTAGGATCTATGCAAGCGGCCAAAAACGTAAGATTATTAGTGGATGTACTCAAAGTTAAATATGTACTCAATGTGTCATGTTTTGATGTTGCAGAGGAAAGTGGATTTAGAGGAAAGCAATATTCTGAGTTCTTTGATGAGATTCTCAATTTACAAGTAACAGATGACAACAAACAAGATATAGTCTCAATATTTGACCAATGTTTTCCTTTTATTGATAGGGCAAGAAAGGAAAAGAATGTGCCTATTCTTGTTCATTGTCTAGCTGGTCAATCAAGGAGTGTATCAATAGTAATTGGATATGTTATGAAAGAACTCAACCTAGATTTCTCAAAGGCATTTACCCATGTAAAAGAACTCCACACTTATTCACAAGTAAGTTAAACTAATTTCTCTCTTGTATCATATTAAATAACAAAGCCAAATACGAGTTTTCAAATGCAATTATCAACCTTTCTCACTGAAGAGTTAAAAGAGGAGGATGAGGAGGAGGAAGGAAGTAAATCTCCAATTCTAAGGAAATATTAGACCTGATTACCCTTTGGAAAGAATGGATTTATCTTACAAAGTCATCACCTCAAAAGGTCAAAAGAGTTTTAAAAAGCATTTCCTTGAAATTATTGAAATTAGGAAATAACAACGTATATTTTAGATTAATGGCATAGCTTCACATTATTTCTAATTTTGTAAATAATCAACCTAAGCACCTTCAATTAATTAAATTGATATTAATTTATTCAGTTTTTTCCTTTCCAGATGAATTTTCACTTTCCTCAATATTTTCATTCTGTTTTGTCTCTTCAGCTTGTTTTTCTTCTAGTTCTTTTTGTTTTCTTTCTCTTTCTTCCAAAATTTTTCTCTTCTTCCTCAGAATTAATTTTTTTCTAAGCTCTTGCTTATCCTCCTCTTTCATTTGTCTCAGTGTTGGAATGACACTTGTCGGGTTATTTAGTACATAGTTTTAAAACAACATACATGAATAAAGTCGCTGACAGGGCAACAGTGATAATAAACATGACAATAGAGTGATATTTTTCAATTCCGGGAACGTAGTACATGAAGGCCAAACAAGCAATCAATGCAATAAAGGAAACAAATAAAATCCTAATAAACTTTGGAGACAAAGAGGAACCAGGTGTTAGAATCATTCCGATAGTTCCCCTCTTTAAAAATTCTGGCATGTTTGCCAATGGATCAGTATTGGTAGGAATAGATTCTGTTGTTGACAATTTAACAACTTGCTCATTATTGGTTTCATTATTGGTTGGTTTTTGTTCTGAGGATATCTCCGATGACGTTGTTGATGTTTGTTCAGTCATTTTTTGAATCTGATTTATTATTAACAAAACACGTATGTCTTCGATATCTTCTAAATACATGAAGAGGAAACATGGATACTTTATTATGATAATGAGAAGATATCTTCAGTATTCAGAGTGTTATTATTATTTATTATTTAAAATATACACGGATAATGAGATTATGACAAGATTTCTTAAGTATTCAGAGTATTGTTCCTGTAATACATCAAAATTGACACTGAATTGAAAATCAAACAATTTTCTACTCAACCGCCAAAATGCTGTAACAATAGAACGTTACATTTTAAATTTTCTTTCAAAAAAAATGAGCTTTATTGAGGATAGCAGCCCCTCCCACTTTGTCATTCCCTCATCGCCAAATGTTAAGGTGTTGAGGGATGCCTCCTACTCCTCTGACAATGATAGCCCTGTAGAAAATTCAGTAGAATCAAAAACAATTGCTGGTATAGAAACAAACAGTAAGTTTTAAAGAACAACAATTCAAAAGACATTGATGGGACAGCCTCTTTGTGCATTTGCGGAAAACCATCCTTTGCTGGATTAAGGAATGGAGATCTTTCTGATGCGAGGTTTAGTGATATTCAAGGAATAGTAATGCTTCCAAAAGATGACACAACTCATGGCGATTCTTCATTCCTCCTCTCAGAACAGCATCAAATTAGATTGGTAAATATGAAAGACAAAGTAGTAACAACCTTCTTTTCAGCGCAACTGCAAAATCCAAAAGGAATGGCAATTTATAAGAATTTTCTTCTTGTTTGTGATTCCCAACAGCATAAAATCAAAATGATTTCTTTGGATGGAAGAAGAATTACAAATTTTGCGGGAAATGGAAACAGAGGGTGCAGTACTGGAAGAGTAACTGATGTAATGTTTGACACTCCAACTGGTATTTGTGTCATTGGGGATAATGTCTTTGTTTCGGATACTGGAAATCACAGAGTTGTTAGGATCAATAATGGTTTCGTGACCAATGCAGCAGGAAACCCAAGAACAGCAGGATTTATGGATGGAAAAGTTCAAAACTCAATTCTTAATTCCCCTACCGATTTATTTTCTCATGAAAATACATTGTACATTAATGACTTTGGAAATTCTAGAATTAGGCAGGTCTTTGCAAATTATAGTGTTGTGAGGACAGTTGTAGAGAGTGCTGAGAAACTATACGGTGCAGCTATGAATTCTGATGGGGAAATGATACTGGCCACACACAACACTGTTTACAAATATAATCACGAAACAAAAGAATCTTCTCAAATATTGGGAGAAACATCTGAGCCAATAAGAAAAATACTTTGTGCATCCAGATCCATTTACTTGGCTGCCTGTACAAATTCAGTGTTTAAAATTGAAGATAAGATCGTCAATCAAAACAACAGCAACAATTCAGTATTGGACCTCAGGCAATTTTCCAGAAAACTTGGATCTTCCCAAAATTTCTCAATCAATTCAAACATTCAAGAGAGTTGGAAAGGAGAAAATCCAATCAGACCATCCTACTTTGAGTTGATCTACTGTTATGAACAGGATTTGTTGGAAATTTACAATTACTACTGCACAAATATTATTCACACCTTCTCAGATGTTAATGAAATGACAAGTAATCAATTTGCCAAGTTCGCAAAGGACTGCAAAATTACAGACAAAACTTTCCATTCTAACGACGTTTTCCTTGTCTTTGAGGAGGCAACAAAATTCTCTCCAACGTTCAAAATGAATTTTGATGATTTTTTGAATGGCTTAGCCTTCATGTCAGTTAAAAAGTATACTAAACTACCAGTCTACACAATAGCTGACATGTCCAAATTTGATGAAGACGTAAAAGTTTTATTCAGAAAGTTATTGTTCGAATTGGTTCTTCCAAATTCAGGAAAAACCTCAAGCGATCCAACCCCTTCAGAATTGACAGATCCCTCTGTTGCCAGTCTTTGGGCAACACATCAAGATGTAATATACAAGATCTTCACTTTTTATACTCAAAAAAAGAGAACTCACAAGGATACAATGCAATGGGTGAGTTATAATAAGGGTTTAAGTACTCTCAATGTTGACGAATTCTTCATGTTCTGTACAGATTTTGAAATATTTCCAAAATGGTTCTCCAAGATACAATTAGCTAAAATGTTTGACTCTTGCTGTAAAATTAACCAAAGTTTTAGTGAGCCAGCTGATCATGTCTCCAAAGAAGGTAGATTAATGAACTTTGTGGAATTTTTGGACTGCCTGGGAAGAATTGCATTGGCTAAGTTTAGTGACACTTCACTGAGTGACATCTACAAAACTGCCAGACAGAAGATAGAAGGCTTGCTCGAACACATGTCCTTATCTGAGGGAAGAAAATTCTTTGCAACACGCCTAGGAAACAGATTACTAACAAACGTAGAATCCCCAATGAAAAAGCAATTAGTTCAACAGATGAAACAAGCTTATTTGGGTAGAAATCCTCAAAGATCTAAGCTTCAGTATACAGACTACTCTTTTGCTAAGCAAAAACAAAAAGAAAGAGATTCATTAGACATTTCTATTAAGAGAATAGCAGAAGAGCAAGAACATAAAGATGTCAAATGTGCATCTAAAGATGTTGTTCTGTACGTAGCCTCAAAGACTGAAGAAGAAACCTCTTGGAAATATATTGCAACTGGAAATTTGGCACTTTCTTTCAAAAACAAGCTCTCATTGGAAGATTTTGAGAGTAAAAAAGTGTTCGACATTCAATTGACATCAATGATTCTTCCTGTCGTAGAAGAGAAAGATTTGTTCCATATTTTCAAACCTGGTATTTTATTTGATGATTCCAGTATTTATGGAATTCAGTTTTCTTCCAGATTTACCTCTTCACTCTTTGAAAAAGAATATCAAGGACTTCCAAAAAGAGGATCATCGTCTTCTCTCACTAACATGACTCCTTCTCCAAGAAGCAATAACTCTAGACTTATTGGTACGCCAAAGAAAACAAACTCTCCTACTCCTAAAAGCAATACGCCAAAAGTCTCATGGAGTGACGATAAGGCAACAGTAAAAACTCCACAAAAAGAGGAAAAGAGAAATAATAGCTCACTTGATGATACAATTGAACAACCAGAGGTTAGCCCAATTTATTTTAATCCAAAACAAGCATTTAAGAGCGCTCAAAATAGATCTCCTTTTATGAGAGACATCAGTCTGGACGAAAACAAAAGGGATGAACAACAGGATCTCGATGATTCTTCCACAATTCCAAAAATCATCAAAGATTATGAAGCATTTGTTACGGATTTTGTTGCCTATCATTTAAAATCCAGTATCAAATCTTTATTAGCTGAAAATGCAACCTTGTCTCCAAAAAAGTCTGTAAACGATAAGGTCGACACTATTATTCAAAGTGTTTCAGACAGAATTCGGTGGTCCTCTGGATTAGCATTGACTGGGAACCTAGGTAAAATTCTAAATAATTCCAGTAATAATGTAACTGATGAGGAACTTTTCGAAACAAAGGAAAGATCTGTTCAACCTCTTCTATCACTAGATAGTTATGTTTGCTCTAGACTCGAAACATTGGACAAGTTTTATGAGGTTGTTTCTTCTCAAGTAAATTCTTCATCTCAATACTTGGAGATTTACATAAAGGATGATATAGGAGTCTCAATGTTCAATTTTAAGCAAAGATGGTTCTGTGTAGGTGAGGGAACAACTTACAGAATGGAAATTTTCACATTTGAAAATGAGTTTTGTGAAGTCTATGTGAATGGTGAGCCTGTTTCACCAACTGCATCCTCTGCAACTTGGATAATCATTCCAATTTCAATTCCAAAAGCCACCCACGAAAGTGATGTGAATGTTGACCAATTGAAAAACCTCAATGTACATAGCGTACACCCTGTAAAAATTGAACTTGTACATAAGAATGGATTTGCAGTACGATTCTTAATTGAGTTTGCTGTTTTTTCATCCCAAAAAGAGCTTAATTATAGTTATGGAGTTTTAAAAGAAAGTTTATTGGAACAATTCAAAAATTTGCCTCCTTGCTTCCAATCCCTTGCTATGTTTTCACAAAGAAAAGTTCAAACTCTAGGAAATTAATATTCTAAGAATTAAAAACTACATTTCGAATCTAGATTTTCTATTTCACTCTTCTGTTTGGCCTCACCATCTTCTGGAGAGCCCAACATGTATTCTTCCAACCCAACTCGTTTAGTACTGGAACTACCAACAATTTCCCAAGAACCATTTCTATCCTTTGACATGACTTTAACTTCATCTGGAGTATCAAGCTCAGTACCCATCACAGTTAACACAAATCCTTGTTCTTGTTGGAAACCAAATTGGGAATTTGCAGCTGATTTTAATTCCTCAATGGTACTCTTTAAGAGTGTTGATTTGAACTTTGAATAGTCATCATAGGATATTCCATAATTGAATAGCTTGGTAGCTCTCTCGTGTGCTGGTATTGTAACAGAATCTCCCAATTCTCTCATCACATTCATCTTTAAACGATTAAATTCTTCAATGGAAATCTCATCAATGGCAAAATCAACAAATGATCTCACTTGCTCATCAAGATCATAAAGGAACATTTTGATGTCCTCACGAGTAATTCCAATAATTGAGAATGAACCATTAATTGACTGATGAGCTCGGCAATCACTCTCTGAATTCTTGAAAAGCTTTTCATTAAATATTTGCGCGAGTAGGAAGAAATGAGGTGCTTTGTCATCAGTTAGTGGAACGCTTTTACCACCTCTACATATTATTCTTGAACCTTCTAAAATAGTATTTGGTGGAATGGTAATGTATCTGTTCTTTTCTTTGGAGGCTTCTATTACCTTTCCAAATTTGTTATTTTCTGGTATTTCTTCCTGTAACATGTCTGAATTGGATTCCATAAAATCTTTTGCAACTTGACAAACCATGTCCCTATGTTTCGAACTTGCAGTAAGCATTAATTTATATCCAAAACGTGTTGTCAATTGTCTATAGAATTGAGAAATATAATTCTTAAATGATTTAAGGGATTTTAATTTGGCTTCTTCCAAAAATGCTAAATGGGTTGTTCCACCAGCAACATCCTCTAATTTCTTTAATTGTTTTAGCAATAGATATAATATAAATACTACTTACCGATATTGGAGAAGTTTTGGATTCTGAGGAAAATCTAGCCAACCCAATAATATCAATTTGATCTGATATCTCTTGATTTACCTCATCAATGATATGCTTTATAAGCTCATCATTTAATAAATGAGGTGGCATATCTTTCAATTCAGAGTCAGATAACATGGCGTCCATTACATCCAGTGCCTTGTATAAATTCTTTCTAATAACCTGCGTTCTCAGCACAATACCACACTTTACAGAATTTGGATCAAATTTGTCGTGTAAAATCTTGACACTAGTTTGTATTCCTCTTGGGAAGTACTTTTCTTTGAATTCATCCATTTCTTCTCTAGACGCATCACGAGCTCCAAGTTGAGTTATGAGTTTTGCTATTGATGAATAATAAATAATGTCGTGGAGTCTATTTTCATCCTTTGTAACGAAAACATTGTCATACTTTACAAGAGAAATATCAATAAGATCTCCATTCGATTCCTGAATATTGAATAAAAATCTACCATTCAAGTATGACTCTACAGAATTACTAATAAATGATTCAGAAATACAGCTATCAGTATCAATATCATAGCTCTCATTAATATTAGAGGCAAAACTCAAGTTTTGATTCACACTAATCTTGGACATGGTAGGGAGATGAACATTCTTGTTTCCTGTCTGAGTGAGAAGTACATAATTCTTATTAGTGGAAAAATACTTTTGAACAAGTTGAGAAAGTATCCTTTCAATTCCACCACATTCATCAATTTCCTTTCTAATATTCGCCAATTGAATGAGAGAGTTTGAACTACCAGTGGAGAGGGAATCACCAATATTCTGCTCAGAAACCCAAGAGTGAAGTAAAATTTCATGAATACGCAATGTTGAATTGAAGAGTGTAGAATATTCCATTTCAATTTGATTCAAGTAGTGAGATGCAGATCTAGTATTGATATTCTCCATCATTCTCAATAACTTGTTCTTTACAATTGGTAAATCATTATTAGTAACACCTTCAACACCAATTATGAACGAGCATTGATTGTGTGAAGCATTAATACCACTGATTTGGAGTGGAGACAATGAGAAGTTACCCAACTCGAATGGATAAGTATCTTGGAGACATCTTGCCAGAATAGATAAGAGAATATAGTCATGTTGGTTCTATAATTAATTGGTGTTGTGTGAAAACTAGTAGTAGTTTTTCAATGATACTTACTGTAATATCACAATCAAGCTTGTATGCAATTGCAATTCTTGATTGGGCATTCTCTGGGAGATTATTCTCGAATGGAACATGTTCTACAAATTCAAATGTACTGGTATCTTTCAATGACTCCACAATTAATTCATTTCTACTGCTACTATTAGTTTGTTTTGGAAGACTTTCCAAAGATTTTACAACCATCTCTGCACTATCTCCATAAGAAATAAAGAGAGAATTACTAGGATTATATTTTGACTCGAAATCTTGTCTCAAATTGTACGAATTGGTATTTTTCAAAATATTCACACATTCCTCATAGCTTGGTATTGTGTTGTCATAGAGATGACTGATGAGAGATTTAGAAAATCTTGCTTGTCCATCTGTATGATTCAACACATTCAAACCTTCTAATGAATTTAGAACTAATTCCTCAATATATCTAGAATTCCAATTAGGAAAGAATAATTGATTATTAAATATATCTATTAATTGTTTGTATTGTCTTTGATTATTTGTTGTGAATTGAAATGTTTGTACCTCTTGATGAGTATCAATAGAAAATATACTCGGATAAATATAAGGTGAATAATTAAAACATGAATTTAATTTCTCAACAATTAAATTATTGAAATGATGATAAGTTAGAAAATTAATAGGACTCTTATCTAATTTAACATTAATACTATATCCAAAATTATTCTTATCATTAATTAATAAATGTGCAAGTTGAGTATTACTTTTATCAATATTAAATAATTGTATTGGTTTTTCAAAAATAGCTGATGGTGATGATGATGATTTTGAATAATTTCGGAGTGTTGATGATGCAAATTTTTGATGTATCAACAATAATTTTCTTTCATTTCCATTGGCAATAATTTTCTTCATTTTTTTATTTTCATCTTTCTAGAGGACAACAATTGTTGATATTATTGTTAAAAGAGATATAATCTTGCTATTGATTATGACCACTCACTGTAATATCCTGTATTAATTATTATTATTCAACAATTAATAAAAAAATGAAAGGAATACTTGTTGTTCTTGTTGCATTGTTATTATTGTCAATAGTCGGTGCTTTGATCAGTGCACAAGATATGGGAGAAGCTGTGGTTGATGCTGCATTGAGAGAGCTTGATGGTTTGGGCTGGTTGAATAGCAATACTCATCTCTTTATGAAGAGAGTTGCTTTGTGTGAATCAAACTATGGGCAAGCTCCAGGAACATATAGAAGTGGATATTATGGAGGTATTTGGCAAGGTTAGTTGTATTCATATCATCAATTTGTGGTTGATCACACACTTACACTTTTTAATGATCATATTGAACTTGATTCATTATTGGAATCTCTGTTAACAACAAACAAAACAGTGGATGATATTGGATTTAAAAACTCACAAGATTCATCCTCTCATCCCTTCCTTGCCAAAAAATTCGAAGAATTAGATAACAAGATGGGTATTGAATGGAAAAGTGTAAAGTGGACACAATGTGTACGTGCCTTATATTCTGTATTGGCTGCTCGTTTGAATTTATTCACAATTCCAGCAGCAATTCCGACATCTCTCCAAGACCAAGCACAATACTGGAAGACCTATTATAATACTGGAAGTGGAAAGGGATCTGTTAGTTATTTCGTTGATTGTTGCAAACAAGGTGGTTTGGGTGACGATCACAAATTGTAAAGTTCTATAACTTTTTATTCAAGTAAACTGTGAAGATAAATGACTGTGAATAGTTCATTCTATTTGCAGCCCCAAGGAGTTTTTGTCGTTGTAAAAGCTTCTCCGCATTTAAATGTGAAGCTTCTTCTTAATGTGTGGGGTAGGGTTTTTTCCAACTTGGATATTAAGGCATCAATGAGAGAAACACACACACCACACAGTGGTCCATTTGATTCTCTCTCTTTTTTGAAAAAACAACAGCAACAACTCTGTGTGCTTCTTCCGTTTATCATCAATAATTTTGATCAACAACAATAACAATATTATAAAACCAACAATAGATCCCGCGATGATTTTATCAATTAATTTTAAATCATCATCAGCAGTATTACTGCTTTGCATGATAATGATGACAATGACAACAACAACAATGGCTGCACTCATGAATAGACCACCTTCTTCTAATAATTTCAAGGATGGAAATACCATTCTCGACAAGTACATGGCTACTCCCGATCCAGTCTATGGATATAAACTCGCCTCTCAAACTGAAAATCCTGCTGCAACAATTTATATTTTGAATATGACTAGTTTAGCCTATTTAACACCATCAGAAGTTGGAATTCGTTCCATATGGACACATGCTCTTACTGTTGTTGTTCCAAAGAATTTAAATAAGAATTTGAGAACAGCTTCCCTTTTGATCAATGGTGGTGATAACATTAGACCAATTCCTGATTCAAATGATGTCAATGACCTTGTATTGGTGGCTAGTGTTACACGTTCTATTATTGCTGATTTGACTCAAATTCCTAATCAACCAATTGTCTTTGCAAGTGATCCAGCTAAACAAAGTAGAACTGAGGATGAAATTACTGCTTTCACTTGGAGACATTTCTTGAATAACACAAAGGATGGTTCAGCAGCCTCTGATTGGATTATTCAATTACCAATGGCTAAATCTGCTAAACTTGCTATGGATTCTATGCAAAGTTTTATTAATTCCATTATGGGTGTTAAAAGTGGTCAATTCATTGAAAACTTTACTGTTTTGGGTGGTTCCAAGAGAGGTTGGACTACTTGGTTGGTTGCTGCCACTGATAAGAGAGTCAAGACAATTATTCCAATTGTCATTCAAGTTTTGAACTTTAAACAAATTTTGGAACATGTTTATAATTCTCTCTGTTCTTGGCCACAATCTATGGGTATGTTTTTTTTGGGATTTTATATCTTTATGAATGCTTATTTTTTTTCATTAATCATACTTGGATGTTTAAAATGGTGTGAAATAATATATACAGAGGCTTACACTGATCAAGGTGTTATGAATCTTTTGGAAACTAAGGAATTTGCTCAATTGACTCAAATTATTGATCCTCTCGTTTATAAGGAACGTTATGCCAATATTAATAAGTTTATTATCAATGGTTTGGGAGATATCTTCTTCTGGCCTGTAAGTTTTCAATAATTTTATTTTAATAATTAATTTTAAAAAGGATTTGGCATTGTACAGTTATCCACAATTGCCTGGTAGTGATGATCTCAAAAGGTTTGTTTCATTTAATTTTTTCAATAATCTCAATAATTTGAAATTATTACAACCTTACCACTTTAATGTGACAACAGAATAAGATACATTCCTAATGTTGGCCACTCTATGGCTGGATCTGATATTTGGGAAACCATTTTGACCTTCTCATTTGCCACTCTCTATAACATTACTCTTCCAACCTATACATTCTCTCATAACTATGCTCCAGAAGGTGCCTATGTTCAAATCAGAATTCTCAATGGTGTTACTCCATTCAGAGTAACATTGTGGGCTTCTACCAATGAAAAGGCAAGAGATTTCCGTATTACTGAAACAGGTAAAAGCTTTGAACCAACCGTTATCAGATCCACCACACCTGATGATCCATGGTCTTACAATGTTTTTGTTCCAAATCCAGCTAAGGGATGGACTGCATTCTCTGTTGAAATGGAATTTGGTCTTGCTGGTAATGATAATGGTATTCCAATTCCTCTTCCACCAATCAAGTTTAGTTCTGCTGGTTATGTCACTCCAACTAGTCTCCCATGCAAATATCCAGGTTCTCAATAATTAATCAATATTCAATTTATTCGAAATGAATACAAATTATTGGATTATTTAGAAATAAAAATTAAAAAAATGTTCAATCCATCATCATTGCCCTATTCTCGGAATGATTTTTATCAGGATACAAATTTTAATAATAATAATAATTTAATGAGTAGAGGAGATATGGGTGGATATAACTCTGTCACAAATTCTTCATCTCCCTTCAACAATAATTATAACAACAACAACTTATTCAATAATAATAACACCAATAACTTTAATAGTAATGTTTACACTTCCTATCCGTCATCATTTTACAAATTACACAATTCACAACAAACGGAAAGGAATCAAGTATTTTCAAATCAATTCGGAGAAGAATTAAATAACAATACCATGAGTTATAAATCATCATTTAATAGAATGAATGAAGCATCCATTAATTTATATAATCCATTGGTTGGCTTTTTTAAAAATCAAAGCAATCTCAAATTTAAAATTAATTTATTAATATATTTCATATTAGGATTATTATTTACCTTGGTAATTTATGGAAGAAATGTGGTGAAACAATTTCGAATTTTCAAGATTATTAGAGATTTTCTGAATCAATTTATTTTAAAAAAGACCAAGAAAGAGTCTGAACAAACTCCTACAAACAAAATTTCGCCCATTCTTTCAAAATATGAAGAGGAATACTATGAGTTTTATAGGAAGTATTTGGAAAATAAGAAGGAGAAACAAAAGAAAAAGAAACAAACTGACTTACTCAAAAAGTTGAATGGTTTTTGTGATCAATTCACTTCAAAACCAATCCTGTAATATTATTTTAATAACAACACTGTCATATCACAATTCTCGAAAAATGAATTAGGAGCAAAAAACTCAATGGTGGAATGAATTAGGAGCAAAAGAATCAATATTGAAATCCAAGATTAAACTCATTTCTGAAATTTTCAGGACAAAATAGATTTGCATAAGCCATTTGATAAATGGAATCCAAAATTGCCAACCTTTCCTCACCTAAATAATTAAATTTAGACCTGAATTCTTTCCATTCATCAAAGTTTACCTTATAATATTTTGGAACTAGACCAATTTTGAATAAAAGGTATCTAGCCAATTTAACTTGCCCAATAGATTTACAAAATCTGCAAGGAATAGTATTACCTAATTTGTAATTCAACTCATCAATTGCCTTATTAGCTTGTATTCTATCACTTTTAGTAATTTGAGCAAATCTCTTTTCAAACTCTACTGGATTATCATTTAAAAATTTCAAATACTTGCCCAACTCATCCACTGACTCATAGTCATCAATGTTAATGTACATGGATTTTGGGAAATTGAAGGAGTGAATATTTGGTGCACCCTTGTAGATCATTAGAATTTTAGCACCCTTTTCAAGAGCTTTCATTCCTTCAAAGAATTTTTCAGTAATGTAATCTGGTACGAGTGAATTTTCCATGGCAAAATAGAATTTACAATTATTTTCCAATTCAAAGGCCTTTCCCCCTGGACCTTCTTGTGCATTGTTAAAACATTTTCCATATTGCCGCACTGGAACATATTGACCTAATTTACGAAGCAGTAAAAGTCTTCTTAGTGGCAATTGACCACCAGCAATACAATTGGAAATGAATGCACAAATGGATGAGTGGGTTGGATTTTTAGATGCAAATTTTGGAGAGTCTAAATCAATTGGTTGATACAAATAGTTAATCCATACTGTACAATTCTTCATAAAACAAGAAGTAATATCTATATGAGAATTAGAAAATCTTTGCATGGAATCCTTATCATTGACAAGTTGAATCTTGTTTGATAATCTTTCCTCTACAAGTGCTTCACTATTCATATAAATTGAAAGAGTTCTCATTCCTCTCCAAACATTTTCACCATTCAAATCATCAATTTTGGCAGATAATTGTTGTAAACCTTCCATTGATGAAACATGTTCCAAATCAAAATTTGTTAAACTCTGCCAAAGAGAACCAATAACTTTCTTTTCACTGTGAAGTGGTTTAGAAATGTACTTGTAAGGCTCATGGTAATAATACAGTACAGCATCCAATTGATTACCCATATTAAATTCACGTATGGCATCATTGAAAGGATATATTTGACATGAGTGTTGATATTTACAATTATCCTTTACACTAAATGTCCTAAAATAATTAAACATATTTGGCGAAGTTATTCTCTCTGTATCAAATCCAAACCTAGTCATGACTCTATCTTTAAATTTAGTAGTACCCAACAAACTAAACTGTTCCAATTGATTTTTATACCATTGATAGGATCCAACAGTAGTTTCCTTATTGGTCAGCAAGATTGCTATCAAATCATGAATGTTAAATGATTTTGGAAATGATGGTGATGATCGAATGTGCTGATGTAGAAATGTTACTTCATTCCATTTAGTATTTGGTAAATTATAGCCATCACCAATGGATGTTATCCTCCTCGGAAAGACAATAAATAGAAAATAAAAAAGTAAAATATTAATAATAATGCTGAAAATAATTAAATAATTGGAAATTGATTTTTGTGTAAATTGTTGTTCATTGTGAATGAATTGATTTGATGTTTGTAAATTAATGATGGGTTCTTCATCAAGTTTTTTTCTGTTTACTAATCCAGAGGTGGCAGCCGATGGATGAATCATTTTTTTTGGACTTGTGAATTGTTGTGGACATCATTAGTGCGGTTCTATCGAATTTCCTTTTAGTTGGATAAAGTCGTCGAAAATTAGATTGAAAAATTGAATCGAATTTCTTTATAAAATCGTTTAAGGATGCAATTTAAGAACAAAGAACTGGAGGAAAAGGAATCTGGTTCTTTAAATATTGATTATTTACTTCGAAAACTGTTTATGTAAGGGGATGTAGCTCACATGGTAGAGCGCTTCTTTAGCATGGAAGAGGTACGGGGATCGATACCCCGCATCTCCACTAAGTTTTTTACTTTGCAAGTCTTCTTTGCTTCAGTTTTAATAGCACCCTATTCTTATATTCCTTCTTCATTCCCCCTTTTACCCCCGCATCTCCACACATTTTATTATGAAGAATTTCATATCACAATGCAATAATTGTCATTGGCAATTTTTTTTATTAATAATTAATAAATTTAAAAAAATGGCTCACCAATTCAATTTTGATTTATCGGATGAAATTGATGAAAGATATGACGATGATATGGATCAAGACTATGATCAAAATATAAATTTTACTGGAGATGACTATGGTTATGGTGATGATGAAGATTTTGTTGGAAGTTATTCTCAACCGCCAAATGTGGGCGATAATTTAGATAAACAACAAAGAAATCCAACAACACCAAACCGAAAACAAGATTCCGGTCTAAATAATCATGTTGTTATTGGTAGTGTTGGGGTTGGTGCTAATATGGCCAATGAGCAAAAATTAAGTTCAAGTCTCAGAAAGTCCATAGCACAAAATAATAATTCTCTCGATGATGATAAACCTCGTATCTTGCTCATGGGTTTAAGAAGAAGTGGTAAATCAAGTATTCAAAAAGTTGTCTTCCAGAAAATGTCGCCACACGAAACTTTATTCTTGGAATCAACTAACAAAATTGTAAAGAATGATATTTCGAATAATACCTTTGTACAATTTCAAATTTGGGACTTCCCTGGACAAATTGATTTATTTGGAGATACACAAAATTTTGAATGTGAATTAATTTTCAGTGGTTGTGGAGCCATAGTATATGTTGTTGATGCTCAAGACAATTACTTGGACAGTATTAGCAAATTGGCTGAAACCATTCAAGAGGCAAGCAAAGTCAATGATCAAATTGCTTTTGAGATTTTTATTCACAAAATGGACGGTATTAGTGATGATCACAAAATTCAAATCCAACAAGATATTCAACAAAGACTTAATGATGAATTGAATGATTCCGAAGTTAAAGTACCACCAAATGTCAAGATTAGATTCCACATGACAAGTATTTATGATCACTCTATTTTTGAAGCTTTCAGTAAGGTTATTCAAAAATTAATTCCACAATTACCAACATTGGAAAACTTGTTGGATATGCTCGTTACAAATTCCAGATTAGAAAAGGCCTTCCTTTTCGATGTTGTTTCTAAAATTTATATTGCCACAGATGCAACACCTGTTGATAATACTACCTATGAGTTGTGTAGTGATATGATTGATGTTGTCATTGATATAAGTTGTATTTATGGAAATAGAATTAATGGAAATGAGGGATCAAGCAGTGCCTATGATGAAGAAACAGGAGCTGTCATTAAACTCAATAATGGAACAGTATTATATTTACGAGAGGTCAATAAGTATTTGGCTTTGGTTTGCCTATTAACAAAGGACAGTTATGAAAAGGTTGGACTCATTAATTATAACTTTGATATTTTCAAGCAAGCTATTGAGAATGTATTCCAGGTTCGTTCCACACTTCAAAAGAAGAAACGAGATATTAAAAAGAAGAAGGAACAAGCAAATAATAAACAATAATTATTTGATATTTCAAACTGCCTTAGCAACAATATTTGGTATTGAATGTGTAGTGGTCGCTCTTTGTGCTGAGAAATCACTGTATTTTGCCTCAACATTATTAATAAAAAATATCAAACCCCACCCAACAACGCGAGGAAGAAAAATCTAGATTCAAAAAATGCTTCCCCATGATGAAGAGGATTTGTTAAATGGTGGTGATTGGGATGTTGGATTGGGTGGTTTTTCATCCAGACAAACAACCAACAAGAAATTGGGTTTTTCAACAACAAAGGATTTTACTACAGCTGGTGATAAAACAAACAGCTCATCCAATTTAACTAACAACAAAAAAACCAATGATACATCAACATTATTATCATCAGCTTATAATTTAAATGGAATTGATAGTGATGAAGATAACGATGATGAAAACGAAGGTTTGGCCTCCAGTAACAAACACGATGGTGAAACTTTACCTTCCGATTTATTACAACAACAAAATATGGGACAAGATAGATTTGAAGTTGAAGAAATCAAGTTTGAATTTTCTAAATCTTTCACTCATGTTCGCGCATCAAAAGGAAATTTATTATTGGCCACAAATCAAAATACTTGTATCTATGTTGATGATGATTTTGAAAGATATAGAGAATTTAGATTATCCCACAATGATGATGATGATGATGAAAAAATACACAAGTGCTTCATTGATCCATCTGGTTTCCACGTTTTGATATCAATGACCAATGGTGATAACTATTATTTTAACACACAATATAACAAGAACCCAAAATTGGTTGCCAAATTGAAAAATATGATAATTGAAAGTATTGGATGGGATGCAGAACAATGTAATAGAGAAGAAACTGGAACTATTTTATTGGGTACTAATGACAGTAAGATTTTCGAATGTATTCTCTATGATGATTTGAAAGATCCAGTTAAAAACTCATTGAAATTACTTTTCGACTTTAACGATTGCGACATGTTGGTCAGTACTGGACCAATTACAGGAATTGAAATTGAACACTTCCCAAAGACTAAGAATTCATTCAACACCTATTTGGTTCTTGTTTCTACAAGATTGAGAATGTTCGAATTTATTGGAGGTCCTACTCTTCAAGATGTATTTGCTTCATACAAACAATCATTTGATTTGTTAAAATATAAGGAATTGCCTGCAAAGAGAAGTGACATGTTACCAAATAGTGAATTGCACTTATTCAAAAAGGATTCATCCTCTCTCACTGATCAAGAATCATTTGCATGGCTCAGTAATGCTGGTGTTTATCATGGTGTTTTGAACTTTGCAAATCCTCAATCTAGACAAAGTGGCACAAGTATTATAACTGAGAGCGAAGTAATTCAATATGATAATAAGAGTTCATCTCAAGTTATTTCAATTGCTATTAGCGAATTCCACATGTTTGTATTGTATCCTGAAAAGTTACAAATTTTAATGCAACCACCAGGTCTATGTACTGCTAGTAGCGTTAACCCAATGATGTTAAGCTCATTATTGGTTGATCCAATGAATGACAATCAAACTAATCAACAGGGTATTCAAGGCATTGATAAATTCTTTGGATATGGCACCACTGATAATTCAAACATTACTGGAAGTAGTAATAATTTAAATCTCTTCATGGCTTCCCTTACAAATGTTGGCGAAATCTCCTTGTCAGACATTAGGGTTGTCTATCAAAAAACCTTCCCAGTTGGAACATGTGGTGAATTGATTGGAATGTGTACAGATACTTCCAATAGATTCATTTATTTGTATAGTAATTCAAGTGTTTGGAGAATTTTGATAGAGGATGAGGAAAGAGATGTTTGGAAATTGTACTTGGAACAAGCTTTGGATCCTAAATCTTCTAAGGAATCCTATTTTGATGTTGCCTTCAAATTATGTAAACAAGATCCAAAAACAAAAGATATTGTATTATCTGCAAAGGCTGACTATTTCTTCAAAGTTGGTAGATTCAATGATGCTGCCAACATTTATGCCATGACGTCCAAGAGTTTTGAACAAGTTTCCATAGCTTTCCATAACAAGGGTCAAAAAGATGCTTTACGTATCTATGTTTTGGCCAAATTACAATCTCTTAAAAAGAATATCAAAACAGAAAATCAAGATGCAACACAATTATGTTGTTTGTGTACCTGGTTAACAGAAATGTATTTGGATAAGATTAACGAATTGTATGATTTGGTTTCACTTCAATCTCAACAAACACGTGACATTACAAGCTCTAATCAAGTGAGCTTTGAAGAACAATATACAGTCATTAAGAATGAGTTTAGAAAGTTCCTCGAAGATAACAAGAAATACTTAAACAAGGAAACAACATTCAGATTGATTACCAGTCACGGCCAAACAGAAGAAGTTTTGTACTATGCCATGCTTATTGAAGATTATGAAAGAGTTATTAGCCACTGTATTACTGAAAAGGAGTATAGTGAAGCTTTAGAAATTCTTAACAAGTTTTGTACAACAAGAGCGTACGAAGATTACTTTTACAAGTTTTCTCCAATATTAATGCAACATTTACCAAAGGAAACTGTCAATACATTGACACAAAAACGTTTCTTGGATTCTGGTAAATTAATCCCTGCGCTGATGAGATACATTTCCCATCAACAAGCCTCTATGAATAATACTGGTAGTCTACCACCAATCACTCTCAATAGCACTTTCCATACTCTAACTAACAACCTTAATATCACTACAGCTCTCTCCAGTAACAATTCCATGTTGTCAAGCTATACTAAAAAGAAGTCTCCAGAAGATGATGATGAAGATGCCCTGACTGAATCTCTCGACGAAGATGATGATAATGCCAAAATTACACAAAAACTCAACGAAAATCAACAATTTTCCTCACTCTTGACAAATGATCAACAAAATCACGTCATTAGATACTTGGAGTGGTGTATCAAGAAACAAGAGAATGAAGATCCAGCTATCCACAATTTACTTTTAACATTGTATGCTGATTTAGATGATGATGAAAAACTCTTGACCTTCCTGGATACAGAAGGTGAAAATAATTTCTATGATCCAAAGTATGCTCTTCGTGTTTGCAGTCAAAAGAAAAAGATAGAGGCATGTGTTAGATTATACAGTGCTATGCAATTATTTGATGACGCTGTGGATCTCGCCTTGGAAAATGATGACATTGACTTGGCCAGAGAATGTGCTGATAAACCTGATGATGATGAAAATAGGAAAAAGTTGTGGCTCAAGATTGCAAAGCATGTTATTAACCATAATACTGGTGTCAAACAGGCTATTGAATTTTTGAGCTATACCGACAAGATCAAATTAGAAGATATTTTACCATACTTCCCTGATTTTTCTAGAATTGATGACTTTAAGGAAGAAATTTGTAAATCATTGGATCAATATAAGAATGAAATTGAAAAGTTGAAAAATGATATGCAATTGGCAACTCAAACAGCTAGTGAGATTAGAGAAGATATTAAGGAGTTGAAACATCGTTATGGGTTTATTACTTCCAATGCCAAATGTGATCTTTCATCCAAGTCTGTTTTAACAACAGATTTCTACTTATTCCCTTGCCAACATGTTTTCAGAGCTGATGCCCTTGTCGAAGAGGTTATCAAGCACACCAAATCTGAAAATGGCAGAGAAAAGTTAAAACAATTAGAGGAAAAGAGAAGACTCTACAATAGACAAGTTGAATTATTGAATGCCAATAGTAGTAGTGGTAATCAAAGTTCTGGTTCCAATAGTGGTCTCCTCGATCAAAAGGAATTGTCTCAACTCCAAGATGAGTTGAGAGAGTTGGATGAAATCTTATCCTCTGAATGTCCACTATGTGGTGAAATGATGATTAATTCTATTGATGAAGGTTTCATTGCAAGTGATGAAAATCAAAGTGAAATTCTCTCTTGGTCCATCAATTAAGCTCAGGGTCTATGTAAAAATAAATCACTTTATTTAAAATTCTTATTCTTGCCCTCTTTTTAATGGACTGTTCTTTTAATTAGCAATCTTCTCTGGTTTTCAAAGGAAAGAGTTTGAAACATTTCAGAATTGAAAGCTTAAAGTCATAAATGGCATCTGGATAATTCTTTACAAATAATTATAATTGTAATCTGTTAGACAGCTTGTGAAATATTAATAATCTTTCTTTTTTGAAATCTTAAAATTGAAATTTTTATTTTTACAAATATTTACAATCATCTCCTTCCAGAAGAAGAATATCTAATATACACAATATATGATATAAGTATTGCTACCAACACTATTAATAAATCCAATATCCAAACAGTTGACTTTTTTGGTACTGTTTTTGTGTTTGATTCTCCACTTTTTTGTACAGACGGTTTTGTGGTTGTGGCTGGTTGTGGTGTTGGACCTCCACGTGATACAACCTTATTTTCGTAATGATGGTGAGTGTGATCAGTATTATTACAACAACGTTTTTCCTCACATGTTGATTCCTCAATTATTGAGGTAGATGTTTGTATAGTTTCACTCGTATTGTTAGTAGTAATAGTAGCAGTAGTTGTATTTGAATTGGTATTATTACTAGATGATGATGCTACAACTTGGGGTGTCTTGAGTACTTCATCATTACAAGTTCCACATACATCACATTTCCATTTTCTAGATTGATTGGCCATTCGTTTTCTGACACTGTCTGGATAATCAATACTTCCAATACCTTTGGCTTCGGTTGGGAAAAATCCTTGTAGTGCAATTAGTACAGTTCTAATACCCCATTGTGGTGTCCAACTTTCAGGGTGATAGGAAGTGAGTGAGAGGCAAATCTTTGTATTTACTTCAAATCTTCCACTGGGAGTTAATAATACAATATCTGGTGGTTTGTGAGGATATTCAGGTGGAAGAATAATTCTACCATGATAAATACCTCCTTCAAAAGCACTTTCTTTTGGTCCAGCTATAGTAAAGTGCCATTCAAATAAATTATCTTCAAGAGGATGTGCTTCATATTCGGGTGATGGATTTTTTTGTAATTCTCTCATCTCACTCATAATTCTTTTTATGCCATGATGACTCTTATTTACAACAGATGATGATCCGCTTTGTGTTGTTTTATTTGGTGAGACTTGTTCAACACCACCAGTTTTTGTTCCTGTTACCTCTGTAGGTGGCTCAGCAGTGTTGGTGCTCATTTTTTTTTAAAGAGATTTAAATAGACCAATCGCTTTTATTGGAAGGACTGCATCAAGAAAAAGGAATGAAAAACACGTGTTTCTAAAATCAAATTAAAATGTGTGAAACAACACTTCATGTAATAAGAGAAATGAAATTATGTACATTTTCAATTTATTAAAAATCACTGTCTGGAGTAGTAACGGTTTCAGATTGCTCATCAAAAACTTTGTTCTTTCTCTTTCTTTCAATAATTGCAAAAATAATTCTAGCAACAAATCTAATAACATATCCATATGGGATACCAAGAAAACCAATGGAAACAGTCAAGCACCATTGATACCAGTTGAGTGGAATGGTTTGAGTAAAGTTAGATGGGTGAGTGCCATCAGCCTTTCCTGTGGCAAGCAATGAAGGGTCATAGTATGCAAAATTTACCATTAAAATTTGCAAAACAATAATAATTACACTGATAACAACAAACATGATACTCTTGTGCAATCCTGAAAAGATATTGTACTCAAAATTGATCTTTCTTGCATTGTACTCATTGAATACTTGACAAAACACGAATGCATTGAAAACAACAGTTCTTACTTCATCATCATCTCTTGCGAAGGAGAATGAACCAGCTCTGTATGTCTTAGCACCATAGTAAAGTACAAACAAAACAGTAAGTTGGAAAACAGCCTGGGCAATCAAAAAGATCCACATCTTAACGGTTATTAGACCTTCTTTTCTTCCATGAGGTTTTCTGTCCAACAATTCAGGGATTGGGGGTTCAGTGGCGAGCGCAAGAGCTGCAAAGGTGTCCATGATCAAGTTAATCCACAACATTTGCACAGGACTGAGAGGAGGCTTAAATCCACCCGAGTGGTTAACAAAAGTTGAGCTGATAGCACAAACAATGGTCAAAACCAAGGCAACAATATTGACAGTCAATTGGAAGGTTAAGAACTTTCTGATATTTTCAAAGATAGATCTGCCCCACAAAACGCTTTTCACAATTGAAGAAAAATTGTCATCTAGAATAATGATATCTGATGCTTCCTTAGCAACTTGAGTTCCACTCAAACCCATACTCAAACCAACATCAGCCTCTTTAAGAGCAGGAGCATCATTAGTACCGTCTCCTGTGACAGCAACTACATCACCTCTCTTCTTTAAATATTTGACAAGATTATACTTATCTGTTGGAGAACTTCTAGCCATAACTTGGAGTCTTGGAAGAATTTCATGAACTTGTTCTGGAGTCATTTTTCTAAAATCAGGACCTTCAATGGCAATACCATCCTTGCTCAAGATACCACATTCCCTAGCAATATATTTGGCAGTAAGAATATTGTCACCAGTAACCATTCTAACAATAATACCAGATTTTTTACATTGGGCAATAGCTGCTGGGACTTCTGGTCTGAGAGGATCCTTAATACCAACAACACCAATACAGATGAGATTTTCTTCCAAACTTACTGGATCCAAGTTATCAAGATATGTTGTTTCTTCCTCCCTTGAAGAAAAATCAACCTCTGGATTTACATCTCTATATGCAAGACAGATTGTTCTGAGGCCTTGATTGGCCATTTCTTCAATGTAACGCACAATTTCTTGTTCTTTTTCCTTAGTCATAGTCTCAAGACTTCCATCTGATCTCATATATTTAGAGCAAAGTTTGACAACAATTTCAGAGGCACCCTTTGTAAATAACCTATATTTTGTATCTCCATCAGGATTTGGAATTAAGGTACTCATTCTTTTGAGCTTGGATGAGAATGGAAGTTGCAAATGACATCCTCTTTCTTCGCTCATCAGGTCTGATCTTCGTTCTCTGTAGGAATCGATTGTTTGATTGAGATGTTTGACAATCAAAAGCAAAAGAGCTGCCTCCGTTTTACTTCCCTGAGTGGCATACTCCTTATTCTTATTATCTTCATTCTTTACAAGATTTGCTTTGGAATTTACCACAATACCATCAATCAAAATTTGAAGAATGTTTGAGCTCAGGGTGGATAATAACGATCCAAGCTGATCTCCAAAATAACGACCTCCAAAGTAAGCATGGGTCACTCTCATTTGATTCAAAGTAAGTGTACCAGTCTTGTCGGAGCAAATATTGTTTGCTCCTCCCATGGTTTCACAAGCCGCCAAGTGACGAACCAAGTTTTGGTCTTTCATCATTTTACGCACAGAGTAAGCTAAAGCAATAGTGACAGCCAATGGTAAACCTTCAGGAACAGCAACAACAATAATGGTTAAAGCAATGACAAAGAACTTGACAATTTCAACAATATTCTTATCAGCCCATGCTTCTTCAAATCCATTTGTTGAATCATTCCATGTTGTGGTGTACATTAACTTTTTAATCCAATAACCAATTAGAAGGACCACTAGAGTACAGGCAGCAAAGAGCATACCCACCTTACCAATATTTACAGAGAGTTGGTCTAGCTTTTGTTCGAGTGGGGTTTCTCCCTTATCTTCATCAGCCTCCTTTAAACTTTGAAGAGTTCTTCCCCATTCACTATTTACACCAATACCAACAATAATCATTTTACCAGATCCTTCAGCAACTGTACAACCACTGAGTAAGAATGGACTTTCTGTGGTATTTTTCTTAATGAGATCAGGTTCGCCTGTCATGACAGATTCGTCCGTTTTTAACTGATTTGATTCAATACACAGTCCGTCACCTGGAATACCATCACCTTGTTCAATTTCAACAATATCGCCGACAAGGATACTGTCTACAAGAATACTGTGATTGTTTCCATTTCTAATTACTTTGACTTGAACTTTCTTAGACTCTTTTGTGAGTGATCTAAACTTTCTTTCCTTAGAGTAGTCATTTACAGTAACTACAGTTGTAACAATAGCTACAGCCAACAAAATTGCACAGCCTTCAATCCAACCATATGGTCTTTCCTCCTCTTCATCTGGGAAAGCAACACCGAAAACCATAGAAAAGAAAGCAAATACCAGAAGAATAATTAGTGTTGTATCATTAAGCGAGTCAAAGAATATTCTAATAAGACTTCTAGCAGGTGGTTCGGGATAGACGTTGATGCCAAAGGTATTAATTCTTTCTTCAAAGTCTCCCTCTTTATCCCAATCAATACCTCTTTTGAGGTCTGTTCGTAAGAGTTTCGATAGACCTGTGAATCCTCCCCATTGGGATAAGATATTTAGGTTTTTAGTTTGATGCATCTCCGTTAATTCCTCCACTGTAAGACCAAAAGAGCCATTACTCATACTGGAAGCCTTATGGTGAGAATCATCTTTAGTGTTCATGTTTTTACTTGAGGAACGTTGTACAAAATGTGCACCTTTGTTTTCTTCTGCGGATTTTTCTTGTTGATGATACGATGATTCCATGGAATAAGTTAAACCTATTACACTCCCTAAAAAGTGTAAATACTAGTGGACAAGCAAGTTATACTTGTGATGCGATAATATTAAATAATTTTAACAGAAGCAATTATCCAATATTTGTGCTGACTAATAACAAGTGAGCTTGGGAGTGTATTAAGGCTTTTTTTTTAGAGAATTTACGTATTTATCGTGCAGTTGTGTAACGCGGGAAAGTTAAACCGTTGAATATTCACCACTGCCCCACCAATTATTAGGATAAAGTCGTGAACAAATTGAAACGGTCAAAAAAATAGCCTTAATACAATATATGAACTTGATGTTGAATTTTTATTGTAAAGAAATGATATTTTAATAGTGGTGCATTTAATGCTCTCTCCAGAAATGAAAGACCCAGCCACTTTTCTTCCTATATTAATATCAAACAGTAATGAAGATGAACTATTTCATCAGATCCTTTGTGTAAAAAGAAAGAATAATATTTGAAACAAGGTAACAAACAATACAAAATATAAGTTTTTCAATATATTTTAGAGGTTGTTGTTCCATTTTCTTTCTTTGTTATAAAAAAGATTCTTTAAATTTCTCAAAGGATGGAAATTGTCACTTGTTTAATAAAAATAGAAGAAAAAATGTTGATTGTTGGAGGTGGAAAGTCCACCATCAATAACAACAACAACACATCACCACCAACAACCACAACAACGAACATTCGGCAACTTTCTCCTTCTACCAATCCTCACATAACTACCACCAATCATAATTATAACAATTTGAACATTCCCGGATTGTCATTGACCACTAGTAGTGATGTGAGCATTCCATCATCATTAAATTCTTCATCCAATTCGAATAATATAATTTCTTCATTTAATTCATCATCATCATCACCATCATCCATAAATGCTTCAACAATACCACCAACATCTTCACCATCATCATCACCTGCAAAATATGTAAAATCTCATCGAAGTAGGAAGGGTTTATTTGGTCAGAAGAGAAATAGTAGTGTCAAGTATGCAAATTCTGTCGTTTCAATGAGAACATTGGATGATGATAGGAGAATTACGATACATGGAAATGTAATTTCTAATCAAATGTTGATTGGATTGGATGAAAATGGATCAATGAGAAATTTATATGGTTTGGCATCTGATTTACCAAATGAAATTTTGATTAAAATATTTACATATTTGAATGGAATTTCATTTTATAGAGTTTGTTTGGTTTGTAAGAGTTGGTACAGAGCTTGTGAAGATGAAATTTTATGGGAACAAGGTAATGATTTTATTTACACACATTTAATTTAATCATATTTATAATAATTACTTTGAAATATGTGTGTGCCTTTTTATATATTTGATAATTTTAATAATGATGATAAATTCACACGATAATTTGTACTAATATATGCTTGGGACAGTTTGTTCAATGATTTATCCAAATGAAACTCAGAAAATGCAAAAATCAAATAATAGACGAAACAAGATTACAAAATTCAAAAATATTTATTCAGAAATTGTGTATAATGATTTTATATTGTTAAAAACAGGATCATTCGAGAAAAAAGATATCAAATTTAAAAAGTCACCGTGGAGTAAAGAAGATTACATTTTCTTCCATTCACCCAATAATAATAATGGAAACTCCACTTCTAATAATGGTAATAACAGTGCAAATCATTTAAATTCAGCTCTAGTTTCTACTGGTAGTGAGGAAAATGTCTTGAGTATTTCACCTTCAAGTGCAGTTAATCAATCAATGCCTGTTAAAATTGTGGGTAAGTAGGGGCTTGTTATGTTTTTTACAATAACTTTTTGTTGACAAAGTGGTTGGAGATGGTAAGTTTCTTGGTTAATAATTATTTTTGTAAATAATTCATTATTTATAGGTGCTGTTGGAAAGACTTCATTGTTGGGGAGGTTTGCCAATGATGAATTTTTATCAGATCAATATCTTCCAACTATTTTTGATAATTTTACAACATATTCAACATTTGATAACAAGACATGGGCTGTCACTATTATAGATACTGCTGGATCAGAAGATTATGACAAAATAAGGTATGTTTTTATTGAAATGTTGCTTTAAAATCAAATTGATAGACCTCTGAGTTATACAGGATGTGACTTGTTTATATGTTGTTTTGATTTAATGAACACATCGAGCTTTCAAAATGTTTTAAATATTTGGATAAGAGAATTAAATTTATGTGCACCAAATGTTCCAATCCTTTTATGTGGAACCAAATTGGATTTGAGAATATCGAATATCAACGAATCAGGTTCACTCAAATATTATATCGATTCTAAATTTTCAAAGTATGGAGTGGTCACATTTGATGAAGGAGTGGCATTGGCCAACAAGATTGGTAATTGTGTTGGATATATTGAAACTTCTGCTAAATCAGGACAAGGTGTTAAGAAGTGCATTGGTAAGTTTTCGGTTTTGAAACATTTCTCACACGATTTAATAGAAACAGCAATATCATACAGCTGTAAATATTCCCTGTCGCAATTAGTGAGATACATGCCTAGATCGCCAACAACTGGCTCACCTAACAGCGATAACGGAACGATACCCAACAAGAGAAACAGTAATTGTATAATAGAGTAACAATTTTGATTAATTATAGTATATTAGGAAAGTTTAAAAATTGAATTTGACAAGGTTGAAATTATTGTAACATTCTTATTATCTCCACGTTTTTGTAAAATAAAAAGTAGATCAGTAATGTACCTCTTGATTTGGTACTGATTAAGTAAAATGTCCAATGTTTCATTATTAGAGTCTGGAGACATTCGTACGATGGTAGTGATGAGATGGAATAATGCAAGTGATAATTGTAAACTTCCTTCGACTGTCTCCATCTCTGCAGATTCAACCAATTGTCCATCCCTGTTCTGATAAACATCCATCAAATAGTTCACTTGAAAGTGTAATAAATCCACACATTCAAATAACAAATTAAAATGCTCAAATAGTATGATGCGTTCATAATCGTTTTGTCTGAATGAACAAATATCTTTCAACAAATTAGTTATTGATTTCTTCAATAGTAATTCCTTCTCCTCCTTAAATGAAAACATGATTAAATTGAGTACTTGTTCATTTTTACACAAGTATCTTGTGAATCTATTGTCATAAATTTTCTCATAATTCACTTGTTCTGAACTCTTTGTGTACATGGTCAATAAATTACTCCAGATCATTATACAATAGTATCGAATGAGTGAGTGCTTGGAAAATGTCAAGTTTTTCAATATGGTTACAAAATTAAGTTTTTCATGATGAAATTCGATAATAAATTTGTGACAGGATGGATGAGTAGAAATTCCATAAATTAATTGCACTAAAACAAATTCTAATATTGGATCTGATTTGGTAATTAAATTGTGAATATTTCCAAGAATGTTAATTTTAGGATTGGTGATAGCTTGAATAGTAAATTTCTCGCTTTGTAATATTAAAATGTACAATATATTCATGTCTTTACAATGTTAAATTTAAAATTAATTAATATAAACACTTACATTGAATTCTAGTTGATGATTGTTGTGAATTAAGAGACCAATAAATAATTTCATTCACAATTTTAGGATTATTAACAATATTTGAAATTATAGCAACATTCTTGATAAATAGAGTGAAAATACATTTTCCTAGGGAAAGAATAACATTCTCATCGGTACATAGCAATAAATGTTCAGTGTTTTTTAAAAACTATGAATATTAAATCTCAAAAATTCATAAACTCAAACTTACATTGAAATTCTTCAAAATTACATTTTCATCCTGTACATTGGCAACTAGTTGGCCAAATATTGATAATGATAGTTGAACTAGAGTATTGTCATCACATCTCATCAATAAGTTTGTAGTATTTAAAAATTTAACTAAATTATCGTATCCAATTTGATTATCACTTGTAAATAAGATATTCCTCTTGTATCTTTCTCCCTCTTGTTTTGAATTATTCACTCCAGAAGGCGATAAATAAAGCAATTGTTCAAACATTTCCTTATTAATTTGTAAAACCTCCAAATGCTTTTTCGAATATTGCAAATTATTCTTCTCCTCGCTATTCAATGATTGACAATACAAGTGACCTAAAATTGCATATGCCAACCAAATAATATCAATGGAAAACAAGAATGATTCACTTGCATTGAATACTGAATCACCTTTTAAATTGAATATTTTCATTGCTTGGTGTTTTGTAAAATCCTTTTCCATAAAGAATTGATAAAAATCATCCAATCTAAAAATTGAAAGCAAGACATCAATTGAATCATTTCCAACCAAAACTAAACAATGCAATAAAATCCACAAACAAGTATGAATCTGTTTCTCCCTCTTGAAAAACTCCTTACTATTAACATCCTCCAAAGTAGTATCTGGCTTGATTATTCGTGCAAGTTTATGAAATAACATTTCCTTGAAAATAGCCTGTTTACATGTATTATAATCTCTCAAAAGACTAATTAATTGATTTAATTTCTTCTTATCATTTAATTTCATTTCAACAAACACTGTTGATCCACTATTTGAATTATCGGGAAGAAAGTGAAAAGGGAATATTTCATTCATCAAATAGGATAAATTATATAACGAATTATTTTCTTCGGAATTAGCAGTAGTAGTAGTAGTAATAGATGATGGTGATGATGAATTAAAATGATTATATAATTTTTGTGCCAAATAAACAAGTAAAAATCCACCACCTCCTATTCCACTCCCAACAAGTAGCAAATTATTTGAAGACATTTTTTTGTGTATCATGTTGATTTAAATTTCTCTTGCCAGACAGACAACACTGTGAAACTAATGAACAATCTTTTTATACTTATGTCAACAAAAAAGTACCAACATTGTGGTGAGCTTTGGTTCATGGTTTACATGTTTTGTAATCTCTTAGAAGAAGATAAAGTTAAAAGGTGGCCTTAATTGTCTAATGTTATAAACTTTAAAGTAGAGTTCTGTTACAAGCACCAATACATATTGCACATTAATAACTTTAGGATTTAAACCTTGAAGAAATATATTGTACAAAAAAAATTCGTTCAATATGAGTCACCAAGAAGTTGTTTATCCAATCCTGTTCGAAGAACCTGTTCTTCGCACAGATTTAACCACCTCTGAATTGTACACCATCTCAAAAGAAGGAGAAGGAAGTTTATTCGGGTTTCCTTCAAACTCTATGGAAACAAGGAATTATAAAAACCTTCTAGATGTTTGTCTTTCTTCCAGCAATACTATCTTTGAAGCAACTGAAAAATCCCTAGAATTAGGTGAGGAAAACCTAGAGTTGAAGAAAGAGAATGAAGAATTGAAAGAACAAACCAGTATGGAAAAGAAAAAAATGGATGTATTATTTGAACAAATTCAAGTCGTCAGAAAAGAAAATGCTGAGACTAGGAAAGAATTGATGGCAGAAATGCAAGCCCTTAAAAGAGAACTATCCGATTATAAGAAAGAGAATTCGGATGAAATACAAGCCCTTATAAGAGAGCATGCAGAAGAAATACAAGCCCTCAGAAGAGAGCATTCTGAAGAAATACAAGCCCTTAGAAGAGAGCATGCAGAAGAAATACAATCCCTTAAAAAAGAAGTTAAGAAGTTAAATAAGATGGTTATCAAGTTGATCCCTCATTATTGTGAGCAGTTGGTTTCATCTACCGGTAACTTGTTAAAGAAATTGCTTGATAATGTTGGAGCAGATTACTTTACAGAACAATTAATTAGTGAGGGAAAACATCTCTATGCACCAATTTCTTTGATTGAATTCAACAAGTTTCGCGTATTTGCAGATAAGGTATATGAAGAAAGAAACGCTATTTATCATAAATTAGTTTTGAACGAAGAGATTATTAAGGATGACCAAATGAAAGATATTTGCAAAAGACTGATGGCCAAATATCCAACTTCAACTGATCCAGAAGGTATCCTTAACTCTTTAATTGAGACGACCAAAGCCTAATTTAAAAACAGTGATGAATAAATTGAAGCAGTAGAAATTAAAAATAGAACCTGTAGTGCTCTTTGGCCTGGTGGTGAAAAATTGGAAAAGAATTATTAAAAAAAATGATCATCAAAAAGAGAACCAACAAGGCCTCTACTGAAAATCAACGTGCGGAGAAGAAGAAGAAAATAGAGGATGGCAATGAGGAGGGTACTATGAATCAAGTTTTGGAGGAAATTGCAACAAATCATGCTCAGGAAGTGGAAGTGGAATTGAATAATTTAAAACCTACTAATAGTGGAAAGAATGAGAAATCAAACAATTCAATACTTGCTGTATCAACGAAACAAAACAAAAAGGCACAACTAGGAATACATCAAACAATTATAAATGCCAATAGAGAAGAAAAACAAGACGAAACTTACATGGATAGAATAACCTCAACAAATGTCAATGAATTTGATGATTTGGATAATAAGAAAAAGAAGGATCTAGGGCCTACAAAAGTATCTAAGAGTGTCAGAGTTACCAGTAGAATGGATTATCAACCAGACATATGCAAGGACTATTACGAGACTGGTTTTTGTGGCTATGGAGACAATTGTAAATTTGCTCACGTTCGTGAACAACATGTAAGCTCTATTGAGCATTCTAAAAAGTGGGAACAAGAACAAAAAAAGAAATTGGAAGCTCAATCAACCAAGGATATGAGAGCAGAAGGAGAGGAACAAGTGCCACATGCTTGCTTTATTTGTAAAAAGACTTTCAATGATCCAGTGGTGACGATATGTGGACACTATTTCTGTAGCAAATGTGCATTGGAAAAATATAATGCTGGTAAAAATCCTAATTGTCAATGTTGTGGAAATAATACAAAGGGAGTTTTCAATACAGCTCACAAACTCAAAAAGAAGAATTAAAATTAAAACTGCAACTCTAGGACACTCTTTAATTGAAAATTCAATAAATTGTGCAAATTTCATACAAAATCTCAGTTCATTTGCTGTTGAAAAAATACAAAAAATGCCTCAAAGTAATAGTGAAGCTCAGTTGTTGCCACAGGTTGTTCCAACATGTCCAGATAAAAATACAAAAGCCTCAATGAGATGGAAATTGTTGAAAAACTTTCTCCTCAAAAAACAATCATCCAATGAATCGGCAATGAGTGTTACTAGATGTGTCTCAAGTTATGGATGGTTGGATCAAAATTATATTTCCGAGCATTTTGTAGATGATCAACCACAACATCAAGAAGGATACAGAATGGCTTGTTTTTCATTGAAGGAAAATAATTTGAGCATCAATCTTCGTTTAAAAACTGAAACAACCATGCAAGATTTGGATATTGCTGACAAGGATCATGTTGATAATACTGGAAATATTTGTGTATGGCCATCAGAGGAAATTCTTGCTCACTATTGTATAAATTATTTAGGAAGTGAATTCTTTGAGAATAGGAGAGTATTGGAGATTGGATGTGGAGTGGGAGTTGGAGGTTTGTTGATTGCCAAACAATTTCCATCCATTAAGGAAATTGTACTCACTGACGGTAATGAGTCAGTGATTGAAAATTTAAAGTATAATATCAAGCAACATTTGACTGAATTTAAATCCAATATGAGCTCTTCTCAATTGTTATGGCAAGACGACAAAGAAATTGAAAAAATTGGTTCATTTGATGTAATTCTTGCTGCTGATTGTTTGTTTTTCGAATCATTCCATAGAGATTTGTCAATCCTGTTGAAAAGAGTTGGAGAAAAGAGTGGAGCAACAGTAATCATGTTTAATCCAAGGAGAGGCAAAAGTTTGGACAATTTTCTTGCCATTTTCAAGGAGCAATGTCCAAATGCAATTGTCAATTTGGAAGAAAGGTATGATGAAAGGACATTTGAGAAACATCTATCGTTTGTAACAGAAAATCCACTGTATTCTAAAGAGAATCACTATCCTATTCTAATGGAAATCAAGTTTTAAAAGTCTATCTCTGTGGATTTGGTGTGATATAATCATACAAGTCAAAGGCCTTATCTTTCAATATGATTTGCAATACTCCATTATTTTCTGGAGCACTCTTGTCCACACAAAATTTTCTCCTCAAACACTAATTGTTTTAAGCATAATATTAACATGATATCGTAAGGAAATAACAAGTCATTGTTAAACTTACATTCCAGAAACGAAACTCTTGAATTCCATCACTCATGAAATAGGTTGACATGTTACTTTCCACAATCTTTTTATAAATGCATAACTGTTCCTCTGAGGTGAATAAAATTGGTAATGTGAGTGTATTGGCACCCTGTTGTTGAACGAGTGGTTTATAATCAGATCCAAATTGATTCAACAAATCAGGAGCAAATGGTTTGACCTTATGCGAGAGGGGAATAATTGCCCTGGAGAAACCTCTCGGTTCTACAAATTCTCTGACATATGTCTTGATACTGTATGTTAGTTTGGTTTCAATAATTTCATCAATGGATTTTTTGGAAATAATTCTCTGCTCATCATTTGTGTTGGCAAGTTGAGAAATTGATAATAATATTCTTGAAAGGAAAATTTTCAAAACTGCATTAAATTTAGTATGAAAATAATTTTGATTAATAAATATCTTTGAAATATATCTTTGAAACATACAGTGATAAGAATTATTGGTATCAAAACAAAATAATTTTTCCAAATTCCAATAACAACACTCCTCTGCAACATCATTAAATATTTTCTCAACTTGTTCTTGGTTGACTAATTTTACCAAATCAACCAATGTCGTTACTTCTGCCTTAACCTTATGTCCAACAGCTATATTTATCCATTATTATTAAATAAATGATAAAATAAAATTAATAATAAATATAACATTATTAAAAATAATAAATACATACTAATAATGGATGAATCATTCCATGCAAAATATCTATTGCCCACAACAGGAACTAATTGAAAGAATGGACCATTTTCCTCATTTGGATATTTTTCCAAAACTCGATGTTGAAAATGATCATTAACAGCAACAACACCAATACCAATACTCAAAACACAATCACCTTTGGATTGAGTATCAGATAAACCTCTATTTCTATATAAAAATCTACGTTTAAAACGTTCTTTTAAAACACAATCTTGTGCAATAGTTTCTAATTGTCTTGGATTCTTCTTTTCACATTTTAAATATTTCAATTTTTGGACGAAAATATCCCTCGCATCTAATTCCTTGTATGATAATTTATCTTCCGGATATTGATCTGTACAATAGTAAACTTCACCCATTGCAATTGGTTTCGAATCAGTTTCTTCAATTAAATCAGACGAATCGAATAATTGATTTGTAAAATATAAACAAGTGGTAACATGAGCATCTTCAATAGGTTTAGTCTTCTTAACAGGTTGTGGTATTTGTTGTGGTTGAACATCATCCGACATTTCTTCATCGACCACATCAGACAAGGCTGTGAAGAAGTCAAATTTCCGATCAATTCAAATTGAATAACATTTAATTCACAGTTGAAAAGTTATCAGCAAGAAGTAGTTGTTGGGTCATTCTCAACAACTTGCAAGTAACACACACTTACCACTTTTTGAGAGTGACTTGGAGGAAAAGATATTTCGAATGAACATATTTTTTTTTGATGTGAATCGTAGAGTGATAGGAGACATTTAAGAGGTTTCACGACCATTAATATTATTATCAATTATTGTTTATGATTTTCATGAATCAAAGGTTATAATGCAGCCGATATTCTTAGAAGAAAAAATTCATTTTTATCTTGGAACCAAAAGCATTTTATTAAATGGCATTTTTAAGATGCAAAGAGTTGTTAAATAGTGGAGAATGTCTTGATGATGAAAACTTATCCCGCATATTTAACTCAACAACTTGTATGACGAGTCAGTGATTATTAAGAGGTCTTCTTTACCTGATTATGCAATGTAGGCGATTTTTAGTTAATAATAATTGAACCCCATTTTACATTTTATTTTCTTCTTGTGATCGATTGCTTTCAAACAATAATCCTATCGATAAGTTCATAGCTGGAAGGAAAATTAATTTGTTTGGTCGGATTGAAGTTTTTCTCCTCTCATAAAATAAATTTCCAAGCATAAAAAAGAATCAAAAGGTATGTGGTTTGCTCAGAGTGGAGAATTTTAAGCAAATAATATATTATTCATCATTGATGGCTGCACTCAAAAACAATAACATCATTTCCTATCCGATTATTTAAAATAGTGATGCAAGGACAACAAGAACCAGTCTCATCAACACTGTATAGAAATATACAACATCCAATTCTTCAAGCTTTGAATATACAAGTGTCTTCACCAACAGAAAAGTATTTACTTTCCGAGAGTGGAAGAATAACTGAATATTATACAAACTTGTGTTTTGATTTATTTGTTGATTCTGATACATTGGGATGGCTTGTACTGAATCAAAAGTTTTTAAAAGTTGGTGATGCTAGTAAGTTTATTTCCACTGATTCATTACTAAGTAATTGATCGTCTTTTGTCAACTAACAAATTAATTTAATTTTAATTTGTTCAATTAATAATAATTGAATATTATTAGAAAATGAAAAAACAATTAAAAGTGAGAATGAAATATTGGAAACATTAAAAACTACTAAAGGTGAATTGGTTGGAGTCAATGTTATTGATGGACAATTCATTTCCGATATCAAATCAATTTTGGAAGTTATTGATGCTCGTATTAAAACAAAGAAAATCAAGTCACTCTTGATCACATCAGCAAAGAATAATAGTTTCTGTGTAGGAGCCGATATTAATATGATGTATCCAAACTTGGATGAGAAATCTGCAGAAAAAGCAGCCAAGTATGGTCAAGATGCTATGGATAAATTGGCCAGTCTTGGAGTACCAACATTGAGTTGCATTCATGGACCTGCACTTGGTGGTGGATTTGAACTATGTCTTGCCACAACTCACAGATTAGCCAGTGATCATAAGAGTACAACTGTTGGTTTGCCTGAAGTCATGCTAGGAGTGATTCCAGGTGCTGGTGGTACAGTTCGTATGAGTAAATTGGTTGGTTTACAAAAGAGTTTGGAATTGATTTTACCTGGAAAGACTCTCTCAGCTACTCGTGCTAAAAAGGCAAATATTGTGGATGTCATTATTCCATATCAAGATAGAATTGAAAATGAATTTAGATTCCTTTCAGCTTGTAGAAATTTTGCTGGAGCAAAAACAGTTGACAAACAACCATCAGTTGCTAAATATGTTCCAAAAACAATTCAAGACAAGTTGTTGGAAGGTAATTTCATTGGACGTAAATTTGTTGCTCAAATGGCTCTTTCAAATCTTGACAAGACAACTCGTGGCAAATATCCAGCTCCATACTCTGCTTTGCAATCTGTTTATAATTCCACTAAATCTGGTATGTCTAATGGAAGAGCATTACTTATGGAAAGACAATTATTTGGCAAGATGGCAGTTACTGCTGAATCAAAGAATTTAATGTCAGTCTTCTTTATGCGTGAAAATGCCAAGAATTGGAAGAAGAGATTTGGAAAATTGAACAAATTGAAACAAGTCACAAAGGTAACCTATGATCCAACATCTGCCAAGAAGGCAGGAACTGTTGCTCCATCTGTTGCTGTGATTGGTGCTGGTGTTATGGGTAGTGGTATCGCCCAACTTTTTGCACACAAAAATTATCCAATATTTATGAAGGATATCAAACCTGAATTTGTAAAGAATGGAATGAATATTGTTGAGAGAATTTTCATGGACGACTATGTAAAGAAGGGAAGAATGTCAAGAGAGGAAGCTCTTTTCAGAATCAAGCTTGTTTCTGGAGGTACTGAATATCCAAAATCTGACAACTCTTCCAGTATTCAAGTTGTCATTGAGGCTGCCGTAGAAAACATGGATCTCAAGAAGAAGATTTTATTGGAATGTGAAAAATCTTTTGCCAGTTCTGGAAATGTTATTTTTGCTACCAATACTTCTACCCTTTCTATCAATGAATTGGCTACAGTTTCTAAACATCCAGATTTGGTTGTTGGTATGCACTTTTTCAATCCAGTTCACAAGATGCCACTCGTAGAAATTATTCGTGGAAAGCAAACTTCAGATGAAACTGTTGCAACCATTTACAAATTGGCACTCGACTTGGGTAAGATTCCAATTGTATGTCATGATGGTCCTGGATTTATTGTAAATAGAATTTTGGGTATCTATATGACTGAAGCAGGTCGTTTGATTAATGATGGTGGTGAAATTCAACAAATTGATAAGGTAATGGTTGAGCAATTTGGTATGCCAATGGGTCCATTCAGATTATTGGATGAAGTTGGTACTGATGTTGCTTATCACTCTGGAGAAACTCTGAGAGTTCTTGGTCAAAGATTTACTGAAACAAGTGGTAATTCTCTCTTTGATTTGAAGAAATTGGTCGATGCTAAATTATTAGGTAAGAAGGTTGGAAAGGGTATCTTCCTTTATGGAGAACATGCTGAAAAGGTAAAGAAGGGAGATATCAATCCTGATGTTTTGCAAGTCTTCCCAGGTTATGATCCAAAGCTTCGTCGTAAATTCCCACCAGAAGAAATCATTGATCGTTGTGTATTGCTTATGGTCAATGAAGCATGTCTTATTTTAGAGGAAGGAGTTGCTGAAACAGCTCAAGATATTGATATGGGTATGATCTTTGGCACTGGTTTTGCACCATTCAGAGGTGGTCTACTTCAATATGCTGACTCTAAGGGAGCTAAATGGATTGTCAAGAGATTGAAAGAACTTTCAGATTTATATGGTTCATCAAATGGTAGTGTCAGATTCAAGCCAAGTAAGCTCTTACTCTCAATGGCTGAAAATAATGAACGTTTCTACCCTGACAGACCAGCTGCCAAATTCATTGAAAGAAATACTCCACCAAGACCAAAATTGTAAATTGTAATTATAAATATTATTTAATTTATTTAATTCTGTTAATAAATTATGAATAGATTTAATTTTTTTATTATTAAAAAATGATAAGAGACGAAGAAGACGATTTTATTTCATCATTAAATGATCCGATGAGCCAAAATTTGACTGCAACCATTGACGATACATCCTGTCCACCAGCCTTCTCTACAAGAATTCCAGCATCTTATGAAACCACAATATTAAAGAATGAAATTAAAAGGAGTATCAGTTCAAACTCCAATCTCCAACTTGTATCACTCTCAACAGGTGAAAGCATTTACCGATTAAAATACAATCAATTACGCAAATATGCTGGCTTGGATTTTAAAACACAACAATGTTCTCCTTCTTCATTCCCAACCAAGAAGAATCAAACCACTCTACTAGGTTCACTGGAGGAGAAGAGATTCCTCCAACTCAGAGAACGTACAAGAGGAGCAGCTTCCGATGAAGAGGAAAATGATGAAGGAGATGAAGAAGATGATGAAGACTTTTGGGTTGATGATGATGAAAATTTAATTGATGATGATGAATTGTAGAAGATTATTTGATGAACGAAACAGGAACATGATGAATTTTTGTTCCACTGGTGAGAAGATAATTCCTATGATTGTCAATTCCAAGATCTTGGAATACTAAAAATACTCAGAGCAATTTGAATAGTTAAAGCTGAATAATTTCACTGAATTAACAATAAGACCAATAAAAGGTCAACTAGTGTTATTTTAACAGAGTCAAGCAAAAATTAGAACCAAACTGGCGCCAAATTTTCAAAAAAAATGAAACGAAAAGCAAATTCTCTCGGCAATGACAGTTTAATGCTCCCACCCGAAGAGTTAAATCAAACAGATTCGGATTCGGAAGACAGCACGAAACGAAGAAAGGTTCAATCAGATGACGAAGAAAGTGATGAGGAATTAATGCAAGAAGAAATGGTTGGTGAAGAAAATGAAGATTCAACCATTGATAAAAGTAAATTAGTGGACACAATATTGAAAATAGAAAATAGATGCATCACAATTTTCACAAAATCGAACAAGATTGTGGAATTAATGAATAATGAACAAACTAGGTCGGAGTATAGTATTACCGAGGAAATGATAACTCAATACACAGATAGAATTAAAAACAAATATCCAGCAGAGGAGTACATTTCAAAGGAGCCAATATCTTATGAGGAGACTGATTTGAATATTGATATTCACTCTGAATTATATCCAGAAAGTTCTAACTTGTCCCTCTACAAACATCAAAAAGAAGGGATTGTTTGGTTATTGAAAAATTATTTTGAAAGAAATAATGTAATTTTGGCAGATGATATGGTATGTTTCCACATTTGAGCATTTCTAAATATTAATTCGAAAAAGGGTATTGGAAAAACAGTTCAAGTTGTATCTACAATTAATTATCTAATCAAGTATAAGAAAATTAAGGGACCATTCTTAATTGTTGTACCTCTCTCAGTCCTCTCTACATGGGAAAATGAGTTCAAAACTTGGAAATTGGATCACATTGAAATAATAACCTACCACGGAGGCATAACAAGAAAACGAGCTTTAGAGAAATATTGTATGTTTTCAGAAGAAGCAAATGCCAGATACTTACTCCCCAATGTCGTCCTTACAACAAAAGAGACTGTCGGTAAACAAGTACTATTATCAAAAATATTTTGGAAATATGTAGTGGTGGATGAAGCCCATTTTCTTTCGGATAGTAAGAGGAAAATATACAAGAAAATGAGTCAACTCAGCACCGATTCATTCTTACTATTGACTGGTACTCCTTTTCAAAATAATTTGAAAGAATTTTATTCACTGATAACATTCCTAAAGAAAGACTCTGGGTTTGGATCTTTTAAAGAATTTAGACATATTTGTCAGGAGGACGAAACCAGATTTGGGAAAATAATGAGAAATATCATGCTAAGGAGAACTAAGGAATCAGTTCTGGCTGGTGTTATCAAACCAAAGGAGGAATATTTTTTGGTTTTGGAACCAACACCACTTCAAATTGAAACATTTGAAGATGTGAGAAATAGATACGAAAAGGATGATGCTCTGGCATTTGTTTCAGATTCTATCAAGGTTGCCAATCATCCATTTATTTATCTGTTGGATCAATTTTCTGTTGCTCCAACCAGCACATTGACTGAAGAGGATTCAGTCAATAACCCTATTTATTCTACAAGATATTACAAGAAATTCCTTTCTACTATTTCTTGTAGAGAACATTTAATTTCAAAAATTATCAACTCTAGTAGCAAATTAATAGTTTTGGATTATTTATTGGAAAAACACTATGGAGAAGGTAATAAGGTTGTAATATTCAGTCAATATACTACAACTTTGGACTTTCTTGAGTATTATTTAATGTTAAAAGAATACAAATATCAAAGATTTGATGGAAGTAATACTAAGAGTGAAAGAACAGAGGCTGTGGAGTCATTTCAACATGAAAATTCACAAGACTTTGTATTCCTTCTGAGTACAAAAGCTGGAGGGGTTGGGTTAAACTTGATCTCGGCCAATGTTGTCATTGAATATGACATTACATGGAATCCACATGCAGACGAGCAAGCAACCAATCGTTGCCATAGAATTGGACAAACCAAAACAGTCTATGTCTACAAATTTTTAATTCAAAAGTCTATTGAGGACTTGGTGCTAAAATATACACAGGAAAAACTTGCCATGTCTACCAGGGTGAATTCAAATGTTAATCAAAATTCAATTGACTATGATTATTATAACATGAACATTATGAGCAAATTGAAACAAAAAGAGCTAAAATCAATTTTACAAAAGAAGAAGCATAAGGATTATTACTCTGTTTCAACATTAATCAAACAGTCCTGGACTGAATACGACTATAAGAATAATTTTATAGATTTGAATATTCATAATGTTTTTGAATGGTATTCCAATCATGATATTGAAATGTTGATAGATGTTTTCAGAAACTATCCTAATGAAAATTATATTCTCAATGATTTGAAAAACAGGGATTGGAATATGTTAAAAGCAACATATAAGAATCAGTTCCTATTTGAAAAGTTGAGCGAGCTTTGCAATTTAATTAACGAAAGTACTGGTGAGCAATGCTCATTTTATACATTCACTTTAAATGTTCAAGATTTCAAAGTGAGAGAATTTGATTTGCTGTTAACAATATCCAAGTACTATTCAGATGATCAATTCAAAAAGATACTCGATGAAGGATGTGATAAGCATGCAGACTTTTTGAATTCTCTCAAACCACTCTACACAATCGATGATATTGAATTGCGATACCAAGATGATTTGAGAAATATTGTTCAAGACGTTAAGGAATTAGTTCAAGATGAAGATATTGGAGAAGATGATTATCTCACCAAGTTGACCAAATCACTTAGAGAACTAAATACCACCATTCTTGAACTATTTAATACTCCATACCACCAACAACAAATATGGGACCATATTCAAAATCAACTAGGAATTGACAATTTACGTGAAACATGTTCAAAGCTGCAGATCTTTCTAATTGAAAAGGAAGAAAAGAGGAAACAGGAAGCTCAAAAGAAATTAGAAAAGGCATCCTCCTCCTCTAAACAATCCACCAAATCAACTTCTACAAAAACTAACAACAGTTCCTCAAAAAAGAAGGTAGTTTCGAGTGGAGGTTCATCTCTTTTCAAAAACAAACGTCGATAGTATGTGGGCTAGTAGAAGAGAATTGGAGAACCGCCTGTTCATTTCATTTGGAGTAATCTTTTGTAATACCGCTCTCTGGAATGGCTTTATTGTTGTGAAGGGATTGTTCTTTGATGAGAGAATAACAGGTCATTAGTACCACATCAGTACTGAGGTTGGAGAGTCTTTTTTTCTTTTCGAAATGTACCAAATATTAAATGGGATGGAATAACTTCAAAAAAGTATTATCCAGTTTGTACGGCTTTCAAATACGACACATTGCTCACTTGACAGTAATTTGCTAGTTGAATATTCAAAGAATTTAAATAACTGATTGTAGAGGAATATTCAAGGGGAATCGAAATTACCGAAACTCAATACTTGTGAAAAAAATTACGTTATGAACTCTTCCCATCAAAAATTGGGAGACATTAGTTCAACACCTCAAGGTGAAGCAGGTGTTAGTAGCACTCAAGATAAGGCTAGAGAACAGCAAAAAATGCCGATGCCAATTTCTGCTCCTCATGAAGACTTCATTAAGGATCATTCTAGCCTCAACCAGAAAGGTGTTCCCGAGAGTGTACTTATCTACAACAATACAATTGAATTTGTAGAAGAAAGACAATTAAACTCACCCGATTTCTCAAGCCTCTATAAGGACGCTATAGAAAAAGTTAAGCGTAACCATCGGTTTGTTTCTGTAGCAACATTGCAAAGAATTGCTGATAATGTTGTTTCCACTATCACAAAGCCAACCTATTTGGATTCTGCCCAACAACAGAAATTAATGGGTAGATATTACAATTCAAAATGTGGCTTGCCTATTTATCAAGGTTCGATTCGTCCTGAATTATTTGGCATGTATAAACATTTAACAACTCCCGATTTATTGAACAACATTAAAAAAGAGACTCTCTTTGACAAAAGTGTCAATGTTGAGATGCTTTTGGGTGTTTCTGGGAAGGGAAAAACCTTCAAAATGTTGTCAAGAAGTGTACACCAGGACTACTTTTTGATTTACATGATTTTGGCTCCTGAATCTAATTTATTTTCTGACTTTAGTTCTCCTGATTTAACCCAAATAATAGATCCTTGTTACAACCTTTTAGCTAAGAGAATTAGAAGCTTGAGAACAGATGTAGCAAAAAATGTTGTTGTGTTCAATGAAATTCAAGTATTTATACTGGCACGGTTGCTTTACTTAAGGTCCCTCTTGAAGGTCAACAAGTATTTGACATCGACCGAATTTCTAGAATACCAATTAAATGGGTACTTGAAATGTATCAGCTATATTTATGCTGAAATTTTGAGTGAGCTTAGTCCTTGGGAAACTGATTTGGCCTATTTCATAAACTATAACCGAATGTTAATTGGTAGTATTAAGGATGAGTATGGAAAAGATGTTGGTTTTGGTTTAGATGAGATTTTGAATACTTCTAACAAATCTCTTTTGGATATTTTTGATTATGAATGTAATCAATTTAGAAATTTACAACATTTCATTGTCAGAGAGGTCACTAAACTTCAACCGATATATGTTGGCATAGCAGGCACCAGTTTTGATCAGCGTTATGTAGATCAATATTTGTCATTATTGGGAAAGAGAGTGAATATTAGAATGATGCCAAGCAAGTTTGATTCCATTAATCGAGGCAATATTGAATCACTTTTAAAATTCATGATCAATCAATCAAAGAAGGTTATTTCAGAACTTACTGACATTCACTTAATTCATCAATTTCTGGGTAGAAAAAGAATATTCTTTACTTTCATTAAGAATTTATTTAGTTGTAAAAATGTTAAATCAGCAGCTCTGGTAACATTAGATACTTTTCGTAATGACCTAACTCAATTCCTACGTCAAAAGCTTTCAATCTATAGTCAGATATTTTGGGATGGAGTGAGTGATTTAATTATTAGGCACCTATCAATTCAATTAAGAGGAGAAGGAGAGAACAAGATATGTACTATAGATCCAAGTTGGATACCAGTTGGAATGTGTGAGATTGAGCGTAATGAAGATGGTACTTATTTAGTTAGTCTTTTAGATGAACAAGTATTAATCGACACCCTCTTTGAATTTTGTAGAGATAGTTCATTATTTTTCTCTGAAATACAAAAAAGAATAACCAGATATCCAACATTATTTGGAGGGCCAAGTTTTGGTGGTATATTTGAATGGTTAGTTGTTTTGAACTTAATGTTCAACAAGCGGTTGACAAGTGTAAATTCTTTGAAAGCACTCAAGTTGTTAAATTCAGGAGAGATGGATCAAATCATATTAGAATCTCATGATCTTAAATTTAAGCCTCTATCTTTGAATCGATTTGGCTTGATTAAGAATGTAGACGAGGACATGCTTTCCTATCTATGGAAATGTGTTGAAGTTTGTACCAATGTTAATGATAACAAGATGATCATAACAGAGGAGCAAAAACTCTACCTGAACAGATTGATAAGACTTCCAAATTCAGCTCATCAAGATTTTTTGAGCTTTCAAGAATTTAACAATTATTCCACAATAGTTATGGTAGAATTCTCTATCAAATATAGTGATACATGTGTAGGTCAAGAAGAAATGAAAAAGTCATTGGCTCAATTAGACATTGATAAATATTTTCAAAGCTACAAGAATGAATCAACAAGTAATCAAGAAATTAAGAATTTAGTGAACCAATTGAAAACAATCCCAACCATCAAGATCCATATTTGGTATCCATCAGTAAAACCAAATACCATTCCATCCATTGTGAGATGTGGATATTCAAACTTGAGAGAAATGGTTCTTGATCCTCACCAATTTTTAGATAATCAAATAGTAAAATGGATTAAACAAAGACAACAACAAGAACCAACCAAAATTGAGGAAATTAAAGGTAATCTCACAACTAGAAGAATAGAAGAGTTCATTAATGATCAATCTTCTCCAATTAAACGCCACATAGAATTAGAGCACAACATGGTAAAGATGTCATTCAGAACTCCAGAGAAGGAAACCAAAAAAGAACGAACAAGCCGCATTGGAAAGTTCAACAAAAGAATGATGAAACTGGGAAACAGAGTGGCCAATTTGAAGAAGTGGAATTATGTGTGGAGTTATCATGAGAAAACATAATGAAATTAAATTGAAAATTATTCATAAATATATGATTAATATTATTTTAAAACTCCAAGATCGATATTATTTAAATATTTATATTAAAAAAATGAAACAAGATCCAGAAACATCATCAGCAGATAGGAAAATTCTTCCAAATCCGATAAATTACCAATCATCATCACGAGCAAATAATTCAAAATTTAAATTATCAAAATTTTCACAATTTTATTCCTTCTTTCAAAAACCTGAAACGGAGGTCAAGTTGAATTTTCTCTCAAAATTTATTTATCAGAGGAAATTTACAACAAGAGCCTTGCTCATCTCTGCAGTCTCAACTATTGGATTTATTGGGTTTTCCTTTTTACCTTCCTCTTCATTTGATGAAACAGTACAATATTGGACCAATATTCCGGCAATTAACATGACAAATATATTTAAAAGTAGATTGTATCACAAGAAGGAAACTTGTTTTATATATAGATTTGAAGCTCCTTATCCATATGCTACAGAATATGACTTGACACAAGAGGAATCAAATATGAGAATGTTTTTCAATGAAGAATATTTGAAATATTGGGATGATTTGACAACTGATTTGAATGTTAATAATAATGATAAGGATTTATTGGTACATCCTCTTGATTTACATATATTCTCGATTAGAAAGGGAAAACCAGTGGATTTGGAATATTTATGGTATCTTTATTTGCAATTACATTCCATCAAGTATGATAGTATATCAGATTTGATAAAATCCAATAGAGTTTCTAATGACCTATTGTATGATTTGAAAATTGCCTCAAACTTTGATCATGAACACAGATACTTCACTCAGAATTATATTGTAAATGCCAACACTGAAAATAGAATGAGTCTGAACGAAAGAATTCAAAATAATATTCGCCATCAAAACTCCATATCAACCATGGACAGTAGAAAAGTCAATGAGGAATATCAAGAACGATTGAAATCAAAAAAGGATATTTTAACACCACAAGATTATCAAAGATTATTCTATACTGAAAATAGAAAATATAGGTTTAGTAGTCTATATCATAGAAATTTTGTTGATGCTCAATTTTAAATGAATAACAAGTAGAGAATGAAGGTTTATTCATCTTTCTTTTAATCCATGTCATAATATTCTATTAGCCTTAATAAGAAAACTAGCAAAAGGCAAAATGTGTGGAGATGCGGGGTATCGATCCCCGTACCTCTTCCATGCTAAAGAAGCGCTCTACCATGTGAGCTACATCCCCTTACAATAAAACTCTTTTGCACTTCATCACCATTTCTAACTTAACAAACACCCATTATCCTAAATATCTATTCAGTTATTAAGAATTGAATTGAACCAACCTCCTGTACAGGTGATTCTTTCTTTACTCCGCCATAGGTGGTCGGAATTAATTAGGTCGTTAAAAATAAACCAGTCACTTAAAAAAATGTTCAGATCCATCACCAAAGTATCAAAGAGCACTAACCTCAAGCCTACCGTCATTTCCAATGCTTCTTCCACAAGAATGTACAGTGAATTGAAGGGTACCAAGACTCACAATAACTTGAAGGAAGCTTTTGCTGGTGAATCCCAAGCTAACAGAAGATATCTCTTCTTCGCCGATAGGTAGGTTTTTTTTGGATGACGACAATTGTACTGATGATGATGATTTTAATTATATTCTTGTTCTTGTGTGATGATAATTATTGTTTAATAATGTATTAAAATAGAGCTGATGTTGAAGGTCACACTGATATTTCCCAATTGTTCAGATCTACTGCTGATGGTGAAACTGCTCACGCTTTTGGACATTTGGGTATGTAGTTAATAGTAATATTATTATCTTTACACTAGAATTTACATTAAATTATTTTACTTTATATTATTATATTCTAATAATAACAATTAAAATAATTATTTAATTTGTACTAATAATAATAATAGAATTCTTGGAAGAAGCTGGTGACCCAGCCACTGGTGAACCAATGGGTGATACTGAATCAAACTTGATTTCTGCTATTGCTGGTGAAACTCACGAATATACTTCCATGTATCCATCTATGGCTAAGACTGCCAGACAAGAAGGTTTCGATGATATTTCTGAATGGTTCGAAACTCTTGCTAAGGCTGAAAAGTCACACAGCAATAAGTTTACTGATGCTTTGAACAAGTTAAGAGCTTCTCAATAAATCTTTTAACACCTGCTTTTTTAAATTGTTCAAGTCAACTTGCATTTTATTTACAGATATTAAAATTAGAAAATTGGAGAAGCCTCTTCAGCAGTATTGTCGTCTTCTACTAGGTCTGGATTTGTAGTTGTGGGAGTTTCATTTGTTGTTGCAATTTTGATCTTTTTAGAGATTGGTTCAAGGAGAGAATTGAAAGCAAGGCATGGTTTAATTCTATTTCTAACCCACTCCTTAGCACAATTAGTATTGGAAGAGTTTGTACTTGTGTCCATTGGGAAATAACTCTCCAATTCTCTCGTAAATTCCTCATTGAACAGTGAATCGTTGGTTGTAGAGTTTGAACAATCTTGTAGAATATTCTGATTAACAACTTTCCATACCAAATTTTGCCACTTTTCAGGCCATTCCTCTCTCTGTTCTGCTCCTAATACGAGTAACAAAAGTGATTGTTTTAATTGTACATTTTCTAATTTCACATCTTCATCAACAGCAACACTTTCAAACTCTATATCTTGTGATTCAGATGAAAAAGTTGTACCATTCGTGGCTTCTTCTTGTTTTCTCTTTCCAAGAAGACAAGTTTTTCTATCAGAGTTTGAGGTTAAACATTCTTCTTGCCTTAACAATTTTTCGTTAGTTTCATTTTGATGTTCTTGGAGAGCCATTTTTTTCTTTGAGAATAAATGGAATCGATTTGTAGTTCCAGTAAACTCGTCTTTTTTTGCATCTTCAGTTGATCCAAATCAGTTGAAGTTATTTCCAGATAAAAATGGATTCAACAGCAGAGTGCATCACGTGTTTTATTAGATATTTGAACACATTACAAAAAAAAATACAACGCGTCAAGTGCAAACCAAACAAAAAATATTGTCCACACAAGAAAAATATTTCATCAGCTTCATCAAATTAAATAATTGATAATACACCACATCAACAACAACAAAATGATAAGTTCGGAAGAATTATTGGCAACAAATGCCTCTAGTAATAACAATAGTATTACTTCTGTTACCATGGCTGCTGTTTCTGGTTCATCCGAGTCGTCATCAAGAAAGAAAAAGTCTTCATCAAACTCTTCGGAAAAGATTGTTAGGAATAAGAAGGTTGAATGTGGTTTTAATATGATTTTTAATTGTTATACATTTCCTGAACCGATCAATGCATCAAGTGCTAATATTGAAAAGATTTATCAGCTTGTGAGAGAAAGGCTAAAGAATGAAATTGTAGAGACTGGTAAATTGAGAGAGGAAAATATTATTGAAAATGCAAAGAATTCAAAGTTTGCTATGGAGACTGATGTTGATCAGGAATCATTTGATACCAAGATATTGAAACATAGAAAAACTATTCGTTACAAAATTACAGAGGAATTACAATCTAAATTGTATTATGGAGTTGATGAGCCACATCAATCGATTTTTGCTTACATTTTTGAATTGCATGATCCATTTAAACTTCACATTTACACCACTGAGAATATGAAAGGAAAAAAGAGTAGAAATATTATCAAATTTGACATTTACAAAAAGGTCAAGATTGCCTCCTTAATTACGACCTTCACACTTGGATTGATTATTTTGGAAACAAATATTTCAAGTACAAGTGAAAAGATGGCAACTGTACACATACTTAATGGAACACATGTTTTTGACAAAATGATGGACAATGAAAAAAAGAGAAGAGATCCCAGTTATTATGAGGAAGAAAGAAAAAAGGCAAAACTGGAAAGGCAAGCCAGTGATTCCAATTTCGATGATGAGGAAGAATCTGTGGGAGAACCAGTTGAAGAAGCATTACTTCGAGAAACTGTTAAGGATCTTATCACTTCCAACAAATTTACAAGTGTTTCACTCTATTTGCGTGATTTGTTGACTAGTATTGCTAGTGAGCAGGATGTTGACAAGATATTGTCAAAAATTCCAGAAGCAGAAAAGAAGGATTTTATTTCTCTCCTCTCCAAAGTGGCCTCAAATGCCACTCTACCTTTAATGAATTATTCTCTGGATTCCTCTACAGCAACTTTTACAACGGCAAGTACGATAAGTACCAACCAGCAGCACCAGAGTAGTATTGCAACTGATATGCTGGACGAAATGAATGACAATCCGTCAGGTGTTAATCTACTAAATAATTATTTTGATTAATAATAAAATTCCAGATTTGGAGTTGACAATTAATCCAAGTAGTCAATAAGTGAGTTTCTAATGTTTCAAAAATTCGTATATGATTTAAATCCAAGTGTATAACACAAGCAGTACAAATAAAACAAATCCAATTAATAGACAATACATTCCAAGCATTCCATGTCTCCTTTGAGTGAGTAATTTCAACCTCATCAAGGTATTATCAAGCATAGTCTTTGTATTGCTGGCATCTGCATTAATGGATTTCATATAGGCATTTTGTTCATCCAATTCCGCTCCCATTGTCATGGCAATTTCCTTTAAAACTCTAACTCCCTTCACCATCACTCCTGCTTTTTGGTCAATATCATCCTCTGCCTTATCTATTAACAATTGTGTTTGAGAATTATTTGTAGTAGGTAAATAGGATCCACCATATTCTTCATCATATTTGGCTCCGGAAAAGAGTTTTGAACGCAAACTCTTGTTATTTCTCATCATTTTTTTTAAGTGTTTTTTAAATAATTTTTATTTCAATGCTTTCATTTCAAATGACATTAATGCAACGTCATCATAGAGTCGTTCAAATGGTGTAGACATCATCATGAAAGGAATTTAAAGGGAGGAATTTAAATGAGAAGGATCAATTCTCTTAAGAACTAGAGAACTTGCACCACCACCTCCATTACAAATACCAGCACAACCTATAGTCTTATTGTTTGTACATAATTGATTACAGAGAGTGACAACAATTCTAGCTCCTGAACAACCTAATGGATGCCCTAATGCAACTGCACCTCCCCAGATATTGACCTTTTCTTCTGGAAGATTTAAAATTTTAGAATTGGCTAATGCAACAGCTGCAAATGCTTCATTAATTTCAAAATTATCAACTTGGTCAATTGAGAGACCTGCCTTCTTAATGGCTTTTGGAATGGCAACTGATGGAGCAATTGTGAACCAATTAGGTTCCTTTTCAGCATCTTCAAATGATAATACTTGGAAAATGCTTTGATTTCTAATGGAGGCCAAATAGGTTGGATTCGATTTTAAGAATCTTCCACTTACCAACACTACAAAGGCAGCTCCATCACTAATTTTACTGGCATTACCAGCAGTTACAGATCCACCTTCCTTAGAAAATGCTGGTTTGAGTGATTTTAATTTATCAGCACCTCTGAATTTAGAAACTTCCTCATCATGGTCCAATGTTAAATTTGCATTCACCTTTACAGGAACAATTTCCTTCTTGAATTTATCTGCATTTTTCATTGCTCTTTCATAACTCTTCACAGAGTAATCATCTTGTTCTTGTTTTGAGATGTTATATGTTGTTGCAGTGACATCTGCAAATTTACCCATCATGGTTGAATGATAAGGATCAAAAAGACCATCATACATCATTCCATCTACTATTTTACCATCTCCCATTCTCTTTCCATTTCTATATTCATTTAAATAATAAGGAGTATTTGACATTGATTCAACACCTCCACATGCAATAATATCACGTTGTCCACACATTATTTCCAAAGCTCCATAGTGAATTGATTTCATTCCAGAACTACACACTTTGTTCACAGTTGTACAAATAACCTCTGTTGATAAGCCAGCTCCGAGAGCAACTTGTCTAGTAGGATTTTGGCCCAGACCAGCCTGTAAAACAGATCCCATAATTACCTCTTCAACTTGTCCTAATGAAAGATTGGATCTCTGAATGGCTTCCTTGAGTGCAACCGAACCAATTTTTATGGCAGAGAGTGATGAGAGGCTTCCTCCATTAGATCCGATTGGTGTTCTAACAAAGGAAACAATATAGGCTCCTTGATCTCTTAGTATTTGCATTTTTTTATTTTAAACAATTTAAAACCAATTCAAATTTAAATAAATTCAATCTATTTTAAAATAATTAAATATCTAAGGTCGTTATGATATAAGAGACATTAAAGCTACAATTTATTATTTTAAAATAATTAAATATCTATTTATTGATTGAATAAGACTACTATTTACATTCTTAAAAGAGATTTTTTTGAAATTATTCTAATGGTCGAATGGAAACTTCTTCAGCAATCATTTCCTTGACACCTGTTCCATCTTTCATTTCAACCATCAAGTTACCAAACTTGGAAATACCAACAGCTTTGGCAGTATATGATGGTGATTTATCTGATGGTGATATGGTAATATCCTTTCCAATAAGAATATCATGTGATTTGTACAGAGTAATTACATCCTTTTGTGAAAATGCCAATAAGTTTTCCAAAGTATTACACAATTGAGCAAGAAATTTTTCTCTATCTACACTCTTATTGGTAGCATCAAGGAATGAAATAGCAACATTTGGAAGAGCATTTTCACCTTGGGTAAGTGATGTACTCTTGAATGAACTATTGAGATTAATTCCAATTCCTGCCAATGCAAATAAAGTTTCTCCAGATTGTACACTATCAATTAACATTCCACTAATTTTAGATGGAAGTGAATCCTTTTCGTTTGGAATGACCCAAACATCATTTGGCCATTTAATTCCACAATTTTCCAATCCTTCATCTCTCAAAGTAATAGTAATTGCCAAAGGAATTGCCAAATTAAGTTTTATCAATTCCTGTGCATTATCCAATCTAACATGAAATACAATAGTAAAATACAAATTCTTTCCCTTCCCTGCACTGCTCCATTCTCTACCTCTCCTTCCTCTTCCTTTTGTTTGTTCCTCTGCCAAGATGAGTGTTCCAGTCAAACAACCCTCCTCAGCCTCTCTCCTTCCAATGTCCATTGTTGTTTCCACTTGATTCCGATACACGATCGATCGTCCTATATAACTTGTTTTTAGTAATTCTTGAAAACGTTTAATACAAAATAGAGAGTCTTTGGTATTGGCGTAGATTTGTTCCATTTTTTTTAAATATTCAATTTAAATATTATTTAATACGGATGAAAATCATCATTAATTAATATTATTTTCATCCAATGATTTAATAATATATAATAATAATAATATTTTAAATATATTGAAAATGTAAATAATGGATTAATCATTCCAATTAATTTGGAGAGATTTTACCTGTTATTGGTGATGCTGATAATGCTTGAATAGTACAATTCCGAACAGTAGAAAATGTTCTTCTATTCATTTTCATATTATTATTTTGGAAATGATGATTTAATTTTCTTCTGAATTTTAAAGATTTGAAATAATTCATTTTTTTTCATAATTTCATTTAAATTTCTTCATCAACAAGAGAGAATAGTGCAAAGATTTATTGTTGTTGAATTGACTTTTCCTTATCTCTATTGAGTAATTCTAACACATTGTGTGTTACCCAACTATTTGTCGGTATCTGCAATGGTTCTGCATACTTGTCCATTAAAATTTCATCTCCCTCTTTGAATTTTTCAATAAAGAGTGATTTTCTCTTTTCACTCTTGATGGATTTGTAGGTATTGTTGGAGATGTGTAATTCATTAGTAATTCCAGTCATTTCCATTAGTTGAGCAATTTTAACATCAGACCCAAAGAGATCGTACGTTCTCTTCACTTTACCAACTACAGCTGCAATGACATCACCTCCTATTGAGGTGTGAATTCCAACTCTAACTTGTAAACTATTTCCTGTCGATTCTGAAAATTGATTCACTGTTGTAATCATTAAAAGACCACCCTTAATCATATGGTCAACTGAACTAGTTTCATTCCTTAAACCAGAAGCTAAAAAGTAACTATCTCCTATTGTTTTAATCTTTTCCATCTTGAACTTTTGACAAATTTCATCAAAATTTGAAAATATTGAGTGTAGTAGAGAAACAACTTGTTTAGGTGGCATGGTTGATGATAACTCTGTAAAACCAACCAAATCACAATATAACATGGAACATCCATCAACTTGGTCAATGATTTTCTGGCCCATACTTAATCTTTCTGCAATATTTCTTGGATAAATCTTTTCTGCAATACCTGTCATTTGTTCATCTTGATTGGATAATAATTTGTAATCTCTGAAATAGGCAACAAATAATGATTGACCATTTTTGACAATTTGAGAAATTTTGATTTCCACTGGAATACTTTTACCATCTTTTGTTTGACCTTTGACTTTCTTAATACGATCTAGAATTTTCTTCTTTTCAGTTTTGGCAAATCTCTCCAAATACATGTCATGATTCATTCTATCTTTTCTATTACAAATAATTTTGACATTTCTTCCAATTATTTCACTATTTTCATATCCAAATGTCAGTGTGGCAGCCTTATTGAATACCAAAACACTTCCCTTATCATTAATCGCCACAATTGGAACAATACTTGCATTTGTAATTTGTACATGAACGGAATCTAAATTCTCATATATTGTGTTCAACTCTTCATTATCAATAAATTCAACAAATTTCATATAGGCACAAAAGTGAATTTCATGTTTCTTCTTAATTGGAACAAGTTTTGTTGAGATGGTAAAGAATTGATTCAAAGTTATTGATTTTCCTTTCAAAATTCTCTCTTTTGAAAGGTGACTTCTTCTCTTTGATTTATCTTCCTCGCTCAATAATTCATAAGGCATATTCTTGAGACTGATATTCTTCCTGTCAACTCCTTCAATATCTTCCATTGAAAATCCTAAAAAATCATCAATTAACGTGTGAATATCGAGAATTGTGTCCTCCATAAAAACCTCAACTAAATCTTCACCCAATACTGAAAAACTAAATGTTCCAAACATTTCCTCTGATTCTCTATTCATATAGACAATACAACCCTTCTTGTCAAAAACCACAATTGGAAAGCCACAACACATGAATTGAGAAACTAAATTATTCAATTCGGATATTTCTTGTTTGTGTGTGGGAGTGTTGTTGGCTCCATTTAATCTGAAACCTATTCCCATAGATGACGTTACTAAACCCGACATGGAAGTGTCATATGATGTTTCACTTATAATGTCTGACATGGAATCATCACCATGTTTGAGGTTGGATAAGAGTCTCTTGTAGAGTGATGTTGGCTGTTTTGAACCTGATGCTGTGCTTGAACGCCTACTTCTAGAGAAAGAAATTCTATCTTTTATAATCATACTTCCTTGACTTTCATTTAGGTCAACTGTGGTTTTTGAATTTCTAAATGATTGTTTTATTGACTGATTGATATTTTCAATAGCCATATTCTTTGACAACCTCATAGGAAGAGTTGAGGAACGATTTCTATTGTTTCGAAAAGATGATGCTTCTGTTGTTGGTTTCATTTAGTTTCGTTTTTTTGAACTTTATTGATGTTTACTGTTGTTATGTTCAACAACACTTCAGAGGGAAGCTTTCCGCTCCAATCATTTCCAAGATTCAAATTTCAGATTCCGTGCTTTCATCAGTTTTAATATCCAATAACCAGCCAAATAACCAGGAAGAAAATAGAGATGTGTTGCGATTTGTCCAATTTTGTTATTGGTACTCCCATATCAATTTTACAAAAACATCTCTTGTAGATTTTAGATTCATGAAACAATTAAGGTCAAATGTCAAAAAATGTTCGAGTTGGAAAAGAGATATTGGCTTTGGTTCTAATTTGAGAGCAATTCCAAAATTACGTAATTTAAGTTAACCCTTAAGATGAAGTAGTTTTTGATGAAAATGGACAGCGCATTCAAGAATTCAAAAAATACTGTGTCATCACTGATGATTGCCAAATTGTCAACAATAACAACCCTGTATTTATTCACAAGATACTGTGACAATCTTGTTATAGAACAATCCAACAGTGCAAATTTTTCATAATCTAAATAATATCCACAGCAGCACCACAAACAGTAGAGAAAACACAACTGTGTTATTGAAAGAAGAACCAGCAAACAAGGAAGCTTACCATTCAAAAAGTAGCCGCTTGTGTCAACATAACCTTCATAGTATCATCAGTGACAGAATTGGCTGAATAAATTGAATATGAACGAAGAGACACCTGTAAGAGAGATGTTAAGGTCTATTTAATAGCACGCATAAGACAAATTGTAAACTGACAAGGATCAATTTAGAACATAACAGGCTATGTGTAAAACAAAGAGTCACACTCGTTGGTATACCAAGAGCTACTGTACAGTAGCAACACAATAATTAAAAAACAAGATCCATCTTTATAAAAAAATGTTTCGACAAATCATTTACATGTGCTTGCTTCTACTTTCTGCATGGTTGGTTGTTGAAACAAGCACAGCACAACAAACAACTTTTGGAGTTGGAAACTATTTGAAAGTAATTGCTGGAACGGGTTCAAGTGTTTACAATGGAGATTACATGTTGGCATCATCTGCAACTCTAAATTCACCTTCATCTGTTGCCTTTCTCGAATCAACTGGGGAGATTCTGATATCAGATACGAGCAATCATCGTATTCGAAAGATTTTAACTAATGGCACAATAACAACAATTGCTGGAACTGGTACTGCTGGATATAATGGTGATAACATACTAGCTACCAATGCCCAACTTTACTATCCCTATGATATTGCTGTTAGTCAACTGAGTGAAATTATTATTGCTGAATTTGGAAATAGGATTCGTAAAATATTGACAAATGGTACCATAACAACAATTGCTGGGACTAGTGTTGGAGATGGAGCCTATAATGGTGATTTTATTCCGTCAACAAGTGCCAATGTTAAAAATCCAAATGCAGTTGCTATTAGTCAATTGGGAGAAGTTATAATTGCAGGTAGGTATTATTGTTGAACTTTTAACTGTTAAATTTGGAAAGATACTGGAAATAATAGAATTCGTAAAATTTTGACAAATGGTACCATTACAACAATTGCTGGAACAGGATCATGTGATTTTAATGGAGATGGTATTTTAGCAACTAATGCAAATATTTGTTCTCCTACAGGTGTTGCAGTTGACCAAATAGGTCAAGTATACATTTCAGTTCTCTCTCATTCTAGAATTCGTAAAATATTGACAAATGGTACGATTACCACAATTGCTGGAATAGGTTCAAATGGTTACAATGGAGATGGAATATTAGGAACAATGGCAAAGATATTTTCACCTAGAGGAATTACAGTAAATCAATTGGGTGAAGTATTTTTTGCAGATTCAGTCAATTTCAGAGTTAGAAAGATTTCAACAAGTGGAATTATTTCAACATTTGCTGGAACAGGAAATCAACTTTTCAATGGGGATGGTTTATTGGGAAATTCTACAAATTTATCACCTCATGGAGTTTCAATCAATCAATTGGGTGAAATATTTATTGCAGACACTAATTATAATTATATTAGAAAAATTGTACCATGTCCTTTAAATTCTACTCAATCAGGAAGTGATTGTAATTGTTTTGAAGGATATTTTGGATATGGAACTAGTTGTAATTTATTTAATTGCAATGGAGTAAGATATGACAGTTCAGGTGTTTGTTCTTCACATGGATTTTGTTATGCATATAATGCTTGTTCATGTCAAGATCATTATAATGGGTCGTATTGTCAGGAATATTCATGTTTTGGAATATCAAATAGTCAACCAAATGTTTGTTCAGGTTTTGGTAAATGTACTGCCAAAGATGAATGTACTTGTAATAGTGGATATCTAAATTCCACATGTAGCATGTTTAAATGTAATAATATACTCAAAACAGATGTAAACGTATGTTCCTCAAAAGGAAATTGCATTGCACCAAACAATTGTTCATGTCAGACAGGTTATAGTGGAGCTGATTGTGAAACATTTAATTGTTTTGGAGTTTCTTCTAGTAGTAGACTGGTTTGTTCAAGTATTGGTGAATGTACAGCTCCTGACACTTGTACATGTCCAACATCAGATGTAACAACTTATAATAAGGATTGCTCAGCAATTAATAAGCAAAATAATGGAACAAATCTTAGTGCTCAATCTGATCAAACAACTATACTAGTTGCAGTACTTGTTCCAACCCTATTTATTGTAATTTTAATCATTGTAATTTTTGTAATTATCATTATTGTGTTAATTAATAGAAATAGAGCAAAGGAAGCAACTTTGAACATTGATACGGTGAATCCTTCGGAAGAAGAATTAAAATCATTCACACAATCAACAATGATTTCTGATTTCCCTTCTCAATATACTTCATCTTCAAAAGAATCTCAAAATGATCCAATGGATAGATATACAAATTTGGTAAAGATTGGACAAGGTGGAAGTGTGTTTAAAGTGAATGACACTAAATGTAATAATGAAGTCAAAGCAATCAAAGTGGTTAGATTTGATAACCATGAAGATTTGAACGTGGCTATGAGAGAAGGAATTCAACTTTTAAAGATGAATCACCCAAATGTTCTCAAAGTGAATGATTTCTTTATTGGAAATGGTCAAATTCTATGTATTGATATGACTTATTATGAGATGGGTGATTTGAATAGACTCATTACTGGATCCAAATTTTGTTCAGAACTTTTAATTGCTCAAATATTATTTCAATCATGTAGTGCCTTGGATTATATTTTCATCAACTTTGGGTAAGTTTAGAAACATATTAAAATATGTGGATTTAACACTAAATCAGAGTTATTCACAGAGATATTAAACCTTCCAATATTTTCATTCAGAAAATGAATGATTCAGCCATTGACATTATCATTGCTGATTTTGGTTTGGCAAAAAACTCAAAACAATCAACCAGTTTTTCATTAGCTGGAACTCCATTGTATATTTCACCAGAATTGTTGTGTGGAATTTCATGTGATCATAAAACTGATATATTCAGTTTGGGAGTTACTCTATACCAGATTCTATCTCATGATACAACAACTTCCATCAATCAAATGTACATGTTAAAGGATTCTGAAACTGTCAAACAAATATTAAAGGAGAAGATTAGTTTACAGATCTATTCATTAGAGTTGGTGGAGTTGGTGTTTAGCATGTTGGAGAAGGATCCAGAAAGACGACCAGATGCTGGCTCTATTTTAAAACATCACTACTTTTCACAAAGAGGGTTGAATAACAATTAAACTTTTCATCTCAATTCTATATCGTTCATTTTTTAACAGCTGTGTTGTTTAATAGTAACTTGAGGTATTAAGGTTGGCACTTAACGTCCTTTTTTGAGGATAAAATTGTTATCATTTTTAAAAAAAATTCTGGTAAATTGCAAACTTTGTGACAATCCCATTTACTGAAAATGAAATACTCAAGTTGACCACCATTATTTACAAATTTTGAAAAAAGGTAATGTTACAATGGTTATTATTACAATTATCGGCTGGGCACAATAGTTTTGGATTATTGTAACAGTCACAGGACAATACACGGCAGAGACCTGAAGGCAATAATCCTTCGAAATGATTGCTTCCTAAATGGATTCCAGTTAGTGAGGGTATTTCACCATACTCTTTTGGAATTTGACCTCCAATTGCATTGAATGCCAAATTAATAATCATGACACTTTGTAAAGAATCAGCAATTCCAGTT